AATCCAGCTGAAGAATGTCTTGAACAAGGACACTCTCTTCAATAGGACTGAGCTTCAGAGTCCCTGGCTTCCAATCTTCTCGAGAGGGGATTCCCTTGAGTCTCCGGAGCAACGTCGTTTTTGAGACCTTATAGTCTCTCGCTGCCGCTGCTACGGAGCGGCTGGCACCTGATCTGACAGCTGACATCGCAAGCAATAGACTCCCCTCTTTTAGGGACGATTGCACGCGTTTTGGTGTAGCCATTGCGTGTTGAAGTTGACGCGTTGTTGTGTTCAAAATTGTGGACCGCGTTGGGGTATGGACCGCGTTGGGGTTCCCCGCGTTACTCGGTTTGTTCATTGTCACGCTCGTCATCATCGCTTATTATCACTATACTACCTAGTACTGTAGATGGTCATGGATGGTCGCTCATCTTGATCGCAGCGGAACACTCGAGACGAACCTTGGGCCTGCTCAGGCGCATAGAATATTGCTTGTCATGGCTATGAGCATTTCATCTGCCACCTGCATAGTGGTCAATATTGGGTACCTAATTTGCTATGCTCTCGGTACAAGACCATATAGACAGACGTGCCTGCGAGCGATCTGTCTTGTGGTCGGCTCAACAGGGTTTATCGACACATGTACGACAGGTCATTGTCGGTGTGCGGTAATCTTCACAGAGGTATTGTCCATCCATCCCACCACGTGCATCACGGACTTGGGTGTTAACAGAGCATAATGCATATACTCACGCCAAGGCAGTCAAATTCGGGCAATGCAGGAAGCAAGAATGTGAGGATTCCAGGCAACGAATTCTCGGCCTCCGTGACATGCGTGGTCTGCTTTGCGGCGATCCCTTAATGATAAATTTAACGGTAGCTTCTGGACCCTCGATGACCCCGATTCGCCCCGCCAATTTTTTGATTTGCCAATGGCGGAGTCACACTCTCGCGCGGTCAAAAACCACTTCCAAGGTCTATAGCTACATAGTGTAAACACATCTACGTGGAAATAGATCACTGCTCGGCAGCCCTTCGTTTTTCATCATTCTCTTTCTTGCTCTTTCCTTCCTCTGCTTGCCACATAGACCGGCACTTTTTCCCATCGAACTCTCAGATCCTCAATCATGACGAATGACGTACAGGAGCAGTCTACTGACGTTCGCGGTGAGAACATTGTTCGATTGGCAATCGAAAAGAAATCCAAGCTGATGCCATCCGCTCTCAGTCCGAGGCTATGATCCATTGATCGCTCCCGACTTGCTCTCATCGGAGGTGCCACCGACTGATGTCTCCATCAAGACCGTCCTCAAAGGTCGCGCCGAAGCCGCCGACATTATCCACAAGCGCGATGACCGTCTTCTCGTCATGGTCGGACCTTGCTCGCTCCACGATCCAGACACTGCTCTTGAGTACTGTTCACGTCTCGTCCAAGTTGCTTCGAAGCTCGAGAAAGATCTCTGTATCATCATGCGTGCATACTTGGAAAAGCCGCGTACTACAGTTGGCTGGAAAGGTCTGATCAATGACCCGGATATCGATGAGAGCTTCCAGATCAACAAGGGTCTGCGCGTCAGCCGCAAGCTGTACGTCGATCTCACGAGCCAGGGCATGCCAATTGCTAGCGAGATGCTGGACACCATCTCACCACAGTTCCTGGCTGATCTGATCTCGCTCGGCGCGATCGGTGCCCGCACAACCGAATCGCAATTGCACCGCGAGCTAGCATCAGGCTTGTCATTCCCTATGGGCTTCAAGAACGGCACGGACGGCTCTCTTGGTGTTGCTGTTGATGCCATTGGCGCTGCGGCATCGCAGCATCATTTCATGGGTGTCACCAAGCAAGGTCTTGCCGCCATTACCAGGACAGCTGGTAATCCTGACTGCTTCGTCATTTTGCGTGGCGGCACTTCCGGCACCAACTACGACCACGACAGCATTGTGAAGTCGCGAACTGCACTGCAAAAGAAGGGCTTGGCCGAGGTCATGATGGTTGACTGCTCACACGGTAGGCAAAGCCGTTGATTACAGTTCGATGAATAATGCTGACCATTCTTGTGCACAGGTAACTCTCAAAAGAACCACAAGAACCAGCCTATCGTTGCGAAGTCCGTGTCCGAACAGCTCCGCGCGGGAGAGGACGGCATTGTTGGTGTGATGATCGAGTCGAACCTGTTCGAGGGTAACCAGAAGGTTCCCGAGGGCGGTATCGCAGCTGCGAAACGCGGAGTTTCCATCACCGACGCCTGTATTGGCTGGGAGACCACTGTGGAGGTTTTGGAGGACCTCGCTGATGGCGTTCGCGCCAGGCGAGCTGCAAAGAGCGCGGCCAACGGTCCACAGTGATTTGCGAGGCAGAAAACTTTGATGATTTATTTGGGCGTATTGGGGACAACATCTGGGCAGTGGGGCGGGTCATGATATCTGCAATACTTCAAAAGTCATTTTGTTTGAGAATGATGTATGTTCAGAAGGGGATGTTTAATGACTACATTGTTGATCTTTGGATTGATGGTGGTTGGGCAAACATAAAAGGTTGGATCCTTTCAGCACGTTTATCGGCGGCCTTGGTAGTGGTTCGGCAGGCAATCCTTTGATAATTTCGCGTAAGCCCGCCCACTATTTGCTGCAGAATTGGTCCCTGTCGCAGCGCAAAACGCGCCTCGCGTGCCACAATCGCATATGCACGAATTAGGCAAAGTTGGCTTCAACGACCAAATTTCCCCGACGATTTCAACCGATCGAAGTTCGTGCTCGAGGCGCTTCTTCGTCCTTGCGACTCTTGCCATTTCTGATTTCTATACCGTCATTTTCTCCTGACGAATTCGTTCTGCTTTTCAAAGCGTGTTGTGAATAGGACATTTGAAGACATGCCGACACTATGGCTGTCCGATTCGCAGAGTACGTCTTATCCCAGGCACCAAGGATCCCAAATATGTGGAACGGACATTGGACTGACCTGCATTGAATAGAGGTCGGCGTGGCCTTCTGTAGCGGTGGTAAGTACCAAGACTATTTCGTCTTCGAAACGCAGTCAGCGACCGCATCTAACAGGATGACCTAGGTGTTTTCTTCCTGCTCTTCGGCCTCATCCTCTTCTTCGATCGAGCCCTCCTTTCTATGGGCAACATCCTCTTCCTCGTCGGCATCACCTTACTCCTCGGCCCTCAGCGTACCGCCGCTTTCTTCCTACGGAAACAAAAATGGCGCGGCACAACGGCATTCTGGCTCGGCGTAGTCCTGATTCTGAGCCGATGGACCTTTATTGGTTTCGCGGTACAATGCTACGGCATGTTCATCCTGTTTGGGGAGTTCTTCAAGACGATTGCTGGCTTCGCATATAATATTCCGGTTGTTGGACCATACTTGGCGAGGGGATTGCAGGTTGCGGGTGAGAAAGCAGGTGCCAACGACAGAGCGCACAAGGATCTGCCTGTGTGAACGGTATGGGTTGCTCAGGACTAGCAACGACCGGACACGCAGCCTGTTCGTTCTGCTGCATCGCGATCTGTTCGCGTTTTCGACACGAGATGTGCTCGACCTTGGCCATCGATTTGGAAAGCTATCAGCTCCCTTCAAGCCGCGCTATGGCAAACGCGAGGGTAGTTTGCAATTACGACACCTGCCAGCTGGGATAGCCTGGCCAATCGAAGACTTTCTCAATTACAGAAGGAACGCCAATTAGATGACATGGAGACTCTGGCAGTATGGCTGCCATGAACGTCATGACGAGATGTACGATTAAACGATTGAGATATCACATCACACGACTGATGAAATGTCACGGAAGCTAAGAAGAAATGAAAATGTCGGCGACGGGTCTGCAATCAGCAAGTATCATTTTCTATCACATCAATGAATGTGGTCGAGCAGATACATTCCAATAGCATGTTTTATCACGAACCTCTGGCAGCAAACTTTTCATAAGCCTCGAGCATCTCCCGCGTGATACCTCTCGGCGTGCTTTTCGTAGCGACGGTAAAATCATCCTGTGTTAGCCTCACTGTTGAATCGATCTTGTTCGCCACCCTCCTAAAGGCGGACCTGGACGCCAAGTGGACTATTTGCACGATCTCGGCGCCAGAGTATCCCTCGGTTTCAAGCGCTATGGGGTCCAAGTCCGCGTCCGACGGCGCACCTTTAGTTGCGATCTTGAGTATCTCCTTGCGAGCAGGCGTATTCGGAGGGCCGAGATACACATGCGAATCGAAACGGCCCGGCCGGATGAGAGCTGGATCGAGGGACTCTGGCTTGTTAGTGGCCGCAAGGATGAAGACGTCTTTCAACGGCTCGAAGCCGTCCATTTCATTCAGGAGCGTAGTGAGGACGTTCAAACCCTTGGTGCCGCCTCCGTCACGATCGGAACCGATCGCATCAATTTCGTCAAAGAAGATGACGCAGGGCGCTGCGACTCTTGCCTTGGCGAAGACCTCTCGCACCGCACGCTCGGACTCGCCGACGTACATGCTGATCAATGCGGCGCCTTTGATGGCGATGAAATTGAGATCGTATGTGTTGGCGACGGCTTGCGCTGTTAGAGTCTTGGAACAGCCGGGTGGCCCATAGAGCAGGACGCCTTTGGTAGGTTTATAGGTTGGTATTGCAGAGATCGTGTCTTTGAGCTGGAGTGGCCAGCCGATGATTTCGTCGAAACTGGCCTTCATGTTTTCTGACCCGCCAATGTCGTCCCATCGGATCTTTGGCTTTTCTGCGAGGAATTCTCGGAGAGCCTCTGGTGTTACCTTCCGATCTGCCAATGCTTTGTCAAAGTCTTTGAGGGTAATCAGTGGGCCTGGCAGGGCCGACGAAACTGCGGGCAGACCTTCAGAGCCCTCTATCTTGTTGGCTGTAGGTGCTTCTGCGGTTGCTTTCGGGTCGCTTTTCCATTCGTGCTCTGCTCGACGCCATGCGTTGTGCCAAGCATGCTGCTGTAAACATACGAGATTTTCTGAGGTGAAGCCGTGAGTTCGTGCCGCGACTGCCAGAGAGATACTTTCGTTATCCACAGCCCACGACCGACTAAGCACTGTCAAAATTTGCTCCCGGGCTGCTTGATCAGGTACGGGAAATTCAATCAATTCTGCAAAGCGGAACGACCCCAACACTTCGTTGGTGAGGTCTGAAGGTTTTCGCGTGGCACCGACGACCATGACGCGCGAAACATAAGTCGTTGCCAGATCGCGGGCCAGATCTGTAGCATAAGCGGCGTCATCGATAGGAACCAGCTTCTCGAGATTGTCCATGATCACCAGTGAGGGCTGATTATTTCTAGCTTCTTCGAAGGAATCCCTTATGATCGATTGATTCTTTGCAATCGATCCGCCATTCAACCTGCTTCGATCTACTCGAATGACTTTCTGAAATGGAGACTTGGCTAACTGTTCGAGCAGCAAGGTTTTGCCTGTCCCAGAGTAACCGTAAAGAAGAATTGCAGGCTTCGAGAATCTCTGACCAGGAGCAGATTTCAGTACACGTTGCACGCATTCGTTGAGTAATTCGCATTGCACGGCAAGTCCACCGATTCCGTCAGTATTCAGACTGAGCTCTTGATGGGTGTTTACGGTATACGCATCGCTTTTGCCCAGCTCTATCGTCATACCGTGCAAATCGCTTGGTACTGTTGTCGCCGCATGCCCCGAAGCAACTTTTTCCAGTGAAGACGCACCAGGCATGACTATCTGCGTGTCATCATCGATAACAAAAAGGCAGGGTTTATCTTGCACGAAGCTTGGAATATCGACCTTCTCGATGCGGTACGTTCTGCGTGTCTTCTTTTTCCCGGGCACTGCAAAAGGAATTCCTACGGCAAGTGCCTCGCAATTACCTTACCATCTTATCAGCTCAATCCGTAGCATCACGCGGTGACTAGGCCGTGCTCACCAAGCACAGTGCTGGTCCGAACCCTCCACAGCCGGTCACTATTGTCAAGCATGCTTCTTCCGTCATCTTCGTGGGCGACTGCTTCTAGAGACACCCTCGTTGCAGTGAGAATTTTCACCTTTGTCGACCTTACAGACACCTTGGTGTTCTCCCTGAATCCGAATGCGTTTTGGGCCACTTCAGTCATCTTCACCGGTCGAGCCTTTGGCCGGTTCCCCATGCGATCATCAGCTCGCCAAGCGATTCCGTATCCAACGGTTCCATCTTCACCGTGTACGCTACAGACATCGCCTACCTGCAATCCGGCTTGGGTAAGGCTATCGGGTGGCAAGTGCATGCGAAAGGCGCCGTCTAATGTGGTTGCCGATTGCAGGCGAGCCACAATATGAGCGTTGTCTGGCGTGAAGCCATTTGTAGTGGTTGAGGGCATTGCAGCGACTTTTGATAGACAGACCAGGCTCGAAAAGCTATCGCAGTTTCAAACACTCTTCTCGTTCGAGGACGAGCACCGGCGTATATAGTCTGTGGCAGGAGTCGTCCGACATGAATTTCCGAAAATTCTCGGGAGCTTTCGTCTAAAAGACATTTATTCGCATCCATGGCCGTTCATGGTAATTAATTATCATTTAGCTTAAACACGGCTGTGAAGGCCGGGGCTTCCCACGAGGCAAGTTGGCGCGGGCGCGATCTATCTTTTTGGAGAACAAGGACCGCGCTATGCGTCGGACCTCCATTGATGAACCCGGAGAACTGCATTGCTGCCATTCATTCCACCGATCACATTAAATCCAATTTTTTCATTATCTACAATCTAGCGAAGACATCGGTGGATATTTGGACATCGACAACGCTACACCCCCCTGATGTCGTCGGTGCGTTCGGTGGCTAGGCGCACTCTCGGCACACAATGGCAGACGCGGTGGCAGTCTCCTGTACGCGAATTCTGCTCATATCCATCACGTTCAAGCAACCAACGACCATCCCGTGACGACTCAGACAGAAAGCAAATTCCAACCGTCAGGCAAATTGCTGAAAAGGCTGAGCGGGAAGAGCAAGCCTCATCCCTGGTTGAGCAATTGTTTCCTGAAGAAACCAAGCGTTATCAAGCCCAGAAAGCTGTTCCTCGAGATGTCCCTAAAAAGACTTTTGATTTACAGGGACCGGCAGATTCTAGACGACCGGAACCGACCAAGCTTGTTGAAACACGGAAACCACTGCCTCCAAAGCAAGATCTAAAACAGTGCAAACCAGACGAAGGGGTATTGTTTGTCCGAAATGCGAGTGTCAACCTCACACAAGAAGACTTCCTTCGCGTTGTACCTGAGGGAGTACACATAGAGGGGTGGCGAACGGCCAGCACTGAGTTTGAGCAAGTCGTCCCACTACGCGATCCAAATACCCTGGCTCATCTAGGTCAATATTATCTTGTATTCCCTACAGAGGAAGCCGCCGAAACCTATCGCTATCACGCGGAGAGACTACAAAGGGTTGCGGCGAACAACATTTCAACCTCGGAACTCTCCCCACTTCCCTACCCACCTGGCTTCCAGGAAGACGATGTCGATATTGATAATGCTATCCGATCATACACGTTGGCACTACCGAGTCAGCCTCTACAGTTCTTGCAATTAAGATGGCCCTTCAAGCCTGAGGTCAACCACATTCTCAAGCATAAGGGCAAACCGCTCTATCAACAGCGACATGGCCGAACTCCATTCGAAGTGCGCTTCGCTATGGAGGGTCCTCAATTAAGTGTCGGTGCCCTCCGTCATGTTATATTGGAGGATGGGATCGAGCGTGGTCAAAGCTGGTCTGGAGTGGACGGTGGTACGCCCAACATCTTGGAATGGGATCCCGTTCATAGAGAGGTCCTACTCGAAGATAGAGAACGGAAGCCTGCGCGCGCGGTGAAAGCGGGTGTCAAAGAAGTTGCTACCCGAACGATGAACCCCATTTTCATCATCAGCTTTCCCACCAAACAAATCGCGCAAAGCTTTGTTTGCTACTGGCATAGACGGACAATCGAGAAGAAAAAGATATCGTCATGGGAGATGGAATTCGCATTCGACGCCCCCATAGCGGATGTACAACTACTTTAGAACTTGTATGATATCGTTGATGTACACTACTGACTTCAAGCGTCACTACGACTGCGTGCAGGTGAGCAGCAAAGACAGGGATATCGTCAAAGGTGTTATCATAAGATTGCGAACAAAGGCAATCCCTTGAACCTATTCTCAAGCCGAGGAGGGGGATTTCAGCCGCTCATCGACCAATCTTTGCACCATTTTCTGCAGCATCGCTCCTCCGTCGCCCGAGTTGCCTTCGAAGTATGCCGCGACGCTCTTCTCCACATATTTCCCGACCATGTCAACTTCGACGTTGACATCTTCACCCTGTCGCTTCTTGCCCATGACGACCTTCTCTTGCGTGTATGCGATGAGCATGACTTCCCACCAGCCTTCACCGTCGTTCACAGCCGTGATAGTGAGTGAAGCACCATCGAGTGTGACATAACCTTTCTCCACGATATATCGCAATACGTCACGATTACGAGGTTGCAAGCGGAATGTAATGGCATTGCCGTCCTGCCGGGTCTCGAGGATGGTCGCCACAGTATCGACATGACCTTGCACAAAGTGACCGCCCATCCGCGTGCTCGCACTCACAGCTCGCTCGAGGTTGACGTGGCTTCCTTGTTGCAGAGAGCCCAAGTTCGTCCGTCGAAGGGTCTCCGGCGCGACGCCCACTTTAAATTCATTCTTACTGAACTCCGTGACCGTCAAGCAGGTTCCATTGACACTGATGCTGTCTCCGAGGTGGGCATCTCCGAGGATTTCCGCGCAGTCGCTGATCGTCAACGATGTGCCGCCGCCGCCGCTGGACGACTCATCCAGGGACTTCAGTGCGGAGACAGCTGAATGGTCGTCAGAGCGGCGTTGACAGCATACATCGCGCGGAGTGTAGACATACTGCCGATGATCTCAACGATGCCAGTAAACATGGTGTGGTGATGATGTTCTTGTTCGGATGTCTCTATTGGACGAGTAGAGTTTCGTCGATGAGTCCTGACGTAGTGTGCCGAAATCGGCAATCGCGGGCATAGTGCGCATTGGACATCTTAGGGTTCATTGGCAGCTGAAACTATTTCGATATTGCCGATCTATCTACGCAGACAAGATCGCCCGTGGTTGTCTTCTTGTCTCACTGTCCGACAAGCGTGCTCTTCATATATGAACATTGGGTGTTCAGCGAAATTTGGAGGCGGATAGTCATGATGGCACTCCGACTAGTGACAAGACAACAACTTCGCTCCGCGTCGTTTCCAACTCCATGCATGGTGGTTGGACAACGAAGATGTCTAGCTGAGGTCGTCAGTGGGTCAGAGATCGCAACATTACCGCTCTCTGGTGTTAGGGTCCTGGACATGACCCGAGTCCTTGCTGGGGTGAGCGATTCAAATCGTCGGAAGGATGCCACAAGCTAATACTTGAGCAGCCATATTGCACTCAGATTCTGGGCGATTTAGGGTACGTGATGTCGCATTGTGAGGCAATGTGATTGTTGCATGCCGAATTCAGGACCGCCAGCTGACTCTGAATGCTTCAGGGCTGAGGTCATCAAGATCGAGCATCCGACGCGAGGCGACGACACCCGTGCATGGGGTCCTCCCTATGCCACCTACACCCAGGAGAGCGGCAAGCAGGGACCAGGCGAGAGTGCATATTTCCTTGCAGTCTGCCTACCCAGACCACCCGGATCCTGAATCTACGGATGAGACACTGACCAACTCTCAAGGCGAACAGAAATAAGAAGTCCATCGGACTGTCATTCCAGGATCCTGCTGGCGTGGACATCTTGCATCGACTCGCCAAGGATTGTGATGTCTTAGTCGAAAACTACCTCCCTGGTGCTCTGAAGAAGTATGGCATGGACTACGACAGCGTCTCGAAGGTCAATCCCAACATCATCTACGCGAGTATCACCGGATATGGTCAGACTGGGCCGTACAGCAACCGAGCTGGATACGACGTCATGGTGGAGGCGTAAGTCCTACTCCGCCTCACGGTCACCACTCGCAAAGACCCCCGAGCTGACAATTTCCAGCGAGATGGGTCTGATGCACATCACCGGACATCGTGACGGTCCACCAGCTAAGGTCGGTGTCGCCGTGACAGACCTGACTACCGGTCTCTACACGAGCAATTCCATCATGGCAGCGCTCATCGGACGCGGAAAGTCCGGAAAAGGTCAACACATCGACGTATCCCTCACAGATTGCCAGGTCGCGACTCTTGCCAACATCGCCAGCTCATGTCTAATCAGCGGAAAGCCCGATACCGGTCGCTGGGGCACCGCCCATCCCTCCATCGTTCCATACAAAGGTTTCAAGACTTCAGACGGCGACATTCTGATCGGCGGCGGTAATGACAGACTGTATGGAATCATGTGCGAGAGACTTGGCAAGCCCGAATGGATCACGGATTCCAGATTCGTGAAGAACGCCGATCGAGTCAAGAACCGGGTGGAATTGGAAGACCTGATTGAGAAAATCACCTCGACCAAAACCACTCAGGAATGGCTGGACATCCTCGAGGGTAGCGGCTTACCCTATGCGCCGATCAATGATGTCAAGACCACGCTTGAGCACGAGCATGGTACGACGCTCTATCCCCTTTTGTTCCTTTTGTTCCTTCGCGAAGTATAAATTGAAAGCTGACGAATGGCAGTGCTTGCTCGTGGCATGGTTTCGACGATCGAACATGAAAGCTGTGGACCGATCAAGTTGGTCAGCCCCCCTGTCAAGTTTTCACATTCCAATCCCACCATCCGGACGGCGCCCCCGACTCTCGGGCAGCATACCGATGAGGTGTTGACCGAGATACTGAAAATGGACGGCGAGGAGATTAAAGCTCTGAAAGAAAGGGGTATTTTGTCATAGTCTTGTATATAGAAGAAGAAAAGAACCCTGGAATCATTTTTCGCGTGAATCGTCCGTATCGCAAATTGACGGGCTATATGGCGACATATTGGAAAGTATTTTCGAAGTCGTCGTATCTGGCACGGGTCTATCGTGGATGCTCTGATCATAGAGGTGTTATGGGATATCGCCTTCTGCCTGGTCTGATAGCATCTCATGAGGTTGGTCGCTTCAACCGGCAAAGCCTGACCCATTCGCTGCAAAACTTTTTGGCATCTGAAAATGGCGTCAGCGATTACCACAACTGGAGCATAGCACATTTGATACCTGTCTCGTTCGTGAACGGTATAACGTAGCCATTGCTTTTAGTGCGCAAGAATTCGAATTCGCCAAAAACATAAGGCGGTGGCTTCAGGGCATCTAAATGAACTTCTGTGGTATTTTCCCGGCCCATCCAGTCCGGATCGTTCAGATAGCGAGTCACGAATGCAGTCCAAAGTGGTATAGATTGGTGCGGTCGCGTGAGCTCGTAACGAACGGTGTGAGAAGGCACATCCCTCCAGACTCGGAATTCCAGTGGCATATTGTCGTAAATCAGATCGGCCTTGAATTCAAGCACTTCACCGTCGGGCGAGGTTTTCTGCAGACCAAAGCTATCGTCAATGTAGTCTGGGTTCACTTCTCGGGGGTCTTGATGCTTCATAGCCACGAACGTAGAATAAAACAATACCATGCGTTCATGGAAATTGAAATTTAATCGCGCCCACAAAATGTGAAGGAGTTTTGAATCGGCGTCTGGCTCTCTCCTGATTAGCAGTAGGCAGGAATCCTCCCGCATGATTTTCAATCGTAAGAGCGGAGTCACGGCCTCGGTGATTCGGCCAATCTCATCAGTATGGGTTATCAGCATGTGGGCCTGATTATCCTCTGGACGCCAATAGAATCTAACTCGAAATCGTCCTTCTCTGTCAAAGTATCTGTGAACATGACGTTAGCTTTTCGGCAATGAGACCATACGGACTACTGCATACATCTGGTTCACATGCTCATGCATCTCCTCTTCGAGCTGGCGGAGCGCACCCTGCACAGGTTGGCCTGCAAGTCTCGTTTCCTTTGTACTGATAGACATGTTAGCGATACAGTTTTAGCACATTGGAGCGCTGTTACTGACGACTTGAAGCTTGCTGGGTATGGAGTGCTCGATCGACTGAGTGTTTCTTGATCGACCAAGAATTTCCAAGCCCAATGCCCATCGTCGGAGCTTTCCTCCGCTGGTGCGGAGATTGCAATCGTCGGCGTCGGATTCGTAGACGTGCGCTCCCTAGCGTACGACGGCATAACTGGAGACGCAGGCTGAGGAGGCGTCGGTCTCGTAGGGCTAGTCACCGTGGGAAAGCGAACGGGAGAACCAAGGCTCGGTCGCTGAGGCGATGATACGCGGCGAAACGAGCTGGTAGGGGAAGCTGGAGATTTCGCTGACAATGGTGAACCTTGCCGATTTGACACGCGAGGCGAACCTTGCGTTGTATCCAGACCCGAGAGTTGAGCTGGTCCTGGCTCCGGTCGAGACGATCCTGGAGTTAATTAGATTTGTGCTCCGATTGTCGTCACATGAGTCAACATACAAAACATACCTGAAGCTTGTGCAGCCGTAGTCGGTTGTCGAGGAGACTGCTTGATATTATACTTTTGTGCTTGCAACAAGTCCTCTAGTCTTTTCGTAAAGATCAGGGACACTTCAGGGCGTGCACCGGTCAGCACCAGCTCCAAATGCTGGAGGTAGCCTCTAAAGAAGATTAGGCAAGGGACAAGTGCCTGGTCGTTTTCCCTGCGAACTCGCGCGTCGAGCTGCCGACAGACCGCCTCGAAACTATCCTTGTATGTGTCACCTGCCGCATCGAAGATAGCATTGATGATAGGTTTCAAGGCGGGTAGTACAGCATCAGCCTCATTGACAGCGACATTGATGGCGGGTCGACCGCGGTCAGCGACGGTAACGAGTCGACCGACGTCTCGCAGCTTGGGGCCGATTATGCGCAGCTCGTGGATGGCATCGGTAATCTCTTGTGCCACGGATGCCTGTGGCGGGGTATCTTTTTTATACAGGTATGCCAATGTGCCTGCGGCATCGCTGACAATCGACGCATAATTTTCGTGGGTTGACTCACGATCGCCTGGTTGTCGAATGGATACTGGCGAACTCATTCTGCTCTGCATGTAGCCAGCGGGCTCCTTACGCTATACAACACCTGGGTGATAATGGCCGTCAATTGCAGTTAGGAATTTCATGTTGTGATTTTTATGCAAAAAGAGCAGCGGATGGTATTCCTTGAAGTTCTCGTCCTCGACATACATACATACCTAGGTAGTTTCCAAGTTTAACATACCTACCTAGGTAGTGTGATAATATCAGTACCTAGATAGGCAGCAGTACGCTTTTCGATTGACGCTATAGTCTTATCAAGGCGGACAGAGACGCGAAATGAAGTGTGCAGCCATCGTCTGATATATCCATTACAGTGACATCGCAGCTTCTCTTCTGCCATGTGCTCTCAGCCAGACCCGGCGGCTGCAGCTGCATTATTACGCAGAAATGCAGGTCTCTTCTGACCGGTCCTTGGTGGGGCGCCTTGTGTTTTCTTTGGCTGTTTCGCACTCACCATTTTCATAAACGCCGTCACGTCCTCATATTTGCACATTATGGGAGCCATCAAACAACATTGTGCTCGTTTCTTGTTCCATCAATTGCTTAGCGAGACGCAGCCGATACTAGAGTGGCTGGAATGGAGACGTTGTATCACTGGCGACTTGCACTCGATCCCGAATAGCCAAAGCGACGAACGACCACCAAATTCAGACGATCTCTGCACTCATGCGCGCACAGCCATCGAACCATTCAATGGGGTTTCTTCAGTTACGGGTTTCAACGATCACACCTTTAATTGACGGCAATCATTCCATCAATTTGCTATCTGATATTGAAAGCCAATATTCAATCTCGTCTGGCTAAGTCGCAAGTCCAAGCTGACCTACGTCGCAATGTGAGAGCCAAAGCTCCGCTGGTATTGGGTAATACAAAAATCATGTCCTCAAAGAACGCCTCGCGGTTGTCGCTCCTCTCATGATACCCAAATCTCCAACGCCAAAAGATGCTGTCGCCCAGTGTAGGGGCCTAAAATAGCGGAAGTCCTCCAAAAGCTCGTTTGCACGAGCCGAGCGATTGCGAAAATAGACACAAAGATGACCGACTCGGATCGGAATGTTCTCAGAGCCGAGCTCGATCAAACAAATTCGTAATCCTCGTCTGCGTCAGCGACAGAGGCTGGAGAGGCCTTGCCTTTGCCCTTGCGCGATCGGCGCGAAGTGGAGCTCTGAGGCACGACTTCTCCGGTTGTGTCCAGGACATCATACTCGTCCTTCACCAGTCGGACGGTCTCCCTCTCCTCGAACCGCTCTACGGCTTTGGCGAGGGCGACGTTGAGGATCTGGCTGCCCTGCGTAGGCGCGCTCTTGGCATCGAAGGAGTACATGACGCCCTCAGGAGGTGAAAACGCGCCCTCGTCGTACTCATCGGAGTTGGTTGCAGCAGAGTCGTCGCTAATGGTAGCACCCTCCTCGAGAATGTCCTGCTTGCGAGTGACCTTGGTTCCCCGGGTCAGAGCAGCTACCGCATGCTTCATGTCCCGTCGCTTTGCGTTGAATCCGCTTCGAATTGTCAGTCATAGAGATTGATGTTGAGCCCTTGGATAGCGACAACTTACGTTTCGGAAGGTCGGAACGGCCTTGGTTTCTCGCTCGCTCGACCGGCAAGACCCTCCGTGGCGCCCAGTGCCCACTTGTGTTTGTGGGCGGCGTCCCGCTTGTAGTCTTGAGCAGTGCCGCGGAGGTCGGATGTCGAGAAGGTCTGCTCAGAGGACATGATCGATGTAAGATGTGGTGGTATTATCAGGTTATTGGTGATGGTGGTTACGCTTGTCGGATATGCAGCTGCGCGGATGGCAGAGCAGGATGGAGTTCACCGTGATGAGTACCTTGATGACTTGGAAACAATGACGGTTCTAGGGTTTCGTTGGGGCAAAAGAAAATTGATCTTGTCGTAGGGAGACGATTGTATAGTAGGCAGGCAGAGACGACACTGTTGGGCAAATGACACAGTTCAACCTTCGAATGGATCCGATGACTCGATCGGCTGAGTCACGCTGATGAGGCTGGTGAGGCGCAGTCTCTCAAGCGGTGTCTCTTCTGAGCATCAACGACACAATCAATAGGTAGGTGACCGGTGGCAATGGGATAAGGAGGTTTAAGAAGTGGTAATATTGCGATTGTTCCGGAAGATAGTTCTCTACGATCAAGGAGCTCCAACATGGAAGGCACCTGCATCATATACGAACCGCAGACTGCGAAACAAATCAAGGTTGCGCGCTACCTGGGCACTTGCCTGGAGATAACAAGTCGTAGAGCCGAGCGGCCCTGACTGAGTCGGGAGACCAGTCATACTAGCACGAGTTGCGTGCTGTTGTAGCAATCTAAAATAAGGCAGCCGAAGCGCATCGCCATCCGAGGAGGAAGTGTGGGGGGAAATGTCGCGATAAGACGAGCGGGCTGCGGATGACCCATATGAACGCTTTTCTCAGGAACGTGTCCCGTGCGACTGGCTCAACGAGTCCTCGCGACCATAATCCCATGCCTGTTCCTCTTCACTACCTGCCGTCCTTTTCTGCCCGCAGGATCGTCCACTCGTGATCGGAGAGAGAGGGCGGGCCTTTGTTATTACGTGCGATAAGAAGCCCTTAAGCCGAGCGCGTGGCAGTTTGCGGCCTCGGACAACTCTCTTCTGACTGGAGAAACCACGCGCGGGGTTTGGGTGATGCCAACCGCATGCCACCAGATAGTTATTACGGCTTAGCCGGTGACTACCAAATGACGATAAGTATAGTAATAAGTATTGTACGTACACAGACTCGGAGTTCACCTGGATCGACCTCGGGAACCTTGGATCTTACTCAGCGGCCTATGTACACTCCTGGAGCTTGGACGACGTCATGTCTACCCTCTGCTCATCAGACAAAGCTCCGCGGGCCAGCAAATGATCTCCGAACACTCTGAACGTCGCGGGCTTATGACAAGTTTAGTATTGGCCAAGCGAACATGTCATAATGTCCACGTGGTACAGGTTTCGCGGTCTTCATTTTTGCGTCATACATGTGAATGACAGAACATTTCCAAGGCTCCATACCTAACGCACAAACGAATGTGACGATCGGCCTGAGTCGTGCTGATAAGTACTTGCCATCAAGCAACAAGTCAAACCGGGTTTAGTGTGTGACTCTGTCACCGATGATGGTTCGTCGTGGAGGCCGCCATTAGCCTGACGTAAGCATCACGGAGGTTGATACCCTTCTGCTATCTCCAGGTCGGTGATCGCGATCCCCTTCAAATCAGCGGTAATCCTCACTAGTGGGTGGTAGCTTTCACACACGATTCAAAAGATTCATAATCGCAAAGCTGAACACGCTGCTACCGTGTCGCCGACAAAGACATGCAATGACCCTGATGATTTCCGAGACTCAAATGGTAATGAATTGATGACCAACCCCTACAGCCCACGTGCCGCCACAGTTTCTTCAACACACGCAATCCTAGCGGAGGGACGACTCATTCCAGACGATGTGCCCGCTGTGACAAAGACATTGAGAGTTCTCGTCAGATATTCGGGCGAGGAAACTATGATGACTCTTCGTCACCGCGAGCTTCACTAGGCAACTGATCTGGAAACCAGCCATACAAGTCAAAGTCAACTATTCGCTCGCCCAGACTGCTTCTTTCAACTTGAACACCTTCAAGGGCAAGCGCCGATTCTTGACGTTGCGCGCCATTTCCGCCTCTGATCGGTGTAGTGGTCATATCAGTAAGCGAAGCAGCAGTCATCAATGAGCATGCAGCCCCCCAGAACCCATGCGTACCTGTTGCTGATGACTCCTTTGGAGTTGATGACGCGCTGCCAGGGTACGGTATCGCTGTTGTATCGCGCATCAGGCTGATCCGCTGCGGACGGAAGATACTTGAGACACATTCCTACTTGGCTGTGTATCATCAGTTTACAACTCATAGATCTCGTTGAGAAGACAGACCCTCACCGAGGTCGCTCCGCTGCGAAGATACATCAGCGTCAAGCCAAATTCATATGAGCTAAAGTGCATTGTTGCTCACGGTATCCCAACAGCATGGCAATGTGCCCATACGAAGTGACCTTGCCGTGAGGAACCTCTTGCACGGCCCTATATACCATGGTGTACCAAGCTGCTGCCTCATCAGAGCGAGGCATGGCTCTAGTATCTCGAGAGGATGCTACGTATACAATTTGAACAGTGGCGACCTAATGGCATCCGATCATGGAAGAAATCCCGGTAATTGTTCAACACCTGGGCGTACGTGTCGGATCTTGAGTAACGCCTCGAGTTGCTGGGAGGGCGGCTTGTTAGCGCGTCATTTGCTGTCACGCGATCACATGATAGCGGCGGTCCCCGTGCGGATTTGTTCCGAGATCATTGTCCGGGTGCCCAGGTGATGTTACGTCAAGCGTGCGGCAGGCTTGTAGCCATTTGTTGGGCGTGATTTTAACTAACATTGCTGTGCGCTTCGACGTCGCAAGCGAATTCCCGCCGATACACTTCATTATTCTCGTCAGAGAGCTCAAGCTCGATCCGGCCGGGTTACTCTCGCACCAATGTGATGGGTCTTGCGGAATACCTCGCGAAGAATTATCTTTCCGAAGATAAAAAGTCGACCAAGAAACGCAAGCGCAAAGAAGCCGCAGGCAACAGCGGCTTATTGCTTGCAGATGACGATGTAAATGATTGGACCAGGAAAACGGGTGCTGGTGCAGACGATGATGACGCCCCTGTCATCGTCGGTGCTGGCCTCACAGCGGGCCTGAATAATCCGACAAAGAAACAAAATTGGATTCGAGTAGGAAATGCAGCCCCCAAAGATGCCGAACAAGCTACAGCAGATGCCGTCTTAGCAGCTGCACAAGCTGAATCGCAGGCGCGTGCGCAGGCTCAGCAGGATGAAGATGGACCCGCGATAGTGGATGAGGATGGAATGGACTACGATGGTCCGACCATGGCGTCTGGAGCAATGGCCGGCCTTCAAACTGCCGATCAGGTCACAGCTGCGCTGAGGCGCAAAGAGAAGGCGGAGAAGAAGGCAATGAAAGCAGCCGGCATAGATCCTACCGGTCTAGCACAGCAGACCATCTATCGTGATGCGTCGGGACGGATGATCAACGTCAAAGAGAAAAAGGCGGAAGCAGAGGTCAAGGCGAAAGAGGACGAACAGAAAGCTCGTGAAGAGGTGGAGAGTCGCAAAGGTGACGTTCAACGGCGCGAGAAGGAGGCGCGGAGGCAGGAGTTGGAGGATGCCAAAGTTATGACATTTGCGCGGCATGCAGATGACAAGGGGTTGAACGAAGAGCTCAAGGAGAGGGAGAGATGGAATGACCCCATGGCGCGACTCTTGGCTACTAAGAAGAGCAGTTCGGCGACGGGAAGCGGAAAGTCGAGAAGCAGCGGCAAGTCGTATCAAGGCGCGTTTGAACCCAACAGATATGGCATCAAGCCTGGCTGGCGATGGGACGGGGTTGATCGTGGAAACGGGTTTGAACGGAAATGGTTCGCCGCTCGGAATCGTGTTAAAGATCAAGAGAATCTCGAGTACGCGTGGCAGATGGACGAATGAGAGAGGACTTTCACATCATTCCCTTCGACTTCTCGCACGACAAATGTCGCTCGCGCCGCCATGATGTGCACCACTATCTGAACAGACGATCCTGGCCGCTGGCTATGCGACATATGAAATTGAACCAATGCACACCCAAGGGCTGAAACGGCCATATCTCTCCGGGTTCCAGCCGCTAGTCAGCGTGCGATCACTCTGGATGACGCTGCAAATCGTCGATACGACATGCGTGGACGATATGCAATGCACGAACAGCTTTTGCACGGAGAAATTTTCTCAAGGGAGAAGTTCATCTTCGGAACTGACCGGACACTTTTGTACATGTACCCTCTATCGGGCGGCTCAAATCGACCATTGAGATACCTTCCCTTGTTATGACCTCAAATTGGGGGTTTCAGAAGACATCTTCAGGGTGGATCTTGTTCAAGAATCAGAGTCGACATATCATTTTGGCCTGTGCCCTTGAGAATTGCAATAGTCTCCTGCCGCTATGAAATAACTTATGGGTCATCTTTTTCAACAACATGATAAATTTGACACAATCCGAACCATGCTCGACGTCTGATACGAACCACATGACCTTATTTCGGCATCATTCCAGAAACTCCTCTCCAGCTTCGTCTGATATTGTGCTCCTCCCCAGTAGCCTCGCCGTCTCGATGTCCCCATCTCCTTGTTGTTACAGGATGCCATCTATTGATACAGGTTTTTCCGCGCTCCGTTCATTTCCTTTCCGTAATAACGCACCAGTCGAAGGGCTTTAGCAGTTCATTGTGTCGATCTTTTTAAAGCCTGTTTCCAATAAAGATCCAGGGTTAGTTTTTCAAACATCATCGAGTGACAAGTTCTGCCTGGCTGAGATGGGGGACTTCTGGAGTCTGAATAAACGTACGGTGGGAGAAGGAACTCGCTCCAGCTGCTTGAGAGGAACGCAACGCCGGCCTGCAAAGGGAAAACATAATGTTAGCAAGTTTTCATTCGCGATGGAGATGTTTCCTCCAGACGGATCTGCCAGTGGAACTCCTCCATTCATGATGCTCAATGACGTACCGCGAAGAAGGCAATCGATGTCACGACGGAGCGGTTGTCAGAGCTGGTGATGGCTTGGTATGCGGTGCTGGCAAAGCCCTGTTGCGCGGGTGCGCGGCCGCCGGGAAGACCTCGTCCTTTGGGCGCCATGATGGATACTATGAGTCGTTTGAAGAAGAGAGGATTGTCGAGTGTCGATGGGGGTGTAGAGGTCGGGAGATGGTTTGCAGATGATGATCGTGGTCGTGCTACATCATGCGCATGCTCGTCTGGGAATTCGAGATCTTGAATTCGCCAATCTGGTGGTCCGTGCACGTGCTTGAAACCCTCCCGGGGACAGTTTGCTCTCTATTGACCCCGAACATCACTGGTTTTCTAACATGATGACAGAAATTTGATTCATGGATAGAATCTTGGGAATAGCAAATTATTACAAGTTTGTTTCAGTGTGGCATTTCATCGGCTTCGATCACGTGTAAGGACTTCTCCACTTTGCGTCTGTTCGATAGTAAATCACAGTGTCGCAGCTGGATCCATCTTTCGGGTGTGCACAATCGGATAGAGATTGGAACTTGATTCGCGCTATGGTATCGTAAACAGCCCTCATCAAATCATTTTCATAACAGCCTGCAAGGAGACTCCTTCACGGGTCCGCCTCCGGGTGACCCTTCTCCACCAACTTGCCCACCACCATGTACTTCTCCAGAAAGCGTTCCTCCCATCCGCGCAACGCCTCCAGCTCTTCGGCCCCAAGGTCCTCGAGTTTGTCGAGTGGCCCGTCCAGATCCTCAGTCAACATCTCCACATCGAAGCTACCACAGGCAAGGCCACGACTCGCATCGCGACCGGCGAAATTGGCGTAGGGGCCTCCAGGTCCGTAGAAGTTGCGGCCGGGACTAACGTCGAAGACTCGGCCGCGAACAGCGAGATACACAGGCTGACCGTCTAAGCCGTTGTTGGGGAGGAGTTGCTTTGGTGTAAAGATCTTGAAAACGGTGGGCGGAGGCGCCGTTGGGAGAACTGCTTTGCTCTTGGCGGAACCCGGTCGTAGGCGCATGTAGACGAGGACGATGAAGAGAGAGAACAGGATCAGATTGATTGGCGAGGCGATGCTGGCACTGTTGCGCGAATCATTGTCAGCCAACCGTTGATCACGTTTGTAGTCGAAGCGATTGCTTACACGCCAGGCGCCGGCGTCACGGGCGATGTGCTGTCAGCCATGGCTGCTCACAGGGTCCTGGAAGATAGTTGGGTGCCGAGATGCGTGCGTCGAATATGGTACGATCAAGTCGCGACCAGAGCGACGCTTCGTGTCAAGTACGGACTGATATACTTTAGTCAAATGCGGGTTTTAAGGCGAATGTTCGTTGTGAAGGATCTGGGCAGTAATCGAATTTCATGGATTATGGGATCGGAAGCTGCCCAGGTGCAAGCTGTAGAGGAGGGTATATCACGTCACCAGCACAATTCGAGGCACCTGCAAGCTTTATTCTCGCTCGTGAAAATACCCGCTAATAAGCATATGCATATTACCGTAATACTTCGTTTGCATAAAAAGACCCTCGCTTGTGCTCAACTGTCGTGATACTATTCCATGAGTAATGCGACAAACACCCGTGGACGGTGGTGTCCATCTGAAGTACAACGGAAAATACAACATACTCGGATTATCGTGTTGCCACATGCCGACTGCTCCTCGCGCATGCCTGCAGACGCCATTGAGGTTCTACAAGGAAATAACCCGGCCGTAGATGTCCGCTGTCATTGCATTCGGTCGCCGGATTCTACCCGCCCGCAAAAGTCACACTGATGGAGGCACTCATACAAAACCCGCCCTGGGAACATTATGAATGACCCTGTCGCTTCCACACATTTTAGGTTCAATAACTGAATGATCGCCCGTCGCCCATTACAATGCCAGCATTTCACGAAAAGTCAAAGTCGTGTCGTCGGCCAGCAGTAGTACAGATGGCCCTGTAAGGTCAAGAGTTTACCGTTTCTCTATTCCGTGCCTTGTAGGCCATGGACATGACCAGGCCTCGGCCACCGAAATGGAAATTTGGCCAGTAGATTTAGCACCTTTGGCAGTTAGGGAGTGTGAACGTGCTCCGTGTGCCGCTCCCGTGATGCTGAATGTACGTGCCGTCTACGTATTGCAAGGATACTCGCTTGGCGCGGTGTGGTATTCCGATGTGCTTGAGGGCGCTGCGTTGCGATCGTCGTAAGTGCAGAGGATGTAGACGGTGAACCTCAAAGTCAGTGAGTACAGCAGTTCCTGACCCAGAGCATAGCGATACGTGATGGCTACAGTAACAAAGATGCGTGAAGCGTCCTGTCACACTGTCCCGCCGTTTATAGAGGAACCCTGAGCCAAGAAGAAACGGCAGCCGTTGCAAGCTGAAACAGATCGGCCAGAATCCACAAATCTCATTTGGCGCTCATTAAAAAAGCATGGACGCCGCAAGTCGAATTCGCACGTCTTTTATTTCCCGGTACAGTACAGAGCGCCAGGGTCGTTTCAACGTGAGTTTCGGCGGGATCGTGGCTGGTGGAGGACAATAAGAGCAAAACCCCACCATCGCCTCGGATGTTTCTCATTTTGCACCTCAGACCGCGTGGACACGCAAGAGAAATGTCATTGTGTGTGTCCAATGTGGACGCCGATCTGGTCTCTACTATAAGCTGTCATCGCAATACGCACCATGGGTTCCACAGCCCTGTGAGGCGTTTTTGGGAGCGGTGCGGCGCCAAAGAGAGAGGCCCTTGTCGGCAAGTGCGGGCGTATCGTTCGGGGTGATGATACTACTGTAGTCGCCGACCTCGTAGATCGCCGCCACCAACAAGAACGCGCATGGACGCGTCCTGTACTGCCACTGTGAGCTCCATTACGCCTGTCCCTAGCTCTAGCTGCCGGTATTCGAGAGCGCAGACGACGTTGGGCTACAATACTACGGAGTATCAAGAAGGACGTAACTTGGGGTCAGGAATATGTCATAATGATTTCCGTCGCACTCTTGCAGAAGATAGGTCAGTCCTTTGTCCAACTTCGTACATCTTTCGCGATTCTTATATCCCTCTGGTAGCGTGCGCGGCTTCAATTGTGCTGTTCGACTAATAACAATAGACTTCTTTGTCCTCGCCCAAAATAGCTACTCGGCGTTGACCTGCGTCCAATTATCAGACCTCCAGCCCGCTGACGACTTTTGGAAATCTTGTTAGCATCATCCGCTGTTGATACCCGCGACTTGCAGCTCTCAGACGAAACTGCGCTTTGCTTGGAATTTACAACATTCGCCTCCCCCGAGCATCCTCTGGTCTAGGCGCGTGTCGGATCAGTAAGACGGCGCCCCTCCGAACGCCGTATAACATTCATTTGCGAGCAACGTTGTGACCGTTCTCCGACTGCGCCGCACTCAGCCAGGGCCGATTGCAAGGCCGCCCGCGACCGACATTCTCCTTGTCGACGATCTTAAATTCACTTTTGCGATAAGCAAGATATTCATATAATTGCAGGTGCCTATCTGTTCGACTGAACAGTTTTGGGCTGTCATATTCCAGCCGGTTGCAGTGATGCCTGCCTACACCATTCAGCAGGACTTGCCATGGATGGTATCGGGAAGCGCGGCAGGAGGCTCAAGTACAAGCCTTGCTTCTGATATATCTGACGTACCGCCGCTGCGTATTGTAAGCCGCCGAACTGAGCCTTACCATGCGCAGGCGCGACGGGAGGTCTATGAGAGCGGTCGACAACTCCCACAACAGTCACGCCTGCCAGTGTTTCAACAAGTGCGTTCGATCCTGCAACCTCGTCGGTCACCCGCCCCGTCGGCTGGAGACGTCAGATGGGATCCATACAGCGGCGAGCCTAGCCTCGAAGGCAAGGCCGGACAAGTACAGCCATCGAACTACCAACCGCCATACCAATCCAACACCCGGAGGAGATCTCTCGAACGCCGTCGTTTGACTACGCGAACAAAGAGTGTGAGGTATTCCCGAAGCGTTTCACCTGTAAGCATGCTTCATCCTGAGGAATACGACTACGAATATCGACCTTCACTGGACATGCCGTATCATAATGACTTTCGATCCACCTCACCTGTGTCGTCCGTCTCTACGATTGCAACTCGGCACTCCCGTGGGCGTAGCGATACCACGGTAGATATGGCGACTATGACTGCTATCACCCCACAGCCCGTGATGCCCATCACACCGGTGTCACTTGCAAAGGTACCCAAGCGGAAGCCGATCACCAGAGCCACGCCATCGCCAGCACCCTCCGATCCCAGGACTTCAGTTTCTTCCATCCCAATCATCTCGAGTACGTTCATTCCAGGAGGTGACGCCGAGCTGGATGCCTACATGGTACAGTCACGGCCCAGCTTTGAGTCCTCGGTATCATCACACGCCCGCAATCGGTCTCAGAGCCACTTCAGCTGGACGACTTATGCTGCGTCAATCGCACAATCTAGCCAACCTGCCGACCCACCTACTCCCATCAGCAAGGCCATACCACGGGTCGATTCCACGGAGCCAGAAAGCCGGTTCAGTTGGAGCACAGTGGCCACGGCGCCTTCTAACCATCCTAGCCGTCTAGATTCACCACCTCCGAGCCCGCCACCGCCGGTGCCTGACAAGTATCGAGCACCGCCGATTCAGTCCATCCTCTCACGGCAGCGTGCTATACCTCGAGCCCAAGCACCTGAAAGGGCACCCGAGCGAGCACCTCTGAAAGAATCACCAGTCCGCGTCATTCCAGATGATCCACCGGCATCGCTCCGCCCAGTGGACACAGCAACCACGCTAAGTCTCTCGGCGCCCATATCTCCACGCTTCGTTAGCGATCCTCGTCCAAGAACAGCGGACGTGCGCTCGCCTCCCAGTGAGTTGATCGTCCTGACGGGAACTCGCCAACGCGGCGCCAGCCACGGCCAAAGCTCAGCGCTCTCCAATGGCGGCGTCACCAACGGCATCAATCCTAACACGCCCAGCACCACCGGCGCCAAACAACTACCCGCGCCTCCGCCCGAAGCCAACGAATCGGACTCGCCACTCACCCATCTCGAGAACCTGCTGCGAACTCAGCAAGACAAAGTCCACCAAAGAACCAACATCGAACGTTTGGTTGCGTCATTCTCAGCAATGGAAACGGCCAGTCCCCTCGATGTATCCTTCGGACAACTGCGCGACGCCAAACGTAAATTGGAAGAGCTGCGCATCACTTTGGACGAGGTGAAGCTGGAAGAGCGCGACATTGGAATTGCAATTAGTCGGGCGAGGAGAAAGGAAGGTGAAGAGGAGGGTCTGTGGGTAAGGAGAGTTCTGGCATGAGCGATCGCCAGATGTGCGAGTCGGGAAAGTAGGAGTCGGATCGAAGGTGAGAAGAGACAGGAATTGGGACGTGGAGTTTGGAAAACATGGACTATTGCGGATATGGAAGTGCGCGAGGCTAGACTGCAAGCACTTTTCGTTTTTCGAGGACTTAGGCAAAGCCGGTCTCGACGCCTCCTCTGCTACTACTGCTGAGATTGGCAACGGGCAAACACCCATCTGGTTATGCGCTTCCTGTGCTGAGCGCGCAGCTTTCGTTTGTATTTTATGAATTTTGTCTGGGGGCATCGCATGTCGTCTACAGGCGTTGTTGATCATCAAATCCTCGGCGGCCTCCACGTTATGGCGAAGGATTGGCGTAGTGGAGAGCGAGCCGGTGTAATTCAATAGCAATTCGAAAAACTACTTTTTCTAATACCCATGAATCGCTGAGGCAGAACGATTTGGTGGTGAAAGGAGCGATCGCAATACCCTGAAAAAGTGAAGGCATCACTCATGTACAGACGTAGACACGACACAAATGGTGACTAAGTCGGCAGCTTCATCGCTATCGTAAAAGATCTAGGACAAAGAGCATGTCTACGTTGAGAAGAGGGCGCTCCACTTGGGCGCGCATGGCATTGAGGCTGTGCTATCGATTGCGCAGTGAATACTGGAATTGGCAAAGAGAAAGGAAATCACAAGCGAAGGCCACCTGAGCATGGGAGATTTCTTGCGCTTCTGCGAAGTATTCGGGCAGAATCGCCGGGTGGAAGATTGAGAATTGTGGTTGCCTGGAGAAGCAACGCCGAAGCGGTGGATTTTTTCATATGATGAAGCTGTGAAGGTTTCTGGTAGCGGGGAGACTGCGAATGCGGCGGTCTCATTATATTGTTGGGGGGATATATGTATGATGAATGGCCGTGGTCAATTATGTTTCGGCAATCTTCGACTTTGGCACCCTCAAATCTTCACGGGTCCGACTGCTGATCGACGTGTATTTCAAAATCGTATGATATCTGATCACTGGACAAGCGCGCCCAAAAAAACCAGTCGAGAGCCCTTTTCGGCAGAAATCCCCAGACACTAGCGGCGGGTCCATTGGCCGACGAGGGCCCGTTGTTATTAAAATAAGAGCCCCTGGGAACACACAAGATCATAATCATTCACCGAACCCTCGTTCACGACGACATCTCTCATCATTTTTAATTCCCAGCGGAACCACATCGGACCTGACGACGACACAGGAATCCCTCATCAAGTATATCATCTGCACAAGCTGTAGCCCGACTGTTGGACAACCCCAACCGCAGCTGTCCATTTTGACCACATTTCTCATATTTCAATATATCCTGATACCCAAGAAATAAATTTATCAAACCTCAAAAAGCCGACATCATGGGTATCGTCGCAGATCTCGTCATCGTCATCGCCGTCGTCCTGGCAGTCATCATGGCGGCGGAGTCCAACCTCGACAGGTTGACCATCTTTGACCCGACTCACCTGCACAATGCAGCACAAAAGGCCATCGCCGTCCATGGCAATGACACTCGATTGATAGTTGATCATATCGTCGGAGCATTGAAGGCCAATGCCACCCTAGCTCCCTTCTTGAACCTCAAGGAGGAGTGGATCTTCAACAATGCCGGCGGTGCCATGGGTGTCATGTACATCATCCACGCAAGTGAGTTTCCCCCCTCTCCCTGTGCTCTCCCATGTCATCATCAAAATTGAAAATGCAACTAATCGGACCTTTCTCTTTGCTCCGCAGGCGTCACCGAATACCTCATCATCTTCGGCACCGCCATCGGCACCGAGGGCCACACCGGCCGGCACACCGCAGACGACTACTTCAACATCCTGACCGGCACCCAATTGGCCTTCACCCCAGGAACCTTCGAGCCGGAGGTCTACGGACCGGGTACCGTGCACCACCTGCGCCGCGGCGACGTCAAACAGTACAAGATGGAGTCGTCGTGCTTCGCCCTCGAGTACGCGCGCGGCTTCATCCCGGGCATGCTGTTCTTCGGCTATGCCGATACTTTCTCGAGTACCCTCGATTTCCCTACCATTTGGGCGACGACCCGTGTTACAGGACAGCAGATTATCAGCAACTTGTTGAAGTTCAAGTATTGAGCTGGTTTTGGGTTGTGGGCTCTCTGCCTCCCAGGTCAATGGTCGAGCAGTGAGGTCTTGGGTTAATGTTCAATGGGTTCGGATTGTGGCGTGGTACTCTCACGATCAATGCCGTCACCAAAGATGAAATTTTTTGAATAGTTGCAGACTTATCAGTACTGTTCAAAGGATAAAATCCAAAAAGGAAAATTCAAATGGGATATCTCAGTTCTATCATGCCAAGGCGTACTGTTCTCGCGCATCCCCATGTCCGTTGTGGGACTATTCCAATCTATAAGCTTTCGAAAATGTCAAGTAATCAATTTCGCTTGCTGAACACCAAACTGTACACGAAAAAGCCTGTGCGGAATTCACGACCGCCCGCTCCTGGCGCGCGGCTTCTTGCCCACCTCCCGTTTCGACAACGGCTCCTCCGGCCACACCCATCCACGCACGCGCTTCGCCTCGCGTTTCTCCGGCAAGCAAGGTTTCGGAAATCCGACATCGCGGGCGAGGTGCCGTTTGCGCGTCAACGCCGCCGGCGCGCCCGCGTCCATGCGCCAGTGGTACTGGCCCACGAACGGCTGCTCCTTCGCCAACATGTGGAGGTACCACAGCGCAAGGCCGACCGTCATGCGGAGTTTCCCGCTCGCGTCGCTGCCCTGCGTGCTCACCTGGATCGTCGGGGAGACTTCGAGGTAGCCGAAGAGAGGCACGTTGTCGGCGGCTGGAGGGCCGCCGGCCCGCACGCAGACGAGTTCGACTTCGGTCATGATGAAGCCGTAGCGGGTGCCGTGCTCGCGCATGAAGCCGTGGAGATGAGAGAGGTGGCGGAGATATTTCACGCGTTCGGTGGGAGTGCCGCCTTGCATGCTGGAGCTCCACTGCTCGAAGCCTTTGACGATGCCGACGACTCGGCCGGTGCCGTTGCCGGAGATGATCTTGTCGTCATCGGATTGGTAGTTGGCGACGAATTCGGGTTGTTGTCGAGGAGCCATGGCAGCGGTCGCGGCTGCCAAGGTCCGAATTGTGATGTGTTTGGTGGCGCCCTGGGTGATTTTGAGCGCAGCGTTGACTTTGACTGCATGGTGTTGCGCACAGATGTCTGTTAGCTGGCGGAGACTATCTGGCGTTTGGTTTAGGCGGACTGGGCTTGGTAATTTGCTCGTAGGAATAGGAAATTCGAGAAGGTCGAGCAGATGTGGAACCGCTTTCATCGTGTCCACATTGAAATCTTCCCACGGTTTGACGTTTCGGATGTCAAACCAGAAGTGTGCGTTTCTGTCGTGTCCAGGCTCTGGCAGACGTTTGACCAGAGAGGGCATTGGATTTGAGGAAGTCAGATACTTGAGAACGGTCGAAGTTGGCACTTCGGAATCGATGCTGGGATCGGTCGTCGCGATAATGCGACTTCTACTGGCTGGAGGAGTTACATTCCTGCGATTGTCCTTGTATGATGGCATCTGTCCGCCTGTCATCATAATCGGAGCGAGGTGACTCAGGGCGTTTGGAATCGGCGGGAGAGTCATGCCGACTGGCTGGAAAGCTGGACCGGCACGATACGGAAATCCGTGGCGCATGAGCTGTTCGGCGTTGACACTTCCAGAGGATCCAGTTCGGGAGTGGCCACGAGCGCTTGGCACGGGTTGCGATGAGGCTTGCAAAACTCTTGGTTGGTTTGCAGCGGTCGGGACAATCGGCTTCATATCGTAATGAAGCTGCTGTGGGACATAGGTGTATTCAGAGTGGGCGTCCGGCGGTGTGACCGATCGATAATCAAGCGCCGAACGAGGTAAATATTCGCTTCCATATTGAAGCGGGAGGATATTGCTTGGACAAGAGATCGTACGGCTATGGCCAGGGTGGTTGGCCGCCGAGGTCCGTCCAACATAACCATTCATTTGGCTGTAATCGAATGGCTTCGAGAGCGACCATTGAGCCTGAGAGTCAACCAGATTGTTTCCAGGCGATTTTGGAGGCGTAGTGGCTAGAGTGTTGTCCGTTTGAGGCGACCAGCTATTGTAGTAATAAGACGATGTTGAAGCTGTACTTGCGCTGCCACCGGGGCAGTGGAAGTTCTCCAGATCGTAAGCTGTGCTGAGCGTAGGAGGTGTGGTGGTCCGGTTTGCCATGATTTCGAGTGCTTGAAAAGGCGTCCAGCGCCGAGAAGATGAAGCACGATTATTAACAATAAACACTATGTGTGAGTTTTCGTGCAGCGCTCGAAGCAGAGGCCAGCTCCGCGGAATGATGATTACAAAAGAAACAATGAAGCACAAAAGGAGATTCGTCGCAGGCCGTGCCAAAAAGAAAGATCAAGAGCACACAAACCGGAGCATGTACATGAGGAAGAAGATCTCAGACCACAGGCGCCAATGCGGATGGACAACCGTCTCTATAAGGGTGAGGACCTACCATCGTCATGAAGTGTGCCGAGGACATATTCCCCAAAGCATCGGCGAATGAACGACCTGGCGGCTGACTATCGGCCATCTGAAACAAGAACCGTGGAAAACACCATCATGTTTGGCGACTCTTACCATTCTGGGCATGATGAAACGAATGCCCAGCGCGACCGACAGCACGGCCACGCGATCGCGCTGGGCAGATAGAGTTCAACGCGTCGAGACAATTACCTGACAACGACGTGCGCGCGTACAATGAGGGAAAAAATTGTGTCTTAGCGAGCGCGAATGAAGCTTTTTGGTAAACATCACCAGTCGGGACTTAACATCCGGAGCATTTTTCAAGGTTAGACGTGTTGTCGGCGCTTACACCTTCGTGAAGAGGGCGCTTGGCGAACCGCTGGGCTATGATTGGTCGAAGCTGCCTCCGCCCATCAGATAGGGCTTGCATCTCGGGTGCAGATGGGCGAAACAGCGGTCCCTTGTCTCTATGTACTTCGCCTTGTTGTTTCAAACCTCACCTGCATGATGCATAGAGTCTCTAAACCTTACTGCATCTTTGGGATATGACATTGATGTTGAGTATCATATTCGCAACGAGGGATGTCCACATCCTGTCGTGGGAAAATACCGTCGGCTCATGTCGAGAGCACGGGTGGCCGCCGTTTGTACAACACAACAGAAATAGAATAGTGCCGAGACACCACGCTCGGTGGTCACACTTGTGCATCACGCGAAATTACGACGTTGTTGACGCGCGCTTCAAGCTGGTGAAATTTCCATGGGGGGACCGATGCACTTCAAAAGCTTCTCCTCTCACGTCCTGCGTCTGCTTGTCAGCAGGATCGATCATCGCCCCACGTCCTGTGCCGCAACACCGCATCGTTGCCTGGAATGCGGCATTTGCGTCCCAACATTTCCACGGCAAGCTATGCAAGGCTGACATGCTTTTTGTCCACAATGCGTACCAGTGATCTGATGAACCTTGTTGATCTGATTCAATTACGCTGATCTATCAGCTGTTAAACACATACGAGGGCGCATATTTCCAGGCCATTCCTACACGGCCAGATTTAACAAAATCGTATCCTTCGTCAAATCATAATTCATGTCAAGGCAGGGCTATCATCTCCCCAGGATACTCTCATCCCCGAGAAAGTTCATAGCCAGTCCACTATCCACAGGCGCCTGCGCCGTCTGTCGTGACCGTCTTCGCCGTGCTGACTCTCGTGTCCCTCGCCTGCCAAATGCAGTATCGTCGGGTACATCCAGTCTTGTATTAGTCGAATTTTGTACAAAATTTTCATTCATGTGGTGTTCTCCGGCATTGCCAAGACCCCAGATCTCCGTGGTGCCTTGTCGGGCATCATCTTCAGGCTCGTTCTGTGTCAGAACCAGACCAAGCTGCATTCGTCGAGCAAGATTCTCGTCTTCACGTTCTTGGTGCCGGCGCTGATCCATTTCGTTGTGAAATGTTCGTGGGGGCTGGCGTTGTGTGTTGCCGGGCTCCGCAGCAGGTGTGTCCGCAGCAGGGAACAGATGCTGTATTCCGAGCCTTCGTACGACATGATCGAGTCCTTGTGGAATTCTCATATCAACCAGGCGGTCTCCATCGGACACACCATTGTGATTGAACCAGGGACAGTCACAGGTTTTCCATTTCTTGCCACACATCATGCAGAATTGAGCCTGACAGCGGCACGTCATATGGTTGCAGCCTTCCTTGAGCTCAATCATAGCATGGCAGCTATAGCATGATTGCCAGCCGCTTTTCTTTCCTTCCTCCACAAGCTTCTGTATCTCAGGGTCCTTCGGACATTCCCTAGACCTGTGCATTTTCGTGTGGCAAAGGACACATACTTTCGTTTCGCACCTAAGGCATTGTGCAAACTTTCGTCCTTGGAAACTATGGACCTGGCCCGGTCTGATCCAAGTGCCACATTTTGGTGCCGGACAGTAGATCCGGTTCTTGGTATTGTATTCCTGATAACGACGGTTCCATCGGACTTTGAATTTGGTGTCGAAGAGTTTATCCACATGCTTCAGCGGGATGTGCTCACTCGTGCAGCACTTGGGCGGCATGTGAGCAGGATCTTTGACAGACATTTCGAATATACGTCTCAGGCAGTCGTGACACATTCGATGGCCACAACCAAGTTTGGCGGTCTTCACCGCAGGGACATCATCGGAACCACATGTGAGGCATTCGACCAAGCGAGGTGGTGTCGGTACAGCACTCGTGGTATTGCGGCGCATGAGCGAGCCAAGAAAGGATGATACACGGTTACCGGTTTTGTTGGGCGTGTGAGTAGAAGCGTTTTCAACTTTGGCATCAGCCTCAGCGACAGGTGTCAACTTGGCTGAAACTGTGTTGCTCCTTCGCAAGGATGGCCGATCCGTCATAGTCGACCTCCGCCGCCGCCGGCTTGCAACCACAGAGACACTGTCATCGGGACCAATGTCGTCCTCCCCTATAGATGACAGTCCCTGCGCACGAGAAGCGTCCGACCGTGAAGACGAAGGCCTTTCCCACCGTTTTCCAGCATCTTGCGCGGGTATATCTCTCATCCCATATACGTAATCTGCAGTCCTTCGCTCACCTTCTGTCCTAGGCTTCCTCGGTCGCGGGGGACTCTTGACTGTAGTATTGTCTTTTCCAGCAGAACGCTCGCTCAATGCTCGACGCCGTGAGGTACTGCCTCGAGACGGTGATGGGGCAACAGCTCGACGGCGTTCTACAGGTCGCAAGGTGAAATACGCAAGTCGCGATTGTCGCAAAGCCTCAATATCAGGCCGAGCCGGCACATCGTCAGCTTTAGCTGCATATTTAGAAGCAGCTGATCTTCGGCGCGTTGAAGACGGATTCGATCGTTCGATGGGCGTTGATTTGTTGGCACGAGGCGATCGTTTGCTCTGAACACTACTTGATGCCATCTCGGCGGATGAACACGACACTCATCTGCATGGTTTTTGCATCGTCTGTATTTGGTCTCAAAGCATGCATGCACTTCAGAGCCTCTAAAAGAATGGGAGACGTGAAAGAATTGAACAGGTTGCAGGTCCTTGACTGATCGATGGCGATGGCAAGGCACGCAAGGCACGATCTATCATGCGGACCAGATGCGCGAGGCGTCTGGATTTACGGAGGGTTCGGCCCTAACACATCATCTGCCGTATCTGAAAATGCAGGTGATCACCACACGACCTTTGGCGATCGTGCGGCATACAGAACATATTCTTTTTAATTGTGGTGGATTATGACTATAATGAATTTGAGTTGATAAATTGAGCGGTTACGTTTACAACCTGCAAGATATCACTTGGACTGTCTAGGTGAGGCGTGTTGGATGCTGTTCACTCTGGCAATTTAGCTGCCATTTCTGCAAGTGCTGGCGCCAATTTGTCCTCAATGACGTATACTTTCCCCGTCTTACCGGATCGGGGTATTTTTGAATATCTTCATCCTGAATTTGAGCATTCATGATCATGAAGACATGGTATTCCTCATTAATGAATAGTTGTCACCCTGAGCCAGGTGAGTCTAAGCCTATCAGATCATGATTATCAATCTCGTCATTTGTTACAAGACTCGGAGGCTGTCTGCTTCCAACAGTGCCCAGGTGTAGATACGCTGTGCACGCTCAAATTGCTCAAATTCCTTAACGAGCGCACAACACGTTCACATTAAACATACATTCTCCAAAAGGCACTCATCTCGGTCGTAAAAACAGTCATGGATCCAAGTGAAGTTACCGTGTCGCCATTGAAAGACCTGACGATTGACAACATCACTGAAGACGTCAAGTTGATCAACGCTCAATGTCCTAATCCTAGATTGAAATACATACTCGAGAGGATTGTGCAACATTTGCATGACTTTGCACGAGAGACCAGACTCAGTCATGATGAGTAGATGCAGGGCATTTGTTTTGTGACATCGGTCGGCCAAACTTGTAAGATATGCCTCCGATCACATCAAGCTGCGGCTTTGCGGCGATTGTAAAATGATTCATTGGTCATTCTGACCATGAACATCCAGGCACCGATGTGCGCCAGGTGGGTCGTCTCAACTGGATGGCATCATGACGAGCAGGATTAACTTTATCAGGAATTCATCTTGCTCTCCGACGTACTCGGCCTGTCCCTTTTGGTCGACAGTATCGATCACCCGAAGCCTCCATCGAGCACTGAAGGCACGGTGCTGGGTCCCTTCCATTCACACGAAGCTGAGATAGCATCGAATGGGTCGGTCATCGCCCATGACCCGGACGGCGAATCATGCCTCGTCCGCTGTACAGTCAAAGACACCGATGGAAAAGCAATATCTGGCGTCAAGATCGACGTCTGGGAAAATGACAGCAAGGGCTTCTATGACGTACAGTATCCGGGTCGAGATGGTCCTGATCAGCGTGCCGTCATGACTAGCGATAAGCACGGCGTATTCTGGTTCAAAGCAATCGTCCCTGTGCCATACCCTATTCCTTCCGATGGACCGGCCGACCGAGCCATATACACTTCATGTTCGAGAAGGAAGGATTTGACCGCCTTATCACGTACGTACCTCTTATCGCAGTATTGTGGTACATCGTCACAATCTGACCATAACCTGTCGGAGAAGTGCACTTTACCTTCGAAATGATCCCTATGAGACCTCGGACGCTGTCTTTGGAGTCAAGGACTCCCTCATGGTGGATTTGGATATCGTTGATGCAGCCTCGGCCCAAAAGTATGAGGTGCGAGAAGGCACCAAGATGGTCAGCTATGATTTCGTGCTCGTGTCAGACCAGGAAGCGAAGGCGTTGAGAGAACACAACGCAATGCAGGCCATGCGCAAGCTAGGTCGAAGCATGAAGTTGTGGCACGGTCTTCCGGTTTGTTACTTGTCCCCGGATCTTCGCCCAAAGTGCACCAACTGATGTTTTCGAACAGGTTCCAGACGTCGATTAACTTTACAAGCTTGTATAAATGCAGGTGAACAAGGCGATCGCTCGACACAGACTGCGAAGTCGTACGTGGCATAATGTTCATCCATTGATGTCGACATTTGACATTAAAACACCGAAATCTGCTCGAACGGCAGCTAGATAGGGCATGGTTTGCACCCTTGAGTCAATTTCGAGTCGCATCAAGCTCCTGAGCGGAAGCAACGATATCCGTGCCCATAAATTTGCTTAGGGATGCGTTTGAATATTATATGCCAGAGACTCAGAGCGTGTCTTCACGCCACCGCTTTGTTACGGTGACCGCTCTCATGCCAAATTATCATGTTGCATGTTCTTATACGGTATTTGCTGGGATCACTGTAAGGGCATACCTTTTTTCACATGCCGCTACGCCTTATCTTAGGTCATGCGCTGTCCCGACAATCAAGTACATCCCGAGAGGTCTCTTGTTATCGCAATCTGATAGTGATGGTCTCCAGGGTGCAGTCATGTGCGCCAATTCAAAACTCTAATGTGGTGATTACCATCTCTGCATCGAGTAGAACCGGATTCGTCTGCCCTACCGTGCGCCGTTGGCCGCATCATCAAAATGGGCCCGGGGCTTTCACGATCCGTGGCGTGCCAGCCAAAAATGAATGTAGTAACCCGTTTCGGCTAGTAATTAATCTTTATTAAGAGACCATGAGGTATTCGTCGATCATTTGGTGGAGGATTACCTCGAGCACCCGGAGAATCTAGGTCCTGTTCTATTGTCTCGCCTTATTGCAACGTCCAACGTTGAAGCGCAAGCAATATATATCGACTGTCTCTATCGGCGTGGCCAGCAAGCGTTTCATGCCACACTATACAAGAACGCTCATCGCATGGCAGGTCCCTTCGGCCAAAACCTGTTCGGACTGACGCTAGACGCGCAATGCATGAAGCAAACCATGCTCACTTGCGTTCTTGAGAAAAAAAAATCAATCTGCTTCAGGTAAAAAGGAAGAGGAAGGAGGATCCCAACTTTTTCCAAAGTTAATCAGGCGGCACTATCTGTGAGCCAAAAGGTCATGACCGGAGATATCACGATTTGTTGACTTACTTGCGACGCGCTGCACCACGATGGTTCTTGCAGGCCAATGTCCCTGTTACGTAGTAACCTGCGGCGCTGCGCCATAGAGTGATGGCCTAGAGCATGAACATTGTGTCGTCAACGCTTTCAAAGAAGTCGATTGCCCTTGGGGGAAAGCATCAACGCGTGCATCCTTAGCGCGAACTTGAGATCATGTATCTCCGGAACATTCTTATCCGTATCAAGCACAGATCTTCTGGCTCCGTCCAACTCTTCTTCTGATGCTCTGTCGTTCCACCGATCATGACGCATCACGGTTGGAACCGCCAACATCTGATCGGAGCCATATATGTGGACTGCTGCTGGCGTATACTCCGTCACTTTGATCGGCAATCTCTTCTTCATTCTATTGTGATTGATTATCCAACCCCTTTGCGATCAATTTCAATTTTCCAACGATCTGCTTTATCAAATCAAAGCAACGATGCTTTGTCAACCAGCCATCGCCTCCATGTCTCTTGGACGGGCTTGCGCGCATGGCATGCCGGCGAAATTAGATGAGGCTGCCCGCCATGGATTCGACATCGAACTCTTCCACGAGGATCTTCTCAGCATAGCTGAGCTATTACCCGGAGGACCGACACCGCATAATCAGATCAAAGCCGCCGAAGAGTTGCGTTCAATGTGCGATGATCGAGACATTTCAATAATGTGTCTGCAACCGTTCATGCATTACGAAGGCTTGAGAGACCGACTCAGACATGATGCACGGATTGTCGAAATGAAGTTGTGGATTCAACTAGCGCAGCTGTTAGGAACAAATCTGATCGCTATCCCTTCTTCATTCTTATCGGTCGAAGAGGCTAGCGGCGACCTCGACCTGATCATCCGAGACTTACAAGAGATCGCAGACTTAGGACGTCCTGCTGGCATGCAATTCTCGTACGAGGCGTTATGCTGGGGTACGTACGTCGATCATTGGGAGCAAAGCTGGGATATCGTGCAAAGAGTGGATCGACCAAATTTTGGATTGTGTCTCGACACTTTCAACATCTGCGGACGAGTATATGCGGATCCAGCATCGCCGTCGGGCAAGACACATAACGCCGATCAAAAGCTTGCGGCCTCAATACAACGGCTTGTGGCGACCGTCGATGTCAATAAGATTGCCTTTGTTCAGGTCGTCGATGCTGAACGCCTACACGAACCACTCGTGAAGGGCCACAAATATTTCGACACAACACAACCAGCGCGGATGAGCTGGTCAAGAAACTGTCGACTTTTTTACGGTGAAGAAGATCGTGGGGCATACTTACCTGTGTACGAAGTCCTTCGTGCCATCATTGTTGATCTCGGGTATCGGGGATACGTCAGCGCAGAGTTATTCAGCAGGACTCTCTCAAGAGCCGACCCCAACGTACCGCGTGACCATGCCTCGAGAGCCGCTAAATCATGGGACAAGATCGTGGCCGACTTTGACCTAGACACCGAAATGCCACAGTCATTCAGCTCACGCGTCATCGAGCAGCCTCGAGCTCTATTGTGAGTCGAACAGGTCCAACGGTGGCGGCATACTTTCGCAATGCAGTATGTGCTGACGACCGATGTCTCCACAGAAGTTCAGCTCAGGCATATCATCTCGCGAACCATTCCTCAAATATGAGACTTCATGACAAACCTACCGAACACGCTGGAAACTTCTTATTTTTGCTAAGTTTCATTGTGTCATGGTTCCATGATCTCATGAGTCAACCGAAAATATATTCTGATGGGGTAAAATCCTCACTCATGCTGCGGACGGAACATGATTAGGCATTCTGGAAGAATGCCAACACTGATTCCGCCGAGGACACAGTGAGTTCGCTGCCGGGTTCATTCTTCGCATACACAACCTTATTGTTGTCGACGACGATGGCGAAGCGTCCAGTCCGCTCGCCTTTGGTCCAGCCGATTTTCTTGGCAAACGCAGCGGACGGGTCAGCGACGAAGAGCTATTGAGCGTCAGTTGTAATACAAATTTATATTATTCGATTCGACAGACCGTGTAATCATTCTTGACGCCATTTTCCCTTCTCCACGCATTCATAACCCATGCATCATTGAAAGCAACGACGAGGATCTTGTCAACGCCGGCTTTCTTGAAATCCTCGAGACGGTCGAGGAAACCAGGGATGTGTCGGGCGGAACATGTGGGAGTGAAAGCTCCCGGAACTGCAACGAGCACAATTTTCTTGTTATTGAACTCTGTAGTTTACGGTCATCAAGATGTTCTTATTCCTGTTTGGTTGTAGCAAACGTGGGCAGGAGAGGCAGTCGCTCACCTTTAGAGACTTCGAGATCTACGGGTCGACCACAAGCAGCTTCATCCGAGGTCTTCTCATCGTAAGGAATGTAAGAGAATGTCACATTGGACGGAAAGTCGTCTCCAGGATTCAATGCCGTCATTTTTCTGCGTTCGCGTTTGTATTCGTTGAAGAATGGTTGTTGGATTGTGCAAGATCTGTGCTGTATCTGGTGGGGGCGATATTGATGGGGATGATGACGGCGAGCGTCCGTTCAAATAGGCGGGGCTGAAATGATTAGGACCTTACGACGTTCAAATGCGCGCCCGTTGTCGGTGATGTACGCAATTGAGCTAAATTTATGCACACCAGTGCACCACGGTCGATAGGCCCTCGCTGTGATTGGCTCAGCGCGATTTTCTGACAGGTACGAACGTCAAGCATTTTGAATTCGTCGTCGTGGGCTGGACTATTTCGCAATAATCATAAATCGAGGTTCTCCCAAGCCACCAATCCGTACATTTGCATCGACATCCTACAAATCCATGAAATCGTCAGGTGCACGCACTCCTGACGAACACACGGCAAAACTTACCGACTACAAACGAATTCCTATGGGCCACTACACGCCAACCGAGCCTGTTCTTTCTTGCTGGACGAGCGACTCTGTTGCGACGCTCACCAGCGCCCCGCGACTGTCGCGTACCGATTCCAGCTTCGCTTCGCTGGACTGGCTACTGGCGGGAAGCCCGCCGTAGAGGAGAGTCCTTGAGGGTGGGCGAAAAGAGCATTGTCACTGGTTCTTGAATTACGTGACTCTTGAATTCTGAGCCAGAGCTTGAAAAATCAGTCAAGCAAGAAGACGTGGGAATACCTGTGCTACCAGTTGACTATCACACGAATACGTTGTGTGTGCGTGGTGACCTCGCTGCAAAGCGAGCCCTGGAATTCCCAAAAGCGCGAACCTTGAAGAGCGGACATAATGCCCGGCATGGACATTGACAGTGCGTCTTGCACACTCGATGTTCAGCGCTCGCCTCCGATTCAGATCGCTTCTCCGCGCATCTCGGCTCTACCTGAATCGCACCTGGACGATTCAGAAGTCTTTCCGAGACTCGATCATGAAGCTATCAAGGAGAAGGCTAAGAGGCGGAGAAAGCACAAGAAGAAGGCGCAAGCTGCTGCGCCTGCTCTAAATGTGATCCGAGGATTTCAGACGCCCGCGGCCTCGGGAGGTGAAGAGTCTGATATTTCGACGTTCAACAGCCCTAGAATGGGTGCGACTAGGCTGCGTGACTTTCCGAGTGCTACAGCCAGTCCGGCAATGCGACCGACTGTCCTCGGAGCCGGCGTCAGTGCATTGAGCGCTCAACTTGACGCCCTCGAACTCGAGAATACCCTTGAACGACCAAAGCTCACGCGGGTGACGACCAATACCTCGTTATGCCAAAGCACTGCACCTCCTTCGTCCCGTGGGAGCGACGGAGATAGGACTGAAATGGAGACATACGATGTTCCATTGGATGAAGACTTCATCAGTCCCGATGCTGGTTCCCGTACTCCGCTCCTTGCACAGGCGATGAATGGAGGTTTGCGAAGTAATTCGGTCCATCGGAAGATGAGTGCTGACGACTTCGAGCCTGTGCGCTGTCTAGGCAAAGGCGCCTTCGGGACTGTTCACCTTGTCAAGCAAAGTGCGACTGGCAAGCTATTTGCTCAGAAACAGTTCAAAAAGGCTAGCTTGACGGTCCACAAGCGTTTGATCGAACAGACCCGAACGGAACGTACAATCCTGGAGTCTGTGAATCGCCATCCATTTGTGGTCAAGCTGTATTATGCATTTCAGGACCATGAAAAGCTCTACTTGATCCTAGAATATGCCCAAGGAGGCGAACTTTTTCACCACTTAGCCATTGAGCGAATGTTCACGGAGGATGTCGCAGCTTTCTACATGGCAGAGATGATCCTTGCTCTCGAGCACCTTCACCAGAATGTTCGGGTCATCTATCGCGACCTGAAGCCCGAAAATTGCTTGCTGGACGTTGAAGGTCACTTGCTCTTGACTGATTTCGGACTTTCTAAGGTGGCACTCGACAGCGAAGACGAGAGGACAAACAGTGTCTTGGGAACCATCGAATACATGGCGCCAGAAGTTATTGAAGGCAAAGCTTACGACTTCTCCGTTGATTGGTGGGGCCTAGGTGCCATTGGTTTTGATTTGCTGACCGGTAGCCCTCCCTTCGGTGGCAATAATCATGCGAAGATCCAACACAACATTCTGACTCAGAAGCTGAAGCTTCCATACTTCCTTGGGCCGGATGCGAAAGATCTCTTAACTAGGCTACTTCGTAAGGAACCGCAAAAGCGCCTTGGTGGCACTACACCGAAAGACATCAAAGCGCTCAAAGCGCACCGATTTTTCCGCAAAATTGATTGGAAGAGACTCGAGACACGGGATTTAGAGCCAGTAAGTGTCTCCTCCTTGAGGCCCTCCATACAGACATTTGCTAAAACTAATTCCGCTTCTAGCCAATTCAACCTGTCATTACGGACCCTGCACTTGCAGAGAACTTCAGCAAAGACTTCACGGATCTGCCGCTGAGTCCTGTTGTCGTACGCGATGGCAAGACTTTTGACGATTACATGACGGGCTACTCTGCCAGCGAGAGCAATCCCTTCGGAGGATTTAGCTTTGTCGCAAGCAAGAGCCTTCTGGATGATGACGAATTCATGCTCGACATATGATACAGCTGTAGAGCCATAGAATATTGGTCATCTTGTACATAGCATCACTTTGGGGAACAAATTATATTACCATGTTGTCTTTCTGCCATCATCCATGCATTATTGATAACACACGTGATACTGCTGCCGGAAAGCGGCGTGGAGTGAGCCGAATGATCGACGATGCATAACCCTAAGACATTCTTGCGCCAATTCAGCTCAGTCCTGAGCGGCCCTGAATGCTAGAATTAAATGTGATGATCCCAAGACTCCACTGACAGTTTATCGTAACGTATCAATGGGCAGTCCCATGTAGTACGCAATGGATGTACGATACTCGCATTCATTCGATCAAGTGCCAGAATCGAGCTCCTCCCTGTCTGACGCTCCCTCTCACGATGCCCTGACGGAAGGCTTCCAGTCGCGAGCAACCTCGCTCGACTCGTCACATCACTCGGGCATTAACACGACCCGGAACCTGCAAAGCACGAACTCGCCTCAAAATTTCAACGCTGCTCAGGGTGCACAGACAACCTCACATGGCTGGGATACATCAATATTTCCCGCAGCACAACAAAAAAGCACAGCTTCGTCTACAAGCACTCCGTCACATGTCCCATCACAAATAATATCAGCAACGCCGAGACGCAGTAGTACGAAGACAACTATCGATTCCGCGAATTTCTCAAACACGAAAGGCGTCGCCAAGGCAGACGAAGATGCTTCGCGTTCAGCTGTACGTGGTCGTGGCAGAGGTGGACGGCCAAAAGGTCGAGGCCGAGGCGGCAAAAGCAGCAAACGCAAGCGCTCAGACGATGAGGACGGTGATTCAGACTCTAGTGAAGTCATCACACCAGTCACTACTGTCACGAAATCAGGTCGCTCAATTCTGAAACCTTCGTCCTTTGTTCCGCCACCGATGTCTCCTCCAACAGCAACCAAACGAAAACGTCCTTTTCGACAGCGCAATCCGGAGAATGCCGTCTGCAAAACGTGTCTACGCGGTAGTAGTCCTGCCAGCAATATGATCGTGTTTTGTGATGGGTGCAATTCTCCATACCATCGTTACTGTCACAAGCCTCCCATCGACCAAGCTGTCGTGGACGAGGTTGACAAAGAATGGTTTTGTCGGAACTGTAGAGTTGACGTGGTTGTCCCTGATCCTGTCCCTGTCCCTGTCCAAGTTTCTATTCCAGACATAGATCCTGCAGGTCTTGTCAGTGTCGAGGGTGCGACTCTCGAACAGGTGAGTGGACTAGTACTACTCTTCATAGCCTTGGCTAGCCCTAACATTTCTCACAGAGGCAACGATATTTCTCCACTCTGCCTTCAGATGTGCTTGTCAGCCTTCTAACCAGGGCAACAACGATCCAGCCAGACTTGCCACTATTCACCCGGGAGTTCAAAGCATCTGCAGATCCACGCATATCCCCGTCAGCTGATCAAAGACTCATCGCAGACCAGATCTCACAACAGCCACCAATTGCAAGTCCGCCGCTTCAAAGTTCAACTAATGCAGCAAAGCCAAGCTCTCACGGAGGTGACCCTGTAGACTATGAGAGCGATTCAAAGGAAGATGAATTGTCAGGTGACGGCTCACGAACACATCCGGCCAATTATCCGTTGCCTGGACAGGGTCTGATGAGCACACTGAAGGATCGACAGAATTTCCAATGGCTTGTGGATCCAGACGACGCCAAGAACGGAGTGTACACACATGTCTACCGGGCACCGCACAATGGCAAGATGTATCCAGCGACGCCGCCTGTGCGAGGCTGAGATGTGATAGTCAGAGGTGCTAGATCACGCGACTCTCGGAGCCGCTGAACGACGATCAAGAAGTCCGATGGATGTACAATAATACCAGCCTCCGCAATACGATGAGGGCTGCTCTCTGTAATTGTAACATCATTAATTTGTAATTTGGAGTATCACACGATGAATTGTTGTGGAGCCGAACACCGACACCAATGAAAAAACATGTGAACATGAACAAACCGAGATGGAGCTCCAATCAGTGAGCATTGAATGGCCAATCAGGCTTCAGATTATCGCTGTGAAATTTGCACCACGACTGGTGTGCTGTGTTACCTATGCGCTTGATTTTCGCATGCGGTGCCAGGCATTGCCAGCAGAATTGATGTTGGCACCGACGGCAGGTCATATGGTCGCAGCCTTCCGTCTTCTGAATGCGCCAGCCGCACTTCTCACCAGGACATTTCTTGCTGATGTCGTCGAGAATGGCTTCGGTCGCGCGCTCTTCATCGCGGGCCTTCTGGCCGCTGGTCCGATAGTCGTATTGCTGGCACGTCTCATCCTTATGCCACGCACATTTATGCTTAAGACATTGCTGATATTTGCACGAATGGCATTCCATATAATCGCCAACAGCTCCGACGTTCAATTGGCCTGCGCCGCAACTCGCTGCAAGACACCAAGCAAAGTCTGGGAGCTGGGAAAGAGCATTTCGCGTCAGAATCGTCTCGTATGCCGCGAAGGTCGCCTCGGAAGCGATACGCTGGACGTCTTCATGCTGTAGTCGTCGAGGACATTCAGAACAAGTGAGACCCTGGCAACCTTTGGCTTCGAATTCTGAAGCGATCCATGATTGCAAACAATCAACACAAGTCTGAGGGCGGTGTTCACATTTGGCAGTTGGTGTCTTGATAGGGAAGTCGAGAGGATGCTTGGAGTCGCCGCACACCACGCAATCTCGCATCGCTGCTAATTGAGCAGCGACACGCTCCTCTTCTTCTAATCTCGCTTGAGCTTCTGCTGCGAGCCTCCTCTCCTCTTCCTCACGCTCTAAACATTCACGTACTTCTTCCTCGTGTAGTAATGAGGCAGCTTTGAAATTCATCTTCTCTTCTTCTGCACGCCGCAGAGCCTCTTTCCGCTGCTCTTCAAGCAGCCGTAGCCTCTCTGCTTGCCTTTTTCGATGGCGTTCGAGCTCAGCATCTTTACGGGCCTTGATAGCCTTCATTCGATCTTGCCAGTCTATGAGTTGTTGAGCCATTTCTTTCTCAAGATGAAGCTCTTGGTCCATGATTTCTTGCATCGGCCCAAACTCTTCGGCACCAAGCATGGGCTTTCCCGAGTCAGCAGGCTCAAAGTCTCGTAGTCGACCTTTGCCCTTGCCATCATAAGCAACTTGTGGCTCGCCAAAGCTCTTGGCGCTGTCTATTGGACTTGGCTGATCATGTCCATCGTGTTGATGCTTGTCTGGCGATTCTAGAGATGGAAAAATCCGCGGTTCGTCGACTTCCGCAGTACCAGGAAATGTGAGAAGCAGATCATGGGTCTGCTTTTCATCTAGCTGACTCCAGTCTATGCTGCCAATCGAAAGTCCTGGACTGAATTGTCTGAACACTTCTTGAGCTTGTGCTTCATCGAGCTTGTCCCAGTTGATATCTGTGATAGAGCTACCGCTACCAGGTACGGGCCCTTGATCGTCGTTCGTTATTGCGAAGCGATCATAGTATCTCGTTGAATGAGCTATGCCAGACTTGGACTGTGCGGAGCCATATGTTCGGCCAGGATTCTGTGAGTATCGATCCTCTGGACGTACTGAAAACTTTGCACCATTCGTCGGATAGACGACTTCTCGAGCCGCAATCGGCCTTTGGTTTGGCTGCTGATCCCAGATGGTGAAGTTGTCGATTGTCGGATCTGAAGCTCCTCGGCTGAGAACTTTCGATGTCAATTTAGATAAGAGTTTCTTCGTGCCCATTGTCAGCTAGGAGGTGGTGTGCGACGCTCGTACGGGAGCATGTGGGGAGATTACTACGTTCAGATCAATATGGTTTCTTGCGCACACATCAACAACATGGCTAAAGAGATGATGTTCAGCTGGATGCATACAGAATTATGTACTGCTATAATAAATAGAGCAGTAAAGCTTGTTGCTCTATCACTCTACAGGCATCTGTACGCACAGCCCGGCACCGCATGCTATGTTCTCGCACCGGTAGAAAGGTGCGGCACAGCCACGAGCCTGTGTACAGGGCCTGTGTACAGGACAACGGACTTGAGGGTCGTCGGTGGTGCAGGATTGAGCCAGAGCAAATGGCGGCGTGACCTCTGTTGGCATCTTTGCCTGTTTCAGATGACCGACTCCGTTACAACGGAGCCCAGAGTCTGGGGCGAAGGATCACCACTCCGGCCATTCAAATGCTTCGCATTCGCCGCCAGCTGGGCGCACGTGTTTATGGTCGCTTGTGTCTGGAGTCTGGTCTGTAGTATACAGGTGTCCACGCTTACGTGCAGTGAGCCGCCATCATCGACGAGCTTAGCCCAAGAGGCCGCAGAGCGCGGTGTCTCGGGCCGAGCCGGGCCGTGCATACGCCAAAGCTGGCTGTGCCTACAGTATACCAAGCGAGGCGTCATTTGATTATTCGTCAACAGGAGAAATTCGGAATCGTTTGACGAGCAATCACGACCATGGATTATCAGAATCGAGCTGGCTCCAAGTTTGGTGGAGGCGGTGTCGCTTCTCAACAGGCAACAAATGCTGACCGACGTGAGCGTCTACGGCGACTTGCCCTTGAGACTATCGATCTCGACAAAGATCCCTACTTTTTCAAAAACCACGTCGGCAGCTTTGAATGTCGACTTTGCTTGACGGTACACCAGAATGACGGCTCCTACCTCGCGCATACTCAAGGTCGCAAACATCAGACGAATCTCGCCCGACGTGCCGCGAAGGAAGCGCAATTAGGCAAGAAGCAGGAGGAAGGGTACACGGGCGCGAACGCTGTCCAGATCAAGCGCAATATCTTGCACATTGGTCTGCCGGGTTACAAAATCACAAAGACGCGTGATCCGATCACACGGCAGTTTGGACTGCTGTTCCAAATCCAGTATCCGCAGATAGAAGTCGGCGTTGAGCCGAAGGTGCGCTTCATGAGCGCCTACGAGCAAAAGATAGAGGATCCCCCGGACAAGGATTTCCAATATCTTCTTGTCGCTGCGGAGCCGTACAACACGTGTGGTTTCAAGCTACAAGCAAGAGAGATCGACCGTCGAGAAGAGAAGTACTGGACTTGGTTCGACCAGGACAGCAAGGAATTCTGGATTCAGATCACTTTCAAGACCGACCGAGATGAGCGTTACAGCAATGTACCGGGTCTTGCACCGGGCACACAGCGCTGAGCTCTTCAATTGAATATCGCGGTGGTCGCCAGATCTCGTCTAGATGTATCTGTCTCACAGTCTTATGTGTTGCCTTGACGAAGCTACTTTCGATCACTTTCGGACGCGGCAACATGACTCACAATTCAAGCCTAACTACTCATTTGGGTCATTACCAAGCACTTTGTTACGTTGCTACATAATTTGGTTCCAGGCTTACATCGCGCCATCGGAACGCAGCCAGGTCAGCAAGCATTGATCAGAGTGCTTGTTTGAGGCCCGCCATCATGTTCCCACCCAAGAGCACTCTCGGTGCAGACATTGTGGTCGCGAACTTTTCTTCCTTTCTCACTGCATCGAATTTACCCGATTTATCTTGGCTCGCACTCTCGACGATTTCAGTGGCGGCAGGTCGTCGCTTGGCTCGTCAGAATTCCTCAGGGGTAGATACTTCATCCCTACTGGGGTCATTGTCGCAATCCGGCGCACGCCAGCCCCACCGGCACCTAAGAAACATTTTTGCAATTCTTGAGGGATCCGGGAGTCTCGTCTGCGTGCTGTGTTCTCTTGCTCGGGCTCGACGGTGGTTCTTGAACTTGGCTGTGGCGGCAGAGCCACGCCGCGCCTCCAGTTGGAGACATTGATAAACGCGGTTGTGTCCTCGAACCTTTCTTCATGGATGCCATACTCATCAGTGTCCAGACCATGGTGATAATCTTGCGGTCTGCTCACGACAACACGTTGTCGCGAGTGGTCGTAATAGTTCCCTGGCCACAGTTCCCAATCATCCTGGATAGCATGCCATCGTTGGACGAGTTCTGCTGACGTCAATCCTGTGCCATTGCCGGCGCATTCATCGCAGTCACATTGGCTCCGCGAGGCCACAACGGAACCACGCGGGGATGGTGTCAACACAAAGCAGTATTCGTCGGACCACGTTGGTGAAGATGATCTCGGCCACCAAGTCGGCTCGTCATACTGCCGGACGATTCTGCTGCTCTGCGAAGGTTGGCCGCGAGCGGGCTTGTATTCATATTCACGATATGCATTCGCCTCAGCCTCGTCGTGGCTGATTTGACGCTTCCGGGACCGCTTCGGAGAGTCCGGAGCAAGGCGAGACAATTTATTACCCATGATCGCGTCTTGAAGATGATGAAACTCGAAAGTGTGAGCTCCAGAACACAAATCTATGTATCGAAATACAGGTTGTGAGTCGTCTTGCGGGTTTGGCTTGGCCAGCAACTTGAACCGAGTATTGCGTCACGGTGTTCAATACTTCGCTTTCTTTCGTGTAAAGCAGAACGGGCCTCTAATCCAAGGTCTATGGATCACCTTTGTGCGTACTCCAAGTGTTTTGTGGTGGATGTGGTTTTATCTTGTGTCCTCCATTCTCGACCAATTCAGAAGTTGGTGCTCGGCCGCGTCTGCTTGTTACCATGGCTTCCTGGTACATGGTATCACTATGAACATTGAACAATCCATATCTGCACATCCAAACGCAGATAGTACTAGTGTTCGTAACATCATATTTCTCTCTGTAAGTATCGAGGCAACACCGGTGTAACAGGGCTGTGTTTAGTGTTGGGGAAGTCCGTCGCCAGCAATTGAATGTGCGGTGATTGCTCTTTACTGCTCTAGAACAAACTCGACTACTCTATTACGTGCAATACGTTTACAATCAGATATCTGACACGAATTTCCCCCCTCAATTAGAAATACTCACCATAACAATGGAAGGTCATGTTATTCCGCTACTGGATGGTATCATCGAAGCTGGAGCCATCCATGTCTCGATACTTGGGGTTGCCGATAACCCTAAGCAAAGCATTAGCCCTGGAGTACCGTGGACGGCACGGACCTAACCGCACATTAATCGCGTCGACGCGCACAGTCGCGTGGCCCATGAATTGTGTGGACAGACAGGCATGGCTAGAGATATTTCTCGATTTTAAAATATATTTACTCATAATTTGGTCGTATTCACATTCGAAGTCCACTCGGGAGACACACAGTATCGAATCAAGTCATTCCAACATAAGATATGCCGTCCCGTAAGAGCAATGTTTCCGCCGTGTCGAACGGCGGAGACGAAGTTGTGGATACCACGCCTGCCAGGGCAGTCAAAGACAAGGATGGACTCAGCGTAGATGTAAATTGCCCCCTGAACAATGGCCCTGTCAATTGAACCTGCTAACATAGATGGCATAGGACCTCAGCCTACCAAAATCAATGATAGCACGTCTTGCAAAGGGTGTATTGCCAGCGAATACTCAGATACACAAGGATGCCTTATTGGCCTTGCATAAAAGTGCCACAGTCTTTGTCAGCTACATTGCTTCCAAGTTTGTCCACCGAAACATCTCGAGCCTGTACTCAGCATGCTGATATGTCGATACAGCTCAAATGATAACGCTCAAGCTGCAGGCAAGAAAACCATCTCGCCACTAGATGTAATTGCCGCTTTGAAAGACGCCGAATTTGAAGGATTCGTACCAAGACTGGAGGCAGAATTGAAAAGTGAGTCTCTGTTCAGGAATATCGGACCTTGGTCGCCATATCTATCATGGTATATCATAAACGGAGCGTGCTAACGACGCGAAGAGTACAATGATATACAAAGTGATAAGAGGAACAATTATCGAAAAAAGGTGAAGGGCGAAAAGTCCAACACGACCACAACGAACGATGAATCCGAAATTCAAACAGACGCCGACGTATCTGTACTCGCCGAGAAGTCAAATGGCAACGGCGTCGACGCCGAGGGAAGTCGTCCAGCGAAGAAGCTCAGGCGAGCAAATGGCGACGCTTCTGTGGCCGAAGACAACGAAACGGATGGCGACGATGAAGACGAAGGTCAGGACGCGGATGAGAATGCAGAAGATGATGATGAAGAAGACGATGAAGCTGCCGAGGATGCTGAAGAAGCCGACGAGGACGAAGAAGAAGAAGACGAAACGATGGAGGATTCCCAGGATGACGAGGATCCTGACGCCAGACCACGCAATGAATTGCAAGACGAGGCACTGGATGATCCAGACAGCGACTGATCCTCTACAAATTATGATTTCAAGATGCCATGGAAGCTCTCATCATTCCTGATAGACTGCTGCGCACGTCCTACAGCTCATCGTCCATGCTCATCAGGCCAAGTCCACAGAGTCATGAACCTTACAAGAGACTGGCAGTTTCACCGCAGCCTCGCAACAAGCAGGGAACTGCAGGCCACGCACCACGATGACTGTAGAGCATGCACAGCGGCTTTGCACCTCATTCACTGCCTATGAGGTGGCACACACGTGTCCAAGCGCGCAACCATACTGCATTGTGGGAGCAGCCCACTGCCTCATAGCGGAAGGCCGAGAACTGTGATTGCCACTCCTTCAGCAGCCATGCTACCTACCACAGTCGGCATTCCCGTGTTGCATTATGCTGAGTCGCGCTTGACCCGGATCCTTGTCGAAACTGAAATGAAGCACGTGACTGCATGTCAGGGCGGTCAACTGGACGTAGGTCGTGAGGGCACAGCGCGCATAGCACGATATATGGTGTTCAATCAGACTGTGTAGATCACCTATCGCGCTTGAAAGCGCTGATCGAATCGTCGACAAAGACGTAGGGACTGGGTATGGGCGCGGCCCATTCGACCTATCATGGGCCTGGTGTCACCTTGAAGTTGAACATGATGACGAATTGGGAACGCATGTGATGGCGCAGTGGCTAGCTGTTGATGTAATCTGTCCAGTATATCTAATGCTGAAAGTCCCGTCAAGAAGCGCTGCCCGGTGATGCTGAATACTTACCCAGGTACCCAGGCAGGTACTCGTCGATGCACAAGGTAGCGGACGTCGTGGCCCGCACAGTGACAAATGCATCGCAACCTCGACCTCTGTTGTGTCCCGAGGTCATTTTCGAGTCTGACGGATGGCCTGATGTTCATCCTGCAACGATTTATCCTCTGCCTGGCGATATGCAGAAGATTGATGACGGCCGTGCCGTTGGTGGCGGTTCACACGCAATGGCCCATCGCTTGACGGGGCACCAGCAGCAGCCATGAGGCGCCACCAGAGAATATGCTCAGCAGCTCCCTGACGCCCACAGATTTGCAGTCTGACACATCCATCATGATTTCGGTCTCTTTACGAAGACAGTGAATGGTCATCGAGACCAACGCCGAAGCATGCTACTTCGTCCTTGGCATCGTAGACATATGCACGCGTCAAACGCTACTTAAGCAGCTGAGGCATGTCGCAAGCTCCGCTTTGAGATGTCTACTTGGGTACACAATGCAAATACTCATGGATTTTAGCGCGGGGATTTTAGAGGCAACAATAGACGTGCAACCACCACTAGAAGTACGAGTTCGACGCGTCGACGATCTCACCACATCTTCTTCAAGTGGGATTTTTCCATCAGATCACAGACTGACCAGGTCAGCGAAAACGCCACTGGGACGATGCTCTATCAAGTTCCACGGCGACATCGAAATTCATGATTTGTTGTGTTTCGCCCTTGGATTACTGGCGACACGACGTGTGATGTCCGAGCCCGCAGCTGATGATCTGCGGGTCAAAGATCGACCGAAGGCTTTCGCGGCTGCTCTGGAGGGTCATGATTGGCAGCGACATCACGCCGAGTCGCGCGTCCAGCATATGTGCTTGGCCTCGCAGACCAAGTCTTGCAGTGACAGGCGATCTCTCATCTGCTCATCTCAGGGCAGCATGTTGGTCACATCTCGCGATTCCTGATTATCGTGCATGTCGATCGCACTGCCTGGGTTCGGCGATGGACGGCGACCCACCTCGGTCATTGCATGCATGGGGCATAATAAGCCTTTTTACTCCCATGTGACGAATACGGAAGCTGTCAGCCGAAGTGATCAACCAACGGACCGCAATGGGTCATCACAAGCGAAGGTCTTCGGGGGTTACTAGACCATGATATGCCGCAAACTTCGACGATATTGGGGTCGTCATGAATGCGATGAGAAGTGCTTCTGTCTGCGGCCCAGTCGGCCAATTCTGCGGGACGCCGACAAACAATAGGTCGATGACAGTCGATATTGCAATAAATGTCTCGGGCGGACAAATATTGGACGAAAAAGGCCGGCCGTGCACGTCTGATGTGATACAGCATCCAATCCATCGAGTCATCATCCTGGATCATCCATGGAGCGCGGTCTTGGCGCCACTCGCTAGCGTACGCCGCGGCCGTCTCGCGTGTCGTCATTCAATCATTTCTCGCACTTTTCCACACCCACCACCCGCTCATCATCTCCGTAGGCTTTTCGCTAGTCGTGAGCCTGTTTCGAGATGTCCTGTCCTCGTGTTTGCACAGTACGTACCGCCGAACGCCATTCCCGGTCTGGATGTTGGCATTCATCACAAAATATCTCCCGCGCTCATTGCCAAGGCATGGTCAATCTTCTTAATTCGCCTAGGCATGACCTTTCACGAATCTTACTCGGCGGCGCCGATGTGCTGATGCGCGGTAATACGGGGACGAAATTTCTTTCAAGCCATTTCCCTTATTCAATAGCGCTTACTCCGCTTCAGGATCATGCGGGTAGTCTGCGATCCGACTGACTGAAACCAGGCAGAGGCATCCAACGGCAGGATCCAGTCACAGCAAAACTTGCGCGTTGTTCTTCTCAGTGCTCCTCTTCCCGCAATCGCCGGTCAAAGGTTCGCGCAGGAAGTGCAAATAATCATCACAACAGCGACTTGATTGTACACCATCGTGACATATAATTGCCTCCGACGTCGAGCATTCTGTAGATGGTGGGAAGTCTAAATCCCGCTTCGGGGTCTAAATTAAAAGAAACATCTCAATACAGTACCCAAGTCGATAGTGGTGCCGATCGCTCGCTAGAGCGCCGCCGCCGATGAAGAGGGCGCGACGCAACGTGCGCCATGGCCATGTACAGTCCTTCACTTACGATGCCAGGTTGAAGCAGCATCAGCGGCGGAAACATTTCCACGCGTCCAAATGCCTGCCTCTCACCCTCTATATCGAACATGCCTGTGCCGTTTTACGCCCGTTCTGCCCTCTTGCTCGAGCTTGTGTGCATCTGTACTCTGTCGACTGTACAGATAGATATCCGATCACCCACCACCATTCATCGCTTCTCCGCCGCGCATCGAGAGTCCAGTGATGCAGGATTGTGCATACACCAGCAAGCTTCATTCCATGCCTCGAGTGTCCTTCGTCTTCTCCACCTCCACCACACCACCACACCATCACACAACCTTTGTTATTCTTAGGCACCACGACCTTTCTTTTCCCCGGCGATTTTGCTGCTGATCCCTGGAGACGCGCCTGTGAACTGCCACCGTCACGCAGTGCACTCTGTGGGTTAGCTTCAGACAAAGCCATTGCGAGGAAAGACATTATCTAGACCATCTAAAACGCTTCTGGTCGGGTGATAGAGCTGCGACAAAGGAGAGAGCTGGGAGACCTCGGACTTGTCTTCCTGCTTTGTCCTAGCATAGATCCAGATTGAACAATCCGCTCTTCCTTTCAAGCGACGCATTGTCCATAGTTCTTTCGATCGCAAGTGAGGCAGGTATCGCAAGGACGAGACGATTGGATCCCGCGGTACACACTCCCGGATTTCCAAAACGATCGGGACGTTTCAGAACACTTGAACATCCGCATACACACAGACACACACTCACCCATGTATGGTACGGAGCCACACACACGACCACAGTGACAGTCATCACATCCACGACGGTGTCTCCAGCATCCGTAAAATCCTCAGCTCATGTCAGTGCAAAGTGCTCAGGTGCTGATAACGTATTCCATACACAACGTACCGCGACTATTGAGCTGTAGCACCGCCTTTCCGGCCTTGTCCCGGGCTTTCCCCGAGACTCGCCACTGGCTGCCTTGGCCTCTCCCCCAATCACAGCCCCGATCGAGATCCTCGAGTGTGACCGGTCAGCGGCCGCGCGTGTTTCTTCTTCTTCTTGTCCTTCTTTTTCTACTTCGCACGCGTCCGCCGCCCACACCAACCCTCATCTCACACACTCACTCACCCTCACACACTCATCACAGACACATCCGCCAACTGCCATCCCTCCCTCCCTTTCAGCATCGCTCCCTCCCAGGTCCAGAATTTCCCCTTCTCCATCATCTCCTCCTTCTCCTCCTCCTCCTCCACTACCACCACCTCCATCACCACCACCACCATCACCACTACCGCCGCTACCACAAACCATACCATCCATCCTACATTCTTGTGTGGGTGGCAGGAAACAACAAAGAAGTTCAAAGAGAACAAAAAAGGAACGCGCGCACGTACACAGTACCGTCCTCAAGCGCCTAAACTTCTCCGTGGCTCTTTGTTACCATCATCTACAGTGGTACCTCATCACCTGTTCCCTGCCGACACCAGCACACACACAGACGGATCAACCGCACACACTTTTCCTGGTGGAAGAATCTCCTCTCCCACCCCTTCTCCTCTCCCTCTCCCCTTCTTTCCCGCTGCCCTGCAAGGTTTGGGATCGTGCATCACATCCCTGGTCGCCCGCCCGCCGCCCACCGCGCGCGCATTGCTGCTAACTACTGTACTGCCGCCCACCTCTTTCTTTTCTGAACCCTCGTCGCGTTTTCTCTTCTTGGGCCACCACCGATCCATGTGCTTCTGCTCCTGCTTCTGCACCCAACGACGCACCATCATCATTGGAGCGTGCCCGCTATAGACGCGTCTCCTCCTCCCTTTTCCTCCGCCTCTACATCAACTTCCACGGCTCCCGTCATTCTCTGCCGCTGCCGCCGCCATCGAGGCTCACGTGTGAGTGAAGGACACGGAGTGTGTGTGTGCAACGACCCGATCCTTTCGACGCCTGTTGTTGGACGATCTACGCTGCTGCACGACACGGTCAACCTGCGGGCTGGTGATGCTGGTCGTCTCTCAGCAAACCCTTCCACCACCACCTTCACTGCTGCCACCACCAGCCACCAGCACTCTTCACGGCCGAGTCATGGACAACTCTGCCACCATCAACCCTGCCGCATTGACGGGTTCTTGTAAGTCACTCCCTCACTGTTCCTTTAAGCGCGCGCTCGCTCGACTGCCACTACCATCGCAACCTCGGACGACGCGGCCGTGAATCATCAACTAACTACTGTCGTGTCTCTCTTTTCCCTCCCTCAGCTGCCGCCAGTCAAGCAGGCCACCTCCTCCAGCCCAACGTGCGTGGTACAAAGCGCAGCCGCTCACCTGACAACCACGGCATTCGCGGCGTTGAGCGGGAAAGTGGTACGTCGGCCCGCGCGCGCAATGCCTTGAGCGCGCACGCGACATGAAGTCGCCGTGATGGACATTAGCGCGTCGTTACTGACATCCCATCCTCATTAGATGACACCAAAAAGCCCAAACGGAGCAAGGTGAAGGTACAAGCCAACTCCAACGTGGGTGACAACTCACAACACTCATCCAACATGCCGCACCATCCTGTTCAGACACCTCAGCTCAAGACACAAGCACTCCCTCAAGATTCGCCTAGTCAGGCATCGCCATCGACGCGTCCGCCTGCAAAGCCGCCTGTCGTCAAAGCCTTGCCCACTGTCCGAGACCACACCACCGATCAGCTCGGTCCCGAAGGCGACGAGTACATCCCGCGTGAGGTCGACCCTGCCGGTGATGAAAAAGTCTCAAAAGATGGACACCCATTGGGGGGTAGGAAATACAAATGTCGTACATTCGAAGTGCCCAATAGAGGTCGAAAACTCTTCATGCTCGCCACCGAGTGTGCACGCGTTCTCTCATACCGAGATTCTTACCTGCTATTCAACAAGAATCGTTCCCTCTTCAAGATCATTGCATCTCAGAATGAGAAGGACAACCTCATTCAGCAGGAGATTCTCCCATACTCTTACCGGTCGCGTCAAATTGCCATCGTCACTGCCAGGTCCATGTTCCGTCAGTTTGGTAGCCGTCTGATTGTGGACGGTCGCCGTGTACGCGATGATTACTGGGAGGCCAAGGCCCGGAAGCAGGGGTTCACTGAGGAAGATGCTGCTGGCGAGAAGCGGCCAGGCCTGACAAAGAGCAGACAGGAAGCTGCCGCCGAACAGGCCACTGTGAATCTGACATCCTTGCCTCAGGGCGAGATTATTTACAGCAACAGCGGTCCCGGCTTCGATGCGCAGCAACAACAACAGGCACAGCAGCAACAGCAACAGCAACAACAGCAGCAGCCAGCTGCGGCAGCGTCGTCGTCGCTTACACCTCTTCCAATGATCCACATCCCCGCTGAGGAGCTCCGACCGAGTATGATGGGCAACTACACTCGTCCTCGACAGGACGTGTCCGCCGCCGCTCCTTACACTGATCGCATCCAACCGAGTACCACAACTGAGATGTTGACCCAAGTCACCAATGCTGCGGAGGCCAATAAACAGCTGAAGGAGACCCGTCAACACCGCGAGGCATACATAAAGGACTACTGGAACCGCCCTCACGAACAGCCTGCCATCGAGACTGGTATCAACCAGACTGATCTTCACACGGTCGCACCACAGAACTTGCATAGTCCTCAGGTTTCTGCCAGCATGACTCAGGCGCGGAGCCAACAGGAGCCCATCGCTCAATCAACGCCGCAATACACTGCTCAATCCTACCCGGGATACCCAAGCCAACAAGCACAGCTGGCTTCTCCCGTGCAAACTATGCACCGCAATGCTCCTGCCACCCAACTCCACCCCAGCTCTCCTGCGCTGAACATGGGCAATGCTCACAGACAGACCCCATCGTACAGCAATTATGGCCAGGGTCAGATGTGGCAGCAACAAACGCAACCATCACCTTTGCCTCAGCCGCATTTGTCTTCGTATGGCCAGCAACAGCAGCAACAGCATCACCAGCAGCAGCAACATCAGCAACAACAACAACAACAGCAGCAACAGACGTCGCAACAGCAACATCACCCGCAGCAAGCTCACCAGCAAGCTCACCAGCAGGCACATCACCACCAGCAGCAGCAACAGCCACAGCATGCACAAATGCCACCTCCGCAATTGCATCAACCTGGAATGAATTATACATCCATGAACCAGATGGCTCAACCCGGGTACGGTCTGGCGCGAGCCGGCCTGTACCAACAAAGTCCTGGACAACAGCAGTACAACATGGCACAACAAACTGCAGGCAGCACTCAGCCCGGTATGCAAGGCTGGGCTGCACAGGGCAGCGGCAGCGGCAGTGCTGGCAATTTGCAGCAGAACTATCAACAGTACCAGTGATGCTTCTTGGGCTGTGCTCGATGATTATTCCGCGCCAGAAGATTATGGTTACAGAAACGCCTAGCTTCTGAGCAGCGAAAGTGCGAAGCCTGATCTAGGTTCCCACTTCATTTCTCCCTGGCATCGTTGCGACGAGGCCTGTTCGACAGCTCCCAATTGAATTATGGCCGAGGAATGCTTCTTGGACTTGCGATACAGCGGAGATCGTGGGAGCCCCGACGTTTTTTCTGGCATCACTCATGACTGAGTCTCCCGCGGATGGCGAACACGCATATGATTTACTTGTTCCGCATCCGGGTCTATCGTGTCACGATCATCGAAGCCACAATGGGCGATTGTTGTGAATCATATTACTCCACACATCAGCATTTCCACACCGAAGAAGATCTGCTCTCAGCTAGAGAATTTGAAAAAAAACTTGTTGACGACCTTGCCTCTGCGGAGGTATGTCGAGGGGCGACGGGATCATCTCAAGGCGTTGGTGCTTCTCTTTATCTGGAAGGGGGCGGAAGTTTGTGGTTTCGCGTGTTCTCCGGCTGATGGGATTAGAGGCAGGCTGACCATGTCTTCCCCTGTGTCGTCTTGTTTGTCTTTTCTTGTTCTATTCTCCGTCTCTCTCTACCATACTGTTCTTGATTCTATTATCATGTCTGTTTTTTTCTCCTCTAGTTTTGTGTGTATGAAACTTCTGCTTCCTCTGCCTTCTTCTCACGGTTCATCTCTCAACTCTTCATCTCTCTGGTTCCGCGGGTACTCGTTGCGCGCGGAATCAATTGACCCCCGGGCTAGTATCAATTTTGTCGACTGCTGTTCTTTTCTCTTTTTGAGTTCCATAGTACTACAGGTCCTCGGAGCAATACATGAGGTCCGGCCTGTTTTAGTACAGTATTCCTCAATACTTCAGCGCCGCGCTACTGTTTATTGCTGGTTACTACTACAACTACTCGGGCTGTGACTGTTGTGTCGATATTGCTTTTCTCCCTTCTGCTCCACTCCACCTCTTTGAGCGCGCATTATCACTCGATAGTTTGGCTTGTACATTTCGATATTGGCAAATTAACCACCTACCGTCACCCATTATTAATCCACTGCATGGCCGGATATTTGCCATTTAGGGCTTCGACGGGTTGACGAGATGCAGGTGAGGGAAGCCAAATCTCCATGCCCTCCCTCCTCTCTCCATTCGTTCCACACGGCTGGCACGTGAAAAAAAGAAATGCCTACCATATGCACACCCACTTCCCTCGGCATAACAAAACCGCGATGAACTCTTCACGGACATTGCTCCAGAGGAGGTACGTACATACATACATGCTATGTTCAATTGTACCAAATATATGAATCGTCATTCCTGTGGGATCCTTCGTGGCTCCACCGCCGCTACCTCTATCGACTCGTGTGTACTACGACCACGCAACGCACGGCGGCCGTTTTTTTCGCGGCACTCGCCGCAATGCACTTGGAGTGGTATGGGTCGAGATGGTGTGTGTGTCACTGTGTACGATGTGGGTGTGCATGCCTCGGCACTTTCTTCGGTCTTAAGAAACGTGTCTGAATCATGTGTGTGTGTGAGAGTGTGTGTGTGCGTGATGAGGTCTGACATCTCCACCACCATCATATACACGATTCGTAGGGTGTGTGTGTGTGTGTGTCTGCGGCGTGGACCACACCACCACCCCCTGGCTTCTTCTCCTCTTCCACCAACCTCATAATTTGGTTCTATATTTATCCTCATCGGAGATTTTCTTTGCAGACACAGGCGTATTTCGTGTACAAGAGTGCAATCTTTTGGTGGGTATGTACATGTAGACAGGGATTGATTGGTCTAATTACTCATTTTTTACGAAGCAATGCAACCTCTCATTCCCGGGGCCGCACATCATGAGGTGTATTCACACATGTGCCGTCGGCCGGACATATCGCTTAACGATGTGAGCCTTCGGAGTCTCCTGGCCGAGCTGCTCAAGATAAGCAACGCTCCTTTGATATCATGACTGTCTCGCTAGCGAAAAATATGACAAACCACGCCGCCTCATTACTCCGTGGGCGGAGGCGGCACCACAATAACGTAAAGCCGAGACAACCACTTTCCTGGCGTCAAACCTACACCAATTTTAATTTGATCCTTCGCTTGCCCGAAGTTTCATCGGCCTCGTCGGTGATGCGAACCCTGACCTTGCCGAAAAGCTCAACTTTCCTAGACGTCGCTGGGGCAGCTTCTGCACCACCGGCAGCCGGCGCCGCAAAAATCTCCAACGAGTAATTCTCGGCGTCGAAAATGCTGTCAGGCTCTCGGCCGACGCCGCCACCATTTCCGCCACCAACCGCCTTGTTGGTGGCATCGTTGTCAGGGAGCATGTCGCGAAGGCGGATGAGACCTTCGATGCCGAACCGCGGCACGAACACCACGAATCCGTTGCTGAAAATACGCATGATGAATGCGTCCTCATCGATGACTCGGCCTTTGAGCGCTTGGCCGACGTAGTATTCCACGCTGGCACGACCGGCCATCTGTGCATTGCGGTGGCGGACGTTGATGTTCCTGCACACGGCCTCGAGCTTGCCCATAGACTGCAGGCTGGCATCCAGAGGCTCGTACTCGATTGCAGCGGCTAATTGCCGGTGCGCTTCCAAGTCCGCATATCGTCGAATTGGCGAAGTGAAGTGAGTGTAGATTTCTGAAGCCAGACCATAATGTCGGAACTCGGGATATGCATGTTGTCCGGCGCAAAAGTATTCGGCACTCGTCATGCACCGCGTTGCCATGATTCGCACCAAGGTGTTGAAGAATGGATTTTGAGGGTCGACGCAGGTGTCAAGACTGTCTGCCACGGCCTTGGAGGAGTCGCTTCGTAGCTCCATACCTTTTTTGACCTTGAGCTGATTAGCTAGTTCTTCGAAGTTCGTCTTTGGCGGCGTCGCGTGTCGACGAAGCAGTGCTGTCTGGGGGAATGCCTCGTAGTTCTTGCCAGCAACACTGATATTGGCGAGTAACATGAACTCTTCGACGAGCTGGTTTGTGTCGAGGAGTTGTTTCGTTTTGACGTCCATGGGATCCGAGGTCTCGCTCTCTGTCTCAACGCGAACCTCGGGACTGGCGAGATTGAGTGCGCCAGCAGCCATACGTTTCGCGCGGAGCTTTTTGGAGAGCATCATGAGCTGGCGCATGCCATTCGTCAAATCGTCCTGGTGTGATGCATCATCGATACGAATCTGTGCCGCCTCATAGCTGAAAGCTTCGCGGCTCCTGATGACACTCTTGGTGAAGTTGGCGTTCACGATGTCGGCATTCTCGTCCAGCTCCCATAATACACTGAAAGCATAGCGTTCGACGTACGGCTTAAGCGAGCAAAGATTCGTTCCAAGGAGCATTGGCAACATGTCAATGCGCTTGTCCACGAGATAAACCGTCGTGCCTCGTAGAGAAGCCTCCTTGTCCATAGCATTATTGGGTTTGACGAAGTGAGAGACGTCTGCGATGTGCACACCGACCTCGAAATTTCCATTTGGCAAACGCCTGGCGTGTAGAGCGTCGTCAATGTCGACACATCCAGGAGGATCAATCGAGCATACAAGCAGCTCGCGCAGGTCTTTTCTGCCTCGCCATCCCGGATCAGACGTGCTGGCCGGGACTTTCCAATCATGACCCTCTGCTGGCAGACAATCGAGGACAGTCTTCGGAAATGGTCGATATTGCACATCAAATTCCAAGAGCAGAGCTTCAGTCTCGGCACCTTTGCTTTCTAGTTCACCCAAGCTTCGTACAAAATGTCCAACTGGGTATCGAGACTCACGGTCCCAAGAATCAATGGTGACCAAAACCCGCTTTCCGACAAGCTCCCCTGCTTGCCGTGTTCGAACTCTGATCTTTGGAATCCGCTTGTCCATAGGAATCAAGAAAACCGTCTGTTGCGCTCGGCTCTCCTTCGCACCAGACTTGACAGAGTCCTTGTCAATCAACCCGACATACTGACGCCAATTACGCTTCACAACTCCCACAATTTTGGCTGTGGGCTGAGGCTTGCCTTCTGTGCTCTTACCTTGGGCCCGCTTGACTTCCTCCACCAGAGCCTTTCTCTCGCGGTCAGTGATGACAGCCTCGGCAGAATCGTCCTCGATCTCAGCATTGTCGTTTTTGTTCACCTCATCCTCTTCGATGACTTTACTTGATGGAGCCTTCCACTGGTCTCTAGGTAGAATCTCAAGAACAACCACATCGCCCGATACCGCGCGATTGCTGTTTTCGCGACCTTGTATGATTAGGGGACGATCAAATGCGGGTACATGAACGGTTCCTTCGAGATAGTTGTATTGCGAAACGTTGAAAATGCCTTGATGCAGAGTGCCGGCTTTCACGCCTGTCATCATTGCCGACGTGGACGCGTATTCAGGATACAGATTTTTCGCCCTGTCATCTCGCACCGCACGTTGCTCGCGGCTGGCTGCCACCATGTCGAGGAGACGATCTGCATCCGGAAGGCTAGATACGTAATCGTGAAGATTTGATGCGTTGATGCCCTCTGCTTTCGCTTTTCGCAGATTTTCTCTGTCATCAGAGAGCATCACTACAACCGGGCAGCGAACACTTTTCTGTTGTTTGACAGCCTTTTGCAAGTGTTCTTGATACCAAGCGCAGCCTTTGCGGACTGCTCGATCGTTTCGATCATTGATCGATTCACCAGCCTCTCGCTGGATGTATGATTCTAACCGGAAATCATTGAAGAATATGTAGAAGCGTTTATCTTCATTCTTCGTGAGGGAGATCAAACGATGGTAGAGAGGAAGTGATCGATTCCTGACCTCTTCAAGAACTGTTTGCAGGACGATGACGTCTTGCAAGACGCCTTCTGCTTCAAATAGATCCATCGCTGATAGCAAAGCATTCGTGTCAGGGACCAAATAATGTCCTTGAGGAACAGTTTTGGTTCCTTTCGGCGTGGCTGAAAGGACTGCCGGGGCAGACTTCCCGTTGAAGCTCACGGGTGCTAGGTCGATACATGTTGCGCAAAGTTGTGATGAGCAAGGAATATCTTGACGTAGATACAGCTCGCGCACCACTTTTTGAACCTTGCCTGATTTCAGCGTCCGTATATATGTCTTGCTACTGAGCGTCGTATTTGAAGTTGTCGCCGCATGGGAGCGCTTAAGGGACGTCATCTCAATGAAATCTTACCCAGTTCGAGTGTATGTGTATGCAAAATGTTATTAGCCCGTGCAATTCTGCGTGATGGCGTCGTTCAACTGCGCTGTGGCTCCAAAAGCTTATCGCGCGATAAGGCTCGACTCCACGTGATCTGAGCTGTGGCTGATTGCTCGCGTCAGCAGGAACCGCAATCGCTGAAGCATCCCGCCTCGCCACCCTGCTTAGTAAGACGCATGACCAACTCTCAAGGTCGACGATAACGACGCATCGACTCAACTCCTCGTTTCCACCACATCTACCTGCCGGAGCAAACTACTTACCAAGCATCATGCCGCCCCTAGCAGGCATGATGCACTGGCATAGCCTGATCACCAGGCATGCCTCAAATCTGAAGTAAGGCACTTCCGCGAGCAGCAGCAAGCTTGCTAAACGGTTGCGCGAGTAACTAACCCAGATTCATCAGATCTGCTCTCACGAAAGGGCTCAAGGTTCTGGATGAGGCCGTTGGCAATCACCAGCGAGCAAAGCTTCAACCAGCCTTCCTTCGCAACACTACACGTCAACCTCTGCACCCACTTGCCCGGATTCGTCAGTCTCAGTCCCGCTGGTACTCGACAGTCCGTAACAGTCTTGACTCTGTTCCCGGGTTCACTTCACCCACCAAATCCGTGCGCCCCGGCGTCAAATACGATCGCTCTACGTTTCCGCAATCGACCGTCCGTACCTACATTCAAAACTCGTCCGGCCGTGCGCCATTCGCCTCGACTCTGAGACCGAATCTTACAGGCGGTACGCTCGGTCGAACAGCTGGAGGTTATGCACAAGGCTCTGGCAGGATTGGAGGCGCAAGATACTTTTCTCATGGTCCGGCTAGCCAAGCACAGGTTGTGCAGAATGTGTCGCAAGCCATGAGGGCTTTCTTCATTTCGGGCCACAAGGCACAATTCGATGGTCTGACTCCAGCTGGCGAGAAGAAGTTCAAGCCGGTATCAAATTTGCAGGAGACGACCGGCCGCAAGATGCGATCGCTTCCCAGGACCACTCCTGGATCATGGATCGACTTTCAAATCAACCCGACCATCACCGCTCTTTCCTCCTTGAACGGTGTTGTCGGCTACGAAGAGTCTACTGTTGAGGTCCCGCACATCAACTCAGACGGTCTCATCGATGCGCTTTCTGTTGACTTCTCGCGAGCATTGAAGGATCTCGCTGCTGTACACAACGATCTCAAACGCCTGTCGGTCCTTGGCGATCTTCTCATCACGTATGAGACGACGTCCCTACGAGTGCACTTTCCCGGCTGCGATGCTCAGACTGTTGAGCGTCTTTGTCAAGAGCTCAATGTGCACCGAGGTTTGGTTTCGGAAGATCCAGCGTTCAGTGATTTTGTCGGCGCGGAGATTGCGCTGTTGTTCCCAATGGCACCCAGCACTACTAGCTGCCTCAGCGAAAGCTCGTGCATCGGCGGCGAGTTCTATGAGCAAAACCCCAACCGAGATGTCATCCATTATGACGATATGATGTCTTCCGTGCACAGCGATAAATACTCGTCAGATTCTGATCATGGCTTCGAGGACGTGCTCGATCAAGAGAGACCTTGGATGCCTTCGACGCCACACGACCAGCGGTCGTTTGAAACGGTCAGCATTATTGAGAGCGACGAGTACAACCCTTTGGAATACCAAGGATTCGAAGGCATCTATCGGTTCATCGAAGAACTCGACAGGGTCGGGAGGTGATCTGCGATGCTTTGTACGATGGCATGTGGAGTTGAACAGGCTACTTTTACGGTTAAGAATGATATCCCGGCAGTGATGCGCCAGCTGAATAGCAGCTTCGCTTTCCTTTGTTTTCTTTGTACCTTTTGAACAAGACTTTCAAAATATCCACCACTGTTTGATTCGTGATATACATAGTGTGTTCTGTGATATTCCGATCTGATCGACTTCAGCCGTCTGGGATGAGCATCTTGGCGATGAACCTCAAGTCCCATGACGCGGCGCTCTGTTCGTTGGGCGATATTCGAGTCCCCCGAGCTCGGATCAACTCGGAATGGTAAGGCTTGGTAGCTTCCAGCCACTCTGATACTGACATCAATGTCGACTTTTCGTCGCCATTCGGAGATTGCAGACTCTCTGACACTCCCTCTTCGCACGGGAGACATGTAACGGGCAGGCTGGGCGGCAAGCCGCGCATCTTTAGTAAAGTGGTGAGTAACTCGGCGAATCGCTCCCCTTGCAGCCACAACTCGCTCGCAAGCGCCGCTGATGCTGTAGGAGCTACAAGCGTTGCAGCAGGGCAGGTCAGATCGTCGGACTCGGTTTCCTTATTGCTCGTGAGTACTGTCTTGTCAGTATTGTCATCGTGTTCCGGCGAGATTTCTGCAGAACTAGTATCAAGACTGTGATAGAAGCCTGTCAGACGCTCAACACAGTTGAGCAGAATGACTGCTGTGAGGAGCGTTTCGAATTGCGAGACTTGTTGCCTCTGGACCAGACGATGCTCAAGTTCGTTGACCACGTTCCTGCTCAGAGCGGCCGATCGTTCTTCCAGCGCGGCGAGTAATTGCCAAAAGACCAATTGCTTGCTTTGTGAGGGAAATGGGGTGACCGGTGGGCTGTCTGGGCCTTGTGGGTTCTCGCCACCGATGGTTGGCACGACACGTAGCGTGAGGTCTGGTTGAGATTTGGTAGTCATGATTTTGGTCATTACCCATAACTCGATCGTATCGTCCAGGAGCCGTTCATAGAGATTGTAGCTTGATCGAGGTGTTGACAGCTCAGGCTTCCGCACAGGTTCCGTTCGCTCTTGTACCAGTAACTGTGACGCTTGAAGCGTCATCTTCACAAAGGTACATTCTTCGTCCAAGACACAGATCTCGACAATTTCCTGTACGTAGCGTGAGATTTCGCCGGGAAAGGAATTGTTTTCCTCAAGTAAGAGAATCTTGCGAGGATCAAGCTCGTCGGAATTTTGAATTGCAACTGGACTTGTCAGCGAAGCATTCGTGTTGTAGCTAATTGCGTTAAACTTCATGCGAACATCGTCAAAAGGTTGAAAGTGCGCCTCAACAGTGTCATTGATCAAAGACGAGGAGTAAAGACTGATTGCTGCATGTATCTCTTGCTTTTTTCGTGAGCGGAGCATCCCACGCGTGTACAACGACAGCTCGTCAGACAATTTGGTTCGAATACACCCCATCTTCCAGACTCGTGCAGATTTGACACTCCCACATCGCACGCATGGTTGACCTTCTGAGCATGGCTTTTTGAGCATGCGACATCGGATACAGGCACCTCTTCTACGTATCTCTTTCACCTCTTTCCTCCTATTGTCAGAAAAGCGGCCCCGAGACCGGATTTTGACGTTGTTGTGCTGAAAATCGAGATCCTCCATCCTAGGCTTTGGAAGTGTACCTTCGATCGGCGGGTTCAATCTTTCCGAGAGATGAGTTGAAGGACCTGACAAATCAGCCGGTTCGGCTGTGGTGAAGTGTGCTTTCAGGCGACTCTCTACATCATCCTGTGGAATATCAAGTAAGCCTTGAGCCTGCGCCGCTACATGCTCCAGGCGCTTAGTAGAACTCGAGTGTTCTGGAGCGGTATTTGTCGTGATGACTATTGAGTCCGAGTGAAGTGCGTCTTTCTCAACGTGGCTGGCACTATGGTTGACCACGTTGTCCTCGGCCCCAGGTCGTCTGGGCTCATTCATGGCTCCTGGCATCATGCTGTCAGACCCGAGCTTGGCTACTGGCCTAGATCTGCTAACATCGTGGACAGATGAGACGAGTCTCTTCCGTGGGACTAAATGGTGAACATGTTGGCCGATGGGGTAGTCAAGATGTCTCCTGGAGACCTCGGCAAGCGTGTGCAGCGCTGACTGCTCTTCAGACGATGCATATTGAATCGTGTCTGCTGCTGGGTTACGAAATTCGACTACGGACGCGATATCTTCATGACTCTGTCCAAAAGCGCCTGGCGCCGTGACAGCACGATCTTCGAATGCTGAATATTGTTGCCGATTTTCAAGCGACCAATTCACATCCGGATCTCGAGCATCTCCGGGGAGCCCAGAATTTCTCAGACGATCACTTTGACCATGCTGAAGCACATAACTGCGCTCATCCACACTGATGTTCGGGCATCGACGCAGCAAATGTCCGATAAGGCTGTCTACCCGACCCTTGGGGAACTGAGGTTGTTGTTAGATACATGTTGAAGAAGAGAATACTACATTTCGGCGCCCATGGACGTACCACTTCATCGCAGCGTTTGCTATCTAGTCTTAACAATAGCAGAAACATCATTTGAGGTCTGGAAGGAGCTCACCAAGTCTGTGCGTATCGATTACTTGTATCATCAAGCTTCTCACCGCGCGAAAAGAATCCGCTCACCACGAAATTTGGCTTTCTTCCCATCTCGAGGCGCAACCCCGATTTGTTTCCTGCCGATGCTGCCGAATGATGAATTCATGCTCCAACGTTGCGCAGTTTTTTGCGAGATAAACGCACAGCGACGGCGACTTTCGATCACCCTCGTCGCTGTCGTCCTTTTTTCTCACAGGTTGCCGACGAGTTCGCTTTCGGAATCGATAAGATCCAGGCGAGGTTATAGCGCGGCGCTTGAACCAATCTGGCCGATTGTGCGAGCGAAGGAATTTCCGCGCGCACAAGCCCTGAAACGTGCCCAGGTGCCTAATGAGTTTAACGTACCCTATAGGCTTGTGGGCCACTATAGGCCTGTGGGCCACTCTTCGACACCAGCTGCATTGAATACTCAATATTTCTACTAATAATTGAAATGAAGCTATATGATTAGGAATTCTATGGGACAGGATGTCTATACTACAGTAGGACACGTCTTACACGTATGTCCTTCCAAATTGCAAGTGCTACACCGTGGTTTACGACGTGTCTGCTGGCTAGAGCCTGCTTCAGCTTGGCCTTGTTCTTCCGATAACAACGTGTTTACAGCCTTTGCAATAAGAAGAGCCTCGAATCCTTCTTTGTCAACACTTCCTTGAACCTTATAACGCGTTCTTGGACGTTGTTTACGCGCGCTCAGCGTCTGTACAGTCTGGCGGAGGTCGGACACTTCAGCTTGCAGAAGGGCCAGCTGAGCAGCTGCTTTATGATAGCCCTTAGCATTCTGTCGCAAAGCAGCAACTATTTCTGACGGTGAAGTGCTTGAACGCTGCAGCTTGTTCTCAATATATGCTGTCTGAGAATCAACCTCTCGAGGGTTTGACGGCGTAACTGTAGTCCATTGTACTAGTGTTTGTAATGGAGGTGTTACTGTTCTTAATGTCAGCTTCTATAGTACTGCTTCAGGATTGAATGGCACAAGGCCAGCACCGCGGAAGCCAGCTTGTATATTTGAAGCTGTAAATGCAGCAGCTATCGCGTGTGGGATCTCGGCAAGGAAGTCGTCCTTTGTTATGATATAATAAGACGCTCGGAAGAGCCGTTCAAGCCTTGCTGTATATGCTGTCTTCAAAGGACCGAAACAGCTAACATCGAGAGGCTGTAGACGATGCGAAGAATGAGGTGGTAAGCAGAGAGTGACAATGTTATGATCTTTGCAGTATTGATCGAATTCAGGCGTTAAATGGCTACCATGTCCATCAAGGACAAGAAGCCTTTTAACACCCTTTGTCGCTTGCTGCGTATGTCCATGGAAGTGCTCTATCCAACGCAGACCAAGAGCATTGCTTGTCCAGCCATTCTCGCTGCAGGCTAGAGTCCAGCGTGGTGGTAGTCCTTCAAAATAAGTCTTATTTAGCGTTACGCCTTTGAAGATCACGAATGGAGGGACCTGCCAGCCTCGAGCGTTGACGCAGGCAATAATGGTTACCCATTCAGAAGAATCCGATCCAATCAATGTTGGTCTTCCTTTCCGATCAGCTGTAGTTACAACATGGTGGTTGCCAGCTTGCCCAAGGCGGAATCCAGTCTCATCAAAGTTGTAGATATCGTCTTCAAGGATACCATGGAAATTGATCATGTTCTTCACCAATTCAAACCATTGAATATACGCGTCTTTCTGCTCGTTACGTGCACGCTGCCAATCCAGCCTTCGCGACAACTTTGTCTTAAGCCGTGGTGTCCTTTCAATAAAGTTATGTCGCCATAATTTACCAACAGGTTCAAGGCCCTTCTGCGTTGCAAGGATGTTCGCAATTTCCTCAACATGAGCAAGCGTTGGTGGCCATCCACGCGAGTCCATATCCAATATCCTTTCAATTATAACCTCCTCTTCAGCGACAGTGAATTTCCTTGAATTGACACCTTGCTGTTGTCTGGAAGGTCTGCTGTCAAGGCGGCGTTGGAGGGTGGTCCTTGAGACGTTATACGCGCGCGCAGTTGCTCGGATCGACTTGAATTGACCGGATCTGAATGCAGCGATAGCAGGAGCGTAGGAATCACGCGTCAATCGCGTATCCATTGTATGACGTGGATAATTATCGCGTGTTGAAGGAAAGAATACGTAGTGAGAATAGGAAGTGGCCCACAAGCCTATAGTGGCCCACAAGCCTATAGGGTACGTTAGGGCTCAACGGCTAGCTGTCACGTAAATCCACGAATAAACATCGCTAATTCCAGGGAGGCGATCTTCGCATTCGTTCAGAATGAACCTCTAAAGCGATGATGGTCGCTGTGAGCCTGTGTCTACGTCCACGCGTGGAATACCCTGTGGACATGCGCCCGTCCTTTTCCCTAATTGCCGTCTAAGAGCGCGCACTCATCGCGTGTAATCGGATGTCCGCCTTGATACTTCTCCTGGTTATCACACAACACTCACCGTGAGGGATTCGCCGTCGCTCATTCTCATCGACCTCACCTCTTGGAACTATAGGCTGTCTAGTATCGGGGATAGATCTCTGGCCATCGCTCAAGATTGCGCTCTTGTTGTTCCACACAAAATGTTGTTCGCCTGGTCTAGTCTATTGCTGATGCTTGCTGGGCACTCGCTCGCTGCGGCCCCGACGACCTGCTACAATCAAGATGGCAGTATTGCGAACAACAGATATAAACCTTGCCCGGGCACGACATACTGTTGCGACAGCGGCGATACGTGTACAACAAATGGGCTGTGTCAACAGCGCAATAACCACTACCCGAACATGGAACAGGTAGCCTGGTGGTACGATGCTAAGGCCAATAGGACTTCCTATGGAGACTTCACATTCCTTTACACGGCATCGACGTGTACTAATGCCAACTTTTCCGGCTGCTCGACAAGATGCACCAATGGTGAGTACAATGCCTAGATCGTTGCGTTTTGGCGCCAGTGATGATATTTACTCGGACTTGCTTCCTTGTACTAACCACATCAATGCTGCCGCAGCGAATACCCCATCCTACCTTTGGGCGTGCAACGACGACGCGTTGACCAATTACTGCTGCTATGACCCCTCAAAGTCCCTGGGCCTCTGGGAACATCAAAGCTGTTGCAAATATCCCGGCGCAGTGTTTCAACTCGACAAGCCTAGCATCATTGCATGGAACAGCACATCAGCGTCAACACCAGTATCGACATCATCGACATCATCGGCATTACCATCTTCTACCACACCAGCAACCTCAGGAGTGTCAAACACAACGGCCGGAAATGGCCCAACCCCAGGCATGTCTCAGGGCACGACGATCGGGATTAGTGTCGGCGTAGCAGTAAGTCTTGCAGTTCCCTACTTCCTTTTCGACGAACATACGACCTTGAGCTAACAAGACCTCTCTCTTGCTGGCAGGTCGGCGTCTTTCTCTGCCTACTCCTCCTCGCAATCCTTTTCTGGCGCGTCCAAGCACTGCGAAATCTCCTTCGACGAGACAAATCGCTACAAGATCAGAATCAAGTCAGAGAATACGAGCCAATCCCAGCTGACTTCAGGCATGAAAAGTCAACAATATTGACGAACTCCTCCCCGGTTTCTTCTTTTTCTCCGATGTCGCCTCCTACGCCTTCCGCTCCTGTGGAGTTGCACGCGATAGCGCGGCCCCATGAGATGCCGCACAATAATACGAGGATGGAGCTGCCGTGAGTATATTAATCGAGCTAGAGTCGGATTCGGTTCGGCCTCGATCTTTCGAGTAAATTTTCTCATGTATGAAGGGGAGATTTTCATTGATTAGAGACAGAAGCCATATTTATGATACCCCATGAGATATAGACAGAATAATATCATTCCTGACGAACGGATGACTGATGCAGTGAAAAGCTCTACGGGGTACTATTTATGTGTATCGTTGATGCCTGTATCGGATTTAAACTGTCATACATAGGTATCCTTGAAGTGATGTGTGTGCGGAAGATTGTCCTGGTGCTCAAAGTCATTTGATAGAGACCTCAAGATCATTAAATGCAAGATTCCATCGTGATCCAATCTTGTCTTAGGAATGATTTGACGAGTGTTGTCATTGGTTCCGGGCGGAGGAGTCTGTTGATATCGGGAATTGCTTTTCAAAACAAACCTAGATGCCACAGGATTCGGCGCCGATGTCATCGCGCTGGCACATGCAGCGGACATGCAAGGCCAATCCTCTGCAAGGCTAATCCTGCGACGCGCAAACAGTCGGTATCTTGCAGTCCTTCGCACCAGCGGATCACGAAGGGCGAGTATGACAGGACTGTACTTGTCCAAGTATCCAAGAGAATGGCTTCACTGCAAGATTTCTCGCAAATGAGACCATCTCGTACAAGCCTACCCCGAGTATGACGCAGGTTGACTGGCCGGCGATCGGCGAGACATCGATCTGTAAAGTATGCAACCACAAACCCCGAAGTACCTTGATCCATGGCGATGTCTTATCTTATGTCCGAGAGGCTTGAATCGTGGATCGTCTTAGCTTGCCAAATGATTCCGTGATGTTTTCAGGTCTATAGTTTCTCGAAGGCGAACATGGAGCGCAAGCTGACTTCGGTATCGGATTTCGAAGACCACAATACAGACCAGTCCGAGGCAATAACAGGAAACGCTGGCAGCACCAAGCGGAAAAGGCAGCCGCGAAACTCGGCTTGCCAAGCATGTGCAGTCTTGAAGATGAAGTGTGCGCCGACCGCGAGCGGAAGATGTGAGAGGTAAGTCCCTTCTTACAATTGTGGCGGATCTACGCACAAGATATGAAACTTCGATTTTGCGCTTGATTAGTTCCCCCGTATCGAGTCGTAACTGGTGCTAAGTCTTATCCCGAGTCACAGGTGTATCCGTACGGGTCGAGAATGTCGGCGGGTTGATTGGAGTCATTCTCGAAGACGGAGTCATGGAGGCGTATCACGATTCCAGAAACCAAGGCAGTCAATTCCACTTTCGGACCTACTGCAGCCAGGTCCAGCTCTTACTGAGCCTCGCATTGCTACGGAAATTTCCTCAAAGACACAGCGAGAGACCTCCAAACAAGAACATCGTTCGAATACACCTCAGAATGGACCAAGAAGCCGGGTCGGATCATTCGCGTCAGAGTTTGCACAGAATCTAGGCGGGTTTGCGGTAGGTCAAATTCATTCTCTTCTTGAACATGACGAGCCCATGCATTGACGGAGACATCCTCCGAGCCGTCGACGAGCCGTACGGTCGCTGACTCAGTTGACGGATGTCTTGCAGACATGTGAAGAATTGCTGGAAGGTATAGAACATGCCTTTGTCACTCACTGTTTCAGCATATTCCATAATCTGAGCCGTCATTTCCCATTTATCGACATCCCAGTCGCCGTGGATATATCCTCGATGATCACCCACAGGCCTTTGTTGACTGTCGCCGTCTGCGTCTCGACCTCCTCAGCACGACCCGAAGCTCAAAGTCGACTGCTACGCGCTTTCCGACATGCCGTCTCATCCAAGATTTTCCTGACAAGCGAGAAATCCTTAGACATACTACTCGGACTTCTCGTGCACATCGCCTGGAGCCACCATAGCTTGTCGCATGTACAATTATACCAGCACTTACATCTTATCGCGGCTATGGCAGCAGATCAGGGCCTCTACGTACCAACATCTTCAGCTGATGAGACACCGAATGCATTAGAGCGAAATCGTGCTCTTATTGGATCATACTACCTTTGCGCCCACCTGCCAGAATTTGGACTAGAAAGGCCGAATCCGATGCGATGGAACGACAATCTCTTCCAGTGTGCAAGGAGCGTCGCACGAATGGGGCATTTACCCTCAGATGCCATGATGTCTCACATTCTCGAGCTTTCACGCACAGTGGACGTGTTCAATGAAGGTTTCCGCTCGAGTGCTAATCATCGGGATTCAACCTCAGACTACTCCATCGATCTCCATCTAAGGCTCGTTGATGATAGGTTCGACTCCATCAGGCGCGAATGTCCAGCGATCGACAACTTTCCCGGGTTTCGATCAGCGAAGCTCCAAGTCTATCACCGAATAATCTGCGGGAGCCCTATCCCTGAGCCACGAGTCCTGATTCAAAGCGCATGTCTCGCCAAAGACTATTTCGACATGATCCACTCCCAGCCGGCGTCGACGCTCCATCAAATAGCAATAACAGATTGGACAGGTCTCCTTAGCGGCCTGGTCCTGATAGCCAAGATAGCACACCTGCCACCTATTGTTAGCCGTGAAGGACCAGAAACCGAAGCATTAGTACAACCTGACTCGACAATGCACGCCATTTGTACGGCCTTTGCATCAGCGCCGATAGACGATCCGCTATCGCCACGCAACGAAGCACTTCTCAAAGCCTTCTACAAGTTCTGCGAAGGCATTCGAAAGAACATCCTGTGTAACGAACCCAGGACCGCTTCAATGATTCCTGGGTTGAACTTCGAGGGTAGTAGTTCTCGGATCTCTCGAACCCATAATCAGCCTTTCTTCGAACATGCGCAGATTATATCAGGAACAAGCCAACGTGCTGGGAGGGGACCGAAACCAGTGTGGGATCTCCGCAGTGGTATTCTCGACGAGGACTTGTGGCGAGCACTGAGGTGATTGCATTGTGCTCAAGCAAATCGAAAAGGATGTAACATGAATCAAATTTTGGATTTGACGGAAGGTTATGCAGAACTTCAAGGGAGGACATCCCGAGTTGAATCTTGTGTACTAACAAATCCGATGCTCCGGGGGTCTCCATGGAACCCCCAAGATCTCAAAAATCTTCTTCTCATCCTTTCCCTCGACGAGGATTCCCTCCGTGAGCTTCACCCGTCCGGGCCCACGAACCACATCCTTATACAAGCCCCGCTGATTCAGACGCAAGCCCTTCTTGCTCGCCAAAAGTCGCAAGGATCGATTGAAAATGACATTTCCAGTGAAGTAAATCAGTGCCGCACCGATCTCGTCGGAAGGCACATACAAGAAATCGATCCGGCGCCAGACATTCAAGCCTGGCAGACAAGACGCGCCATGCCACTTGGACCCATCATCGCGGGATGTCACGGCCAGTCCGGCTTGTAGAAAACCTTTCTTAAAGAGCGTCGGCATCAATTGTTCCGTCACGACCATGTGGATGTGATTGGCGCTTGTATTGGGACGGGTGATGATGCAGTCGATATCTCCGGAATCTCGCGCGCCGCGTCGATAGGAGCCGCCGATGATGACCTCGAACGCGGGATCGATCTTGTGTAATTCCTGCCGGACCAAAGCGCCATGTTCCTCGACCTCGGCGCGGGGGATGCGTTGCAGAAAGTCATCATAACGCTGAATTCCGATTTTTTGATTGGCGGTCAAATCGGCTTTTTCGAGCAGGTCATCTAATGTTTTGAACCCCAGACGGACCCATTTACTCGCGGTTTCGTAGCCAACTCCATAGATGTTCATGAATACCTTCAATATTTGATCTGTTGGCTCTGCGATGGCGTTGTCGAGGCGTCGAAGTCGATTCGTGAATGCAATTTCTTCGATTTTGATGGCGAGCCGCTCGCCTACGTTTGGTAGCATCTGTGCCTCTTCCTTCGTGCGAACCTTTACAGGGTGCTTGCGGAGTGTCGTGATGGCTTTGCGATATGCCCGAAGCCTCCACGCATTGCCGGTCTGTTCGTAATAATCTGCCATCTGCTGTAAGATGTTGATAGTTGAAGAGTTTGGACAGTCTTTGGGTTGGTCGCCAGTGTGTTTTTGCATACACTGGAATTTGTCTTGAATATGCTGGAATTTGCTCGTTTTAGTCTTCAGATCGAGGCTACCGGCATTTGAGTCGAGTATGTCGGATCCGCTGGGTGGAAAATCCGCGTCCTGGTCACGATCTAAAGGCAGATCACTCATGGCTTTTGCCTCGCGGATTGCCTCTGCGAGATCCATGTTGCTTTCCACACTGGGCGCAGAAAAGCTGTCAGCCACACATTCCAGGTCATGCTCATCGTCCACAGGGACATCTGCTATTAACGTGACGAGCTCCCCGGCTTCGTCAGATTGCTGACTAGGTGTCACTTGCTCGCGAGTTGCCTTGCCGGCAGGCTTTAATGGAAGAGACTTGTCCAAAGCGATCAGATCTGGTACTTGAGCTGGCGTTGAGACAGCTGTAGTAGCTTTCTGTCCTCTAACAGCAAACTTAGGTTGCTTAGGCTGCACGATGGCGCGATACGCGATGCATTCTGCTGGATAGTTCTCCAACACTGCCACTATGTGTGCCGGCAGCTCTGCGAGTCGCAAGTACTTGAGCAGCTGCGAAAAATCTATCATTTTGTCCAGTATCACGTGAGTGACAGCTTCTGACCATTGCTTCTCCCATACTGCACCGTGCTCGATGGCTTTGGCGATCCGCATTCGGCGTGCAGGGTGCACGTCATTGTTTGGAAAGAAGAAGAAGCGGAGGCCGCTGAAAAGCTGGTTCTGAGCGGTAGCGGAGATGACCGCCTCACGTTTCCGTTTCCCAGTGGACTTGCCTGGCTTCGCTCTTTCCAAGATATTGGGAAGAGACGGATTTCGTTTACTAACAGATCTCTCTGTGGCGATATCCGCGACGGATGAGTTCGTGATGGTCTTTGATGCGTTTGTCTTCGTGTGAACTTGACCAACGTTAGGCGCAGGTCGCGCGTCATCGTTGACAGCCAATTGAGATTGTATGATTGAACTCTTCGGAATCACTTGCAGGGCATTTTCTGAAGCTTTGCGTCCTGGATCATCATCCTCATCGGATTCGACAAGAATGCTTGCGAGATTATTGAAGAATGCCGTCTTCTCCTCGAGCTGCGATGTCGGCTGCACGCTCATGTTGTTCTGTCTTCACTTGTGAATCGCACGTTCGAATTGATGTTCGTTCTTGAAGTGGTCGTGCCGAAATTGTATAGCAGTCATCACTCGCAATCCCTGTGCTAGGGATTTGTTTCTTGTTACTTGATGCAGAATGAGAGAAGCTGAACATGTTCTGCCGGGTCATATGTGAATCTGGAATGCGCCATGGTCAAGTTCGGCGGACGAGAGCAAGGGCGAGGCAATCCTTGTGACAGTGGAGGCAAAGATCAGAAGTGCTCGTCGTGTAGGACAACCAATTTCATACATATATATATGGTCCATGATACCATGAAATCCGGCAGGCAGCAATGCCGCTTGTGAAAAGGGAAAAAGCCCCACCAAATCCTTCCACTTTACGCGTCCGACGCGTGACCGACGTTGACGAAAGATTGACGAACACAAACCCAGGCAGCACATGTGACAAGCGAATCATAACATCGCGCTTCTTCAAATGAATTGCAAGACCATTATGTGATACGGAGACAAGATACTTATTGCACTCAATCATGTACGGCGAACAGGGCAACAAACTCGTCATCGACGCCAAACGAATCCATAACCTCCCCCATCTCCCACCCTACGCAACGACCACTGTCCGCGCCGTCGTGAAAGAAGTCCGCGAACTCGAGCGCGATGCCAATGCTCTATTGGCACCATATGCCACCGGCAGCAGCCAGGCGAGCGACGGCACCCAGATCAAGTCCTCCTTCAACCCAGCCGACGACCCCGCCACCGCCTGCGCACTGATGGTCAACCATCTCTCCATGCGGCGAAACAAACGCTGCCTGCTCGCCTACCACAAGACGCGCACCGACAAGCTCGAGGAGATGTGCTGGGCCGGCATCGACGTGACCGAGATCCAGCAATCCAACCTCGGCCAGTCCTCCCAGGCAAGCGGGGCCGGCGGAGCAGGGCAGCAGCAGAACGCGGCGGGCGCTGCAGCGACGAGCAGTCTCAGCGCCGAGGAGGAGCAGTACGTGCATCAGTACAGCAACCTCCTCGCCGCGCTGAAGGGCCAATGGACGGACGTCGACCTCGCGGGGAGCCTGGAGCCGCCGCGGGATATCTTCATCGATGTCCGCGTGCTGCGAGATGCGGGCGAGATCCAGACGGAATACGGATCAATCACGTTGACCAAGAATAGTCAATTCTACGTGCGGCAGGGCGATGTGGAACGGCTGATTCAACAGGGCTATTTGCAGCGTTTGAGTTGAAGAAAGAGCAAAGCGATGATCGCCTGAGATGTGCTGCGCTCCTCTCCACCATGCCGTCGTCGGAATTGGCATGCAGCGATGAGATGCTCCCGCAGAATGATCAACTTCAATGGCCGATCAAGATGTGGATTTCGGCGTCCAGAGTCCGGCACGTCTGTTCGCAACAACTATCAGCTCCGCTGTGCACCACCAGAATGAATTCGGCAAAGGGATCGCCAAGGCCACAAAAAGTCATGAGGACAGCTACAAAGCATTTGGCGTCCCGTCCCGGGCAGCAAACTCGCGCGATGGATTGCAAACGTACACCCATACCGCCCGCCTCCAAGCAAAATCTCCACCGTCCAATTCTCGAAACGGCCACGGAACTGACCTTCTCGATGACTCCATGGCAATGCTCTCCTGCCTGCCTCTCTGTCCACTTTGGAACACAAGGTCGCACCATGAATGACCTCTGCGAGATAGCAAATGGTGAGACAGGGCCTTGAAATGCCGTGAAACGTTTTGACCTGTGGCATGGCTCATGCCATGAACCGAGATACGAAGAGAGGGGGGAAGAGACAATGGGATGGAAACGTTCTCACGACATGTAATTTACTCCTCGATATGAAAGGGCGAGCAACCCAGGGAACTCCGACGGAGACTAGAACGGGCTCAAGAAACGGAAACCGATCCAGGAGATGCATATCTCGATTCGGAGGATGGCAAGCGAAGCGGTAGTCTATTACATAATAGCTAGAAGAAGATGACGCTGAAATGAATTTCTCTAATATAAGTTAAGTTCGAATGATATCCCGAAAGATGGGGGGGTCTGGTTATACATGAAAAGGCTAGAGAGGGGGATCTTCCCTTGGGAAGTACCCCGGTCCCATCCAATGGACGATGTTTTGAATGATCAATGTCCCCTCTTCCTGGTCTCCCGGCACACCTGTTGATTTATCCTGCAGGCGAGGGAGGAGGGTGATCGAGGGCGCGTGTGTGTCGTGGCATTAAATTAGGGGGTTTTGTTTCTCCCTGGGGTGCTTGAAGTAGAGGAGTAGGAGAAGAAGAAGAAGATCGAGAAGGAGGAGAGGCATGCAGGAAGGTCGTGGTTCAAATGGGTCGATGATGTTGATGATGATGATGATAAATGATGATATGGTCGCGTGGGTGGATAGTCGTAGGCGGAGTAAATGTGGTAATTGCGTGCAGATTTCAATGATTCTGTTTTTCCGAAGAACAAGGTCGTGGGCTCAAGTCTCAAGATCGCAGAGGAGAAAAGAAATTCTCTCTACCGCATCAAGCTCTCGGCCCTCTCCCTCTCCGCGACGACGAGCGCCTGCAACTTCCGCATCTGCGCGAAAGTGCTGTCGCGCTCCATCTGGAGCTCGTTGACCTCGAGCTGGCTGCGGTTGACGCGCTGGACGACCATCTGCATGTCATCCTCGGCCTCCTTGAGCAGACCCTCGAGCTCCTTGACCTTGCGCTCCAGCATCTGGGTGCGGCTGGCCTCGAGCAGGCTGGCGTCGCTGAGCTTGGCGCCGAGCTTGGGGCTCTTCTTGAGCATGAGCGGGGAGGAGGAGCCGACGCTGGGGCTGGCGACGCTGAGTTTCTTGTGGGTGCCGGCGCTGGGCGGGAGAAGGAGGTCGAGGTTGAGTCGCTGGAGGCGCGGGGAGGTGGCGTCTTCGATACGGCGGACCTCGGCGTCGTGGTCGGCGAGGGTGTTCTCGGAGTGTTGCTGCGCGGCGAGGACGCTGTCTTCCATGCCGGCGAGGCGCTTCTGCATGTCCTCGATCTGGCGGGTGGATTCGCGCTGTTCGCGCTCGCCCTTGGCGACGGCTTGGGAGAGGCGGTCGCGGAGCTGGATGTGGGATTGGACTTGGTTCTCGAGCTGGTCGGCGAGGTCGTCCATGCGCTTGGCGGACTCGAGGAGTTGCGCGGCCGCATCCCCTGCGGTCTGGGAGGCGCGTTGGCGGTATTCTTGCGCGACTTGTCGGACCTGGTCTCGCTCTTGCTCGGCGGTGGAGATGCTGAGCTTCAGCTTGGCGTCGGCGTTATCTGCCTCACCATCATCGCTGCCCGAGGAGAAGTTGAAGCCGGAGGATCCTGCATCATTGTCTTGCAGGAGAATACGAAGGCCGCGGGTCTCTTGCTCGGCACGGTCAAGATCCATCTTCAATCCAGAAAGACCTTTCTCGTACTGCCATTTTTGTTCCAACGCGTCTTCGGTCCGCTTGCGCAGGGTAGTAACTTCCTCCTTGAGGAAAGCCACCTCTTTGGAGAAGGGAGATTTCCGTGATGCCATAGTAAAATCAGGGGCACTGTTAGCGACGCTGATCTTCTTGATAGCACGGGCGTGTTCGCGTTGCGAGCGATCGTATCGTCGGATCAATAGCTGCAGTGCCTTGTGAAGAGCATCGCGCTGATCTTCGATCTCCTTGAAAGCATCGCCATTCTGCGCAGATCCCGATCCGGAGCGCTGCCGTGTGCCTTCTGAACGCTCCTTGACCGAATTTCCGCGGCGAAGGCCAGAACCCTTCACCAGAGAGCTTGCGCGTGACGCGCTTGTTCGTGCGCCACCCAAAGCCGAGATGCGATCGCCATCCTCGTCGAAGCTGTCCGCGACGCTGCCCATACGAGCATGGCCCAAACCTCGACTCACGCCGTGCTCCTGCTGGATGCGGGTGTTCTCGTACATGAGAGCTTGAGTATCCGCAGCCTGTGCCTCGAGGCCTTCGATTCGAGCTCGGAGTTGCGGAACAACCTCGTCTCTGAGATTGTCGCGCTCGTTACGGTAGTGCTCGAGTTCTTCTCGGGTCGCGATGTACAGCTCCTCGAAGCTTTGTTTCGACTCCTTCTCCTGGCCGAGGCGTTTCCGGGTCTCGTCCAGGGAAGTCTCGAGTTGTTCGACCCTGCTGCTTTCATCGCCTTCTGCTGAACGCTTCTCGAGCTGGTCCTCGAGATGTCGCACCAATTCTTCGAGGTCTCTCCGTCGACCGAGCTCCGTCTGAATCCGTGATGCGACATCCATCTGCAGGTTAGCCTTGTCTTGCTCAATTCTCCGCAGCTGGCCTTCCAGTTGTTCGACCTTGGCATCGACATCTGTGATGGGAAATCGTGTGGAACTAGCACCGCTATCTGAGAAGTAGTCGCTGTTTCGACGACCTAATTCTGAAGGGGGCGCCGTGGGATACTCGGAACGCAAGCGCTCCAGTTCATCTTCCAGCTCCATTTCCCGCCGTATTGACATGGCCAATTCCTGGCTTATATGGGACAACTCACGCTCCAGCTCTTTCACATGAATGCTGGTGCCCTGGTCACCAAGCAGTAATGGCGTTTCGGGGTTGTCGAAATATTGGCCGGCCGAGTTTGCCTTTTGAATGTCTAAGCCTGGCGGCGTGAGCCGCGCTGGGGCAGTGTGTCCGTCCATGGGTGATGCTTTCATTAATCGTGGTGAGGGCATAGGTGATAGTGATCGGTCGGAAAAGGTTGTCGTAGGAGAATGGTCAGACTCGCCCTTTTGTGGAGCTCCTTTCCAACCAAAAAACGATCCCAGACGCCCACCGGGCGATTTGGGCCGTTGGCCGCCCGACGATGTGACTGAATCGGCACCTATTGAGTCTTCTGAAAGGCTTCTTTGAATCCCGTCGAATTGTACGGTCATAACAGGAGCCTGCTGTTCTGCAGTCATGGAGCCGTGGTGTTGATGACGATGCTTTGTAGGGCCTTCGCGTATGTCTATGCTAGAATTGGACTGTTGGGACGCATGAGATACGAACCGCTCGTGGGCATACTTTGCGCGCACGGGCGTACTTGGTTGTCGTGGGCTGCTATACCGCGATGAAGGTTTTGTACTGACGATGCGGGAGTCTATGGAGCTATGTGTGTTGTGATGTGAGGTAGGGAGGGTATACGAAGTCCTAGTCCTCGTCAATTGCCTGTTCGGGGCGGGTCCATGAACACCACGCTGGACTGACCTGTCTCCGGGTTGTTGTTCTTCTGACTCTTCTGGTGGGTACTCGGTCGTCGCGAGGCTACTCAGCTGGCGAGGCGGCGCTGCAATCGACGAGGGCCGCTGGTCGAATGCGGCGAGTCGTGGTGATGCCTTTTCCGAACTCGAGAAGGAGGCAGAGCGAGGTGGCCTTTGTTGGAGGAGAGGGAAGTGAGGACGTTTGAGGCTGGCGCTGTCGGGGAGTTGCGATCGGAAGGTCGCAAAGGACGGAGCAGAGATGGGATTGAGAGGCGCTCGACGAATGCCCGATGTGGGAGAAGCGGATCGCGTCGAGTCGATGGACAAGTCGTAGCGATGTCCTAAGGACGTCGACTTGGTCGTTGAAGATTCGTGGTAGGCGTCGTGGAATGAAGGCGGCGATTGGGGTTGCGTGAGGTGTTGTCGTCGTTGTTGTTGCGGCGACGATGCTGGAAGTTGTGGTGTGCCCGAGTAGTAGTAGTCATCGTCCAGGGACGAGGACGAGAGGAGTGACGATGGCATAGCGGCGGTGTTAGACCAGGTTGGCGAGCCCACGATAGGCTAGCCGAAACGATGCACAGAGTGAGGATCTCTCTCGTGCTCTCGCGCGCCAATTCGCTCGCGCTGGTGGAGTTGGAGAAGGACTTGAGGGGTGGGAAAAGCCTCGACCCTCGATCGGCAAGCAGCTAGAGGAAGAAAGTTTGCTCGAGACAAGAGCGTGAGGAAAAGACTGACGAATGACGGACGAGTAAGGTAGGGGGGTAGGTGTGTACGCTGGCGGTGGTGGTGGCCGTGGTGGTGGTGGAGGAGGTACTTGGAGGAGAGTAGCAGAGCGCGCGCGACTTCCACTCTGATACTAGGGTGAGACACACAGACACGGGGTGGACAGTACAGCACGGGACCGCACTGTTCTCGTGAGGAAGAGAGAGAGGGAGAGAGAGGGAGAGAGAGGGAGAGAGACGTGTGGGCGAGAGAATGGGGGGGAATTACAGTCGTCGCAGTTAGGACGTCGAACATCGAACGGCGCCAGCCCAGACGCGCAACGTTCGCGACGCCGCCGCGCCTCCTTTATTATGTACATGCACACTATGACTGAAAAGTCCCTCCGAATGCATGAACTTGCATACTGCACACATGTGCGGTGGACATGGAGGACATGGGCGCGAGAATGTTCATACTGGACAGGATAGATCTAGAGATAGTGATGGCCAATGATATGCTGGGATCCCATTCCATCTCATCACCATCTGCACAACATAATAACAATGTATCGTATCGTATCGCATCGTAGCATTCCTACTGGTGTTCTGGAATAGAGAGATGACTTGCGCAATCAAGGAGAATTCGGCGCGGGACCAGCCAATTGCAGGCAGAACCGCCAATATCTGTGAACACCTGGGATGGATACATCCATACATCCGCCCACCCATGGACGCAGCCGCTCACGTTTTTCTGGTTTCAGTCCCTGGTTCATCCTCATCTCGTTCTTGTCCTCTTCCGGGATTAGCGCCACGCAGGTACGGCACACCAGGAACAGACAAAGCACCTGCAAATCACAATCTCCAATCCATTACTAGGTATTAGTATTATTATTATTATCACTCATGCGTCCATCCATAGCACGCACGTATGTAGTGACATTACCCGCTCCTTTTCTACTAGGTAGCAGTAGTAGGTACTGTATCATCACTATCCCAAATGTGTATGCCCAGGTGTACATTCGTTATCTTTGTACTTATCACTAGCCCCCATCATCATCTACGAGCATCTCATCACACCTCGACACCCAGCGGCTCGAGCTCCTTGATAGGCACCATGATGATGAGTGCGCAATCAAACCTTGCTGGCTTTTGCTTGTTGGCGCTTTTGCATCAAACCGCCCCCAATTTGTCAACACGGTACTTGGCTTTGGTGCCAACCTTTTTTGCATTTGATTGACATCGGCCTGTCCATATGGCTCGAGCTGGCGGCCTAGAGATAGACACCGGGCTCGACACAGAGCTCTTGGACCTTTGGCATGAACCAGATCTGCCCCGAGCGCATCGTCCTCCGCCGCCGACGCCGTCGGCCTCATTCAAATGAGATGAGGCCATGGCGCACATCGCAATCACCAAAGGAATTACTGATGCGTTGTAGCAAATCGGTTTCCGGGCTCCGATGGGGAGCGAAGAAGGGAGGACAGACAGCACTGCAGCCAGATCATGGACGGGCTCCACATAAAATCTGCAGTACTGTTGGACAGATGATTACTCTCCGGCCGATGAGATCTACCAGATCTTCCATCCAAATCTGCCAGCCTCCCATCGTGTTCAACCATTCTCACCACCATTAATAGAAACAACGATGTTCCCTACATAGGTGATTCACTGCTTTCCATCTCAAAGGGAAAATGTCATCCAGGAACAACCCGGGGTATGAACCCTTCTCCTGGGCGATGTTCTCCTAACTCTTGGCCATCCATTGTGTGACACCGCCGCGTAAGGATATTTAATGACACAGGACCTCGTGATGATGCCAAGAAGAAGTCCACATGAATTTATAACTACCTCAGTCAGTAGGTACTGTAGTATTGTACATGTTGGGATGGCCACTCTACACATCCAGCCTCGTGCGTGGAACTGCATAGCGAAAACCACCCGCACACGGTACAACTGCTGCACCAGCATGCAGGTACACATACACACGCGCGTACCTACTTCTCTCTCGCTCTCTCGTTTTCCTTATCGCCACTAGGTGCTTCCGCCGATGACGACGGGAACCTGTGGCGGGAAGTCCGGCCACATCTACTCATCGCATCGTGGACAAAATTCTTTTCGTCTGATTGAGAGATGGATCGATCGGGTAGGCGGCGACGGTCGGCCGGGCAGTTCCCAACAACCAAGAGCGCCGTGATCCTTCTTCATCTCTATCTACTATTGTCCCCGTTCGATTGAACAGATTGACCAGCCATACGTATATCTCGAATCCCACACCGTTCCAGAGATATCGGGTCGTTCGTCACGCATACCGACGCAACGTGAGAGGCAGGCCGTGTCTTTTCATCTTGCTTTCGTCAATTTCATCATCCGCGCAGGCCAATGGTATAATCTGCCCTTACCCTAAAGTCCTCCCCACATACACACACACAGACGTATGCACAACTTCCCCTCCCAATTTGGCGGAGATTTATTTTTACATCGCCATTGTATCGTCCATCCAGGGTGTTCGTCTGCGCGTGCATGACATCCTCGACGCCGCTGTGCAAACATCTCCATCCATGAACCCTCGCATATCCCCATCCTCCACAAACTCTTTAATTTTCCCGCCTCAATTTTGAAGAAAACTTGTATGAAAATGCAAGACATTCTTGAACTATCCCCACAGGAAAGGAGGGAGAAACAAGCCTTGATCGAATCTGCCAAATCCCAATCAATTTCACGTTCTGAGAGATTGATGAGGCAAAGAGGAGACCACGTGCCCACCGACAGGGGAAAGTCAGAGCAAGAGGCAATCTAGCGCACGTGGAGGTGGGTAGAAGGGAGGCTTCTCCCCCCAAATCTCCGCCCGGATTGTTCGGCCGGCGGGCTGGACGCCGCCCCCTTTCTTCGTCATGTGGTTTTCATCATCATTTCATTCCAAGTGGTCGTCGATATCATCTCCACGCCAGCAAGGAGAAGGAGGGAGATGGAGAGCGATCATCATGGATGCAAAGTCGCACATGCCGTGGTGTCGATGTTCGCGGCACAAACCCCGTCCCAGTCAGTCTGTGGTCACTCATCACTCATCGCTCACACCTCCAACAGACGAAAGCTCCCCCGAAATTCATTCAATCCCGCCCGCCCGCGCAGGAATTCCGATGATCATTGCCCTGGTATACAGTGGGTGTGCAATGCCCGGATTGCGACTAGCAGATCGCCCGCTGCCTCTGCCCGTCGCTGGAGGGCATGTGCGTGCCTTGTGTGAAAAGAGCATAGACGCATCGTCAACGATGATGGACCTACAACAGCGGTCCGTGATGATGTTGATGCCTTTTGCGCATGTTCCTTCTCCATCGGATAGGATAGTCTTCGACCACCTACCCACCTCCATCCATCCATCCATACATCCACCAGCTGATGATGACAATTTATTTTCCGCCAGGCTCGTGCTTCTATTTTTTTGTTTGCACCTGACATGTCAAACGCACGATGTCAGGGTTATTACATACATTACTGGCACGGATGAGAGACGGGCCTTGTTCCCGATCTTGGGGGTGAATTCCGTGTTCGATGTCTCGATTTTATGGCTACAGTAGTCCTTTTTGGCTTTTAAAGACTGCGGATCGTCCCCGCGAGAACACGAGGCGACTGCTCGTCATCACGGGTGTTGCTGTTCGCAGTGCTGTGAGAAGATCCGATTTCATTCGTTTTCATCTTCGTCGATTAATCCCCGGCTCCGGATTACACACATCACAATAATATTAACGTGTCCACACCTCCTCGCCGATCGCATAGGAATGAGTTCGCCATGTCGAGTCATTCGGATGGTCATCTCCCGGTGCCTCAATCCGCGGCCCATTTACTGTACTCCATTTCCGTCTCTGGATTCTGGGATTACTCCTATTTCTGCTTTCCGTCGAGGTCAGTGTAGAAGTCCCAGCCGAAGCTTCCTGACGGGTCGTTGAAGCGCAACTTCTTGTCGATCTTGTCGATCTTCTCGACGTCGGCGGCCTCGAGTTTGAAGTCGCCCTCCAGGTTGGCTTTGATGCGGCTCTCGGTCTTGCTCTTCGGGATGACACTGCGACCTGATATGATGATAAGAAGTGACGTCAGCATCAATTGCGTATCTCTCAATCTCGACGGGGCGAAGACCTCGACTTCATCAACGTACCGTGTGCGATGCCCCAGGCGAGAGCAACTTGAGCGCCGCTCTTGTTGTACTTCTTGCCAATCTCCACCAGGGTCTCGTCCTCCATCAATTTACCGTGGTTCTTGCCACTCGAGTAGATCTCATTTTGGTTGCCGAAAGGCGAGTATTGGGTGATGTGAATGCCCTTCTCCTTGTGGAAGGCATCGAAGCTGGCCTGTTGCAGCCACGGGTGCAGCTCGATTTGATGTGCGGCAGGGACCTGGTGAGTCACGGCCATTGTAAGCGTAAGGTCAAAATGATGAATGGATTGCATAAGACCCCGACGGTCAGGGCATCCCGGCGATGACTTACAATGCTAGTCTCTTTGAGCAATCGCTCCAACTCGGCCTTGGAGAAGTTGGAGATACCAATGGCGCGCGCCTTGCCCTTCTTCTGGAGCTCCTCCATGGCCTTGTATGTGTCGACGTAGTCCGAGTCGCCAACGATCATCTTGTCGTTTTCGTCCTTGGGCATGAAGTTGTCACCTGACTTGAATGGCGAGGGCCAGTGCATGAGGTACTGTCGGAATAATGGTCAGCGGGTGTTTTCGAAATTGTCATCTACGAAGTGTTTAATGGGCAGGCTCACCAGGTCCACATACTCGGTGCCGAGATCTTTCAAGCTGGCGTCGAGCGCCTTCTCGACGTCCTCGGGCTTGTGTGAGTTGTTCCAAAGCTCTGCAGATTGAAGGTGAGCTCGTGTGCTCCATTTTCCGTAGTTTCGAACATTTTGTATGACGCACTAGTAGTGAGGAAGATCTGTTCTCGCGGCACGCCAGATTTCTTGATGCCTTCGCCAACGGCAGGCTCAGTGCCATAAATTCGTGCCTTTGCGAGAAATGTTTAGCTTCATTGCAGTGAGATCTCACCATTGATGAGCTGAGCTTACAGTGTCGATGTGACGGTATCCGACTTTGAGAGCCGTCAAGACGGCATCCTCTTGCGCATCCTTGTCCTGCCATGTGCCAAAACTGAAGATGAAAGATAAGCGTGTGCGTGGTAAGAACGCGAGCAACCATTTCTCACCCAAGTGCGGGAATAGTGGCGCCAGTGTTGAGTTTGAGCTGAGTAGTTGAAGCCATTCTGAAGTGTGTTTTGATAAATTGTTGGTTGCTGAGTTGTTGTCGAGAAGTCTGAGTGATTCTGCCGATGATTGAAGGTGAAGCACGATTGAGGAGCATAATCGGAGAACAGGAGAGGGAAGATGAGATGATATATAATTGATTGAGAGGGACAGCAAGGTGTCTGCTATAGCTCAAGCTACTGCTGCTGCAATCGAAATAATTCTGTTTTATTCATCGATTGCGTTGCGTCAATTGACAGAAAGTGGAGTGAGTTTATGGAGCTGGGAATCCGATCGATCACGGTGACGTCGTTCGTCGTAATTGTTACATTTTGAGGCGATCTGACCCCTTCCAGAAGTTCTCGACCTCGCCGTTCACGGAACATGACGCTATTTGTACTTCAGTGACATCCATCGGCGTCTTTCTGTACAGCGAATCGATCTTCCAGGTTCCAATATCCTCTTCGCGATTGTTGGGGACGATGGACTCGCCCGAGACCTGCAGATATCGTGTCCTGCATATGCGCAAGCTCCGAACGCTGGGAGATTGCAGAACGCATGTCGAACCCTTTGATACACGAATACTTATCTCGATATGTTCGTTTAAAGTCGGTGACCATGCATGGAACATTGCGATGAACTGCATGTTCATCGGAATCATGATTGTTCGTACACGTACTGGCGGTGCTATGAAGCAGGAAATCTACCGACACAGATCTTCCGTTTTTCTCACACGCAAGTGGAGAGTAACCCAAACCCTAAACGCCATGTTGCCTGGCCTTCAACAAAAACCCTTGACACCCAGTAGTATCGTAAGGACCTCACCTCAACAGACAACTTACTCTCGATCCCACATCATCGTCATTTTAATTGTCACATATTCGGATTCGTAAATCGATGTTTATGGTTTATTGCAGCTACTTCAGAACGGAAAGATGCATCATCCAGAGCGTTTGTTGTAAGAAGGATCGTTGTGACGATGATCCCTATGAAAATGCCCTCGCGACAAGACTTCCTACTTGAAGCCTTCAACACGTCATCAGCATGACCTTCGACAAAGACGTGCTATCGTAGACAAGGCTGTTGACTGGGGATACGGTGGTCATATACCAAGGATGTATCTACCACGGGAAGAACAAATTGAACAACCCGACAGATGGGTCGCTCCAGGGTACAGAACAACGGCTCAACCAAGAAAGTCCATCAGCCTGCCATGACTGCGTAATTCCCCTACGCGATATGGAATACGTCTGCCAGCATTCTTGTGGCAACAGCGAAGTCTCTAACATCAAAATTCTTCTGATGACTTCACGCGTCTGATAGTCGATGTGCTGGACACTCAGTGCTGCACAACTCTACAATTGTCGAGTCATTATCTTGTGCTGATGTGCAACAGTACCCCGTTGAACGATCCAGGGTTCCTCACATCCGAAGACGTTCGCAGTTGCGGTGCTGTACATGAGGTGACGTTGTGAAACGTCTGTCAATCCTAGCAACCAAGCCTCACGTCCACGAAGCGGGAAATCTCCGAGGAATCCACGTTCACCCGACCTGCCAGAGGATTGCTGGACCTGCAGGTCAACTCTCCACGTTCACACATAATGATCGTCATGCATCTCCCACGGTATCGCCGCTGCTCTACCGACCGTTCTGTTCTCTGGGCAACATGGGTTGCGCTCATCAACAGAGTATCTACATGTGCAATTGCTGCAAGTCATCTATAAGGAATCTCACTCGTGCTCCTGCAGAAAGATCAAACCACAACTCATCCTCTACCTCCCACAATTTCACACGATACCAAGTGGTGCTTCGCTCTACTTGAAAATCTTCTTCCATTGACATCTTGTCTATCATCTATCCACTCAAACCTTCGTGACGAGTGCTAATCCTCACGCCAACTTGCTATCAAGCTTCCACAGACGATCTACCTTGCCACAACTGTACTTGTTTGTTCTGCCTCGAACAACCAAGACCGAAAATCAAGACGGTGAATCCCTAACGAACATTGACAAGCTAAGTACTCCCCAAGTTTCTCCTCGTAACATTGGTGCACATCCCGCATCAACTCCATCCCACTCAAGCTATCTGCAAAACGGCAGCGAACTACCCGTCACGGCCAATCAAGGTCCTTATTGCCCTGACTGGCTGACCAGTCGCTGCTGAAGCTGATATGCTTCTCCCTAAGGTACGTCGATCTCTAAGAATTGATATGAGTTCAACTTTGCTGACGATCTGCAGATCATTTGTGTGGCTTCACTCGCACATCATGTATCATCAAAGCCATTCCATCAACTCCCCCCTATAGATCGTCAAGTAAAGAGAACCTCATTGCCTGGGATAACTTTGACTTCTACAGGTATCAGTGTGCCAACCAATGCAGGCGTGGCAGCCATCTGCACTGTTAGCTATCAACCGGATAGTGGTGGGTCATGAAAATTCGCTCAACCAGGCAACCGAAGACAGAGCTAATCGTACTCCAGGCAAGCAATGTGGCGAGATTGCATCAACTTACTTCGTTACTTTATCGACATATGAATTCGGACTGCGTTCAGACTCCATCGAGTGCGAAGACATCCTTGCCGCCTACCATATCTGCCGACCACAAATCTTTGCTGTCAACACCACCAACAGTGATGGGACAAACAATACTCCCCCGAAATTTGGAGATAAACCTGTGATTAGTGAAGCGTCTGCCGCCGTCAACCAGTCGTTGTTCCTCAATGCTAACGAGCAAGTCATGACCTTCACATTCACCACGACGATGACGTACCTGCATGGTACTGTCACATCGACTCAGATGCATTCTATTGAGGTCACCAAAGGTCCGGAGGGTATTTTTGCAGGCACGCTAGCATCTGCGACGGTGGCTGCCACATCTGCAGCTGCGAATTCGCCCGTCCCTATCCCTATCAACACTGCTTCATCGAGGACCACCAAAGCTCAGGGCGCGGTGAGCGCAGCTGCACTGAGCTCGCCTACTAGCACACCCGCAACGTCGTCAACCTCCTTTGCAGCGTTCGGAGCTCCGCTGTCAATCTCTGCTTCGACCAACGCTCAGGCGGCTGTCAGCACATCGAGCCTTACCTCTGCCGAATCCATCTCGACCCATGCGCAAGGCGCAGTAGCTGCAACAACCACTCCAAACCTTGTCCTACCCACCATCGGACAGGGAGCTGCAAGCGTTGCGACTGTTACACCGACTCCTTTGACCACCACCAATGCCCAAGCAGCGTCGAACACGACCGAATCGACCCCATTCGCGACCCTGGCGCAAGTGGCCACGGAGTTCGTAAATGTCACGCTGACGACTTCCGTCACTGCTGCTGCCTCGGCTACCAGCGAGACCCTGCTCGCATCGGAAGCTGTGAGCGTTTCGTCCACGGCTTCTGCTGGGAATGAAACACTAGTCGCCTCCAATGCAACGTCTGCCGCATTGACTTCAGGAGCAGCCGCCACCAGCGCTACTTCTACTGCAGTCACTCTAGGAGCAGCCGCTGCGAATACGACATCGACTTCGGTAACTTTGGGAGCGGCCGCCACTAATGCGACCTCCGCGACGGTGACTCTAGGAGCAGCCGCTGCCGCAAGCAATGCAACTTCGACTGCAGTGACTTCAGGAGCAGCTGCTAACAATGCGACATCAACGTCAGTGACTTTGGGATCGGCCGCTACAGGCCTCGAAACCGTGGCCTCGAACGCCAGCACTACAATCTCCTTGGCGACAAGCGCTCAGGCAGCTCTCAGCGCATTGAGCTCGGCGCCGGTCGCGGAGACTGTTGCGCGGAACGCGAGTGCCTCGGTATCGCCTACCACTGCCAATGTCACACAGGCATCTGTTGCTCATGCGCTCACCTTGAATACGAGCTCGACCACTGTGACAGCCACGAGTGCGCAGGGCGCTTTGGTCGCAAATCTTACGTCGGCTTCCAGCACGAGTGGCAAGGCTACGCCTATTCCAATCAGCCAAGCAGCGGCGACCAGCGCGCAAGGGGCTGTCGCTGCTTCCGCTGCTACGGAAACCTCGAGCACGTCTATGACATTGACCTCTGGTGAAGCCGCTGTTGTGAACAGCACAAGCTCAACCCTGGCTGGTACTGTATCGGCAACGGGTAGCATTGCAGCTAAAGGCGCGGAGGTGGTACCGACCACTACAGCCTCTATCAACGGGACAAACCTCGCGGCATCAGCTGCTGCCACCATCACGGGTACACCAAGCACGTCTGCGGCAAAGGCAACTGCTGCAGATGGAACCGCATCTGACACTAGAGGTGCCTTAACAATCTCGGAAGCATCGGTGGGATCGCAGATTGAGTCTACAAAGTCGACGCAGGGTAGCAATTCGACCACTTCGGCGGCGGCTTTTGCAGCATCTCTAGTTTCCTCCTCAGTGCCGACTACCTCAGGAATCTTTGCAGCTTCTCCCGTGCCACTTTCAATCTCGGGCTCAGCCACCATCACTGCTGCTCCATTGTCCACCCCCGGAGCTGCAAGTGATGTGTGGTCAAGCACATCCTGCACGAATTCATCTTTCTTCGGCGGCGCCTGGGGCCACATTGATAATTCGTCGTCGACGGCCAGTGCAGCAAGATTCGCATCCAACTTGACAAATTGGACAGCCACTACCTGGGATACACAGAGCTCTGCCACCCCCTCACCCGTGGTCGCCAGAACGCTACAGAAGCGCGGAATATCCTATGCCGTAACTAATTACGGCAATGTAGCTTCTCAGAGCGTGTGTGGAGTGGCGCCTCCGGCACAGGTTCAGGCTGGTGTTGTCACTGGTTGTGCGAAATGGTACGTGGCCATTCAAAACGACGCATGTGCTTCCATTGCCATGCGAGAAGGCATCTCTGTGGACACGTTCATGCGCTGGAACCCTGCGGTAGAATCGCCTAGTTGCGCCAAGATGATGAACGGCTTTGCCTATTGTGTGCAGACTTGCAACTACGCATCACCAGGAGGAATTGAGCCTGCAGCTGGACCACCAGGATTCCAACAGAACGGCACTCACCCGAGCATCCATGGTTCGTCTGCAGAGACCCCCTCGGCCTACAATGCGACCATGTCGGCTGCCGCAGTGACTGACGCCATGCCGGCCTCTGCAACTTCACCGATGTATGGAAGTCTGAACGCAACCGAGACTGCAGCAGGAAGCGGCTCGTCCATCGTGCCTGACATCCCAACCGTGTCCACGCTCGATCCCACGGCCAAGGCACAGGCAGCTCTTTCGAACTTGACGCTGTTCGCAACTGCCAGCTCGACCCCGAGCCCGTCTCGTGCCTCACTGGTCATATCCGCCGGCGCTGCTAATGCTACCACCACACGAGCATCTCTTACTGCAACGTCGACGCATCATGCCAATTCGTCCAGTGAGCATACACAAGCTGGTGTTGCAAGCAATCAAACTACGGCTATTACCCACGCCTCTGTGGCTTCCGCGCAGGGAAACCATACAGTGTCGAAGACGCTTGCTCAAGCCGCGCAATCCGCCAATGCAGCTAACAGCAGCTCCTCATCCCAATTTTGGACGATCCGAACGCTGGCAACATCGGTGGTCAATGCGGCTGCCACTGTTCAGACCGTAGCAGCAGCAGCTCGAAACACGACTTCTCACGCTGGTCTAGCTGCCAAGACTACTACATTGAGTGCCTCTCCGAGTGGGTCAGCCTCAGCTGGTAACGCAACGTCAGCAGGGTTAGCTGCAGAGCTCGTGACGATTCAGACCACCTTGACATTCAACTCTACACCGACGTCAGCAGCAGCCGCGGTACCATCGGCCTACAGTTCAGGAAGTACAATCATTGCGACTGGCGCTGTGGCGGCAGCTTCGGCCAACGGCGGTAATTCGACCGCGACTTCAACCTCGTCATACACGGAGCCAACGTCAACTTTGACCAACACACAAGATGTCTACCACACGTATTCCGGCAACGGAACCATCGCCGCCGGCTGGCCGACCATGGACGAATGGGTCGACTTCAACACCATGTGGCAAGCCAACCTGCCCAACATGGAAGCTTCCTGCGCACAATGGGGTGTGGCAGACAACACGCCCGAAGAAAACGCCGATCTGAAATCCGCGATCGAAGCCACCTCCGCCAAGACCGGCATCGACTCGCGCTTCCTCCTCGCCATCGTCATGCAAGAGTCCACCGGCTGCGTCCGCGTCATCACCACGCAATACTCCGTCTACAACCCGGGTCTCATGCAAAGCCACAACGGCACGGGTAGCTGTAACACCAACAGCGCAAACCTCGCCCTCCCCGGCGTCATCGGCGACGGCCAAGTCAAGATCCCCTGTCCGGCAGAGGATATCAGGCAGATGATCGAGGACGGTGTCATGGGTACTGCCTCGGGCGACGGCCTCGTCCAGATCATGCAGAAGCAGGGCAAGGACGACCATAGCCGTTGGTACCGTGCAGCGAGAATGTACAATGGCGGCAGCATTGATCCCACGGGTGACCTGGATGCCGGTTGCTGTACGCTTTCGTACGCGAGCGATATCGCGAATCGGTTGACGGGGTGGGTGAATGCGCCGAGGAACCATTGAGTTGAGAAGAGGGAGAAAGAGAGGGAAGAGGAAGATGACAATTGAGTGATGATGCTTGAGAGGGTAAGTATGATGTGTGAGGGTTCGGGAATGTGGAAGTTCCGAGTGGATTTTCTTCTTTTCCATTTTTTTTTCTATCTCTTTCAGATACCCCTGGATGGCGTTTTCGGGCAAGCGTGTGGTTTTTTTTCGCCGAAGATTCGATACCCTCTCTGTTTTTATTTGATTGACGACGACAAGGAAAGAGAAAGCAAGGATGCAGAAAAGAGAGGAAGAGGTAAGTAAGAAAGGGTACACCTGGAGATTGTACCGCTTCATTTGAGCTTGACTGGCTGGCTGGCATTCTTCGACTGTGCCTATATCTCAAGGGAGAGGAGAAGAAGGGAGACTGAGAGCCGTCTCCTTTTTGATATCCCTTTTCCTCTTTTTTCATTTTTTTCTCGCAACATACGACTGCAGCGAAGGCGTTCGATGGGATTTTTTTTGGACCGGGAGATGACAAGATCCGATGATTTTAATGCCGGATGAATGGACTGGAAGGATAGATGGACGGGGAATTTATGCACGACAAATGACGACAATGAAGACGACGACGATGGACACGACAACGAAGACGGCATGTGTGATATGGATTATGAGGAACGACGATTGAAGATAGTGATTGTCGAAATGGAAATCAAATGGGTCTGGTTCAATCATAAATTAATTCTTGGGAGTTTCTTCCCTGTGCTTGTATGACATTGTAGTCGTTGCGTACGGTCCACGAATGTATCGTGAAGCTGTATAGATATGGTAGGAGAAGACAATTGTAGAGAGATGAAAGAATGGACAGAATATAAATCGCACAAACTTTGCGTGATGGTTTCCCACCATTTCTTGCGCATGATTTCACACTACACAGTGAATTATTAATAGAAAATCCCGACTCGGGACTTGTGGGCGCCACCCATCGCTTGGTGCCATGGCTTTGCCTAGAGAGGCGTTCTTGGACGAGGCTGATTGACAGACAACATGATGCAGTACTTTGTGCGATGATCGTGAGATATACTGATTGTCCCGTATACGACCTCGGGATGCTTCACAGACAGATTTCGTCATATGTCTCTCTGGACCACACCGGAAAATGATTATACGAGACTGCGGTGACGTCTGCCGCTCCTCCACCGTTTCACTGCAATTCGGGGAGAGGCTGCCGTAGCGTGGGAACCCCTCGTATTCCCTCTCCATACCTACTGTATCAAGCTGAAGGGCTTGCATGTATGGACATACGGGTACTGTGCTGCGCTGTACGTGTGGAGTGTATGTATGCTGGCGACATTGCTCGAGTCCTCCTCGACAGTGATTAAGTACTACATACGGTATATGTTGCTTTCACAGCACTGCGAGAATGATGAACGATCTGGTAGAGAGTTGACATATCATAAGCCAATGAGAGGACGCAGTTGGAGGCGAGGACCAACGTCCGCGTAGTAATAAGCTGATATGCGGACAAGGAAAATAGAGTTTCGGTCTGGAGTCAAACGAGACGACGCTCTGTGTGTTGGGGTCCCAGGTCCATCCATTCTTACTTCTGCACGCTAAACCTTGGAAGTACTACTCTATCGCCCCAGTGCTGTAGTGTATGTAGTAGCAAGAGCAAGCAAGCACGCCGTCTCTCTCTCTCGCTCACTGCTCGCGCACACTCGCGCCCTGCTCTCCACGTCTTTAGGCGTGCCGTCCTCCTCCGGTGCCGACCATTCGCTTGCGCAATTCGTCTTCCTCTTGGCTGTTGGTCGGTCTCTTCTCATCAACGTCCCACCATTCTTCCTCTGTGATCCAGCATCATCACCGCCGACCCATCTTCGGCCAGGAACCAGTGTGTGTGCGCGCGTGTGCGCACCAACCCGACAATCGCAGCTTGGACATATAATTTACGCCGTCCGTTGCCATTTTCCATTGGTTACGAACGACTCTCGAATTACCATTTGGAAAGCGACGAACATCCACAGCGTCGCGGTCGTCGCATTGGAACACAGATTGGAACCAGCATAGAGGACGCCGCACGAGTATCGCCAATGAAGGCACATACCAGCTTGGCCGGCGCCGCCGCGGCCGCCATCTTTACCACCTTATCGTTTGCGCCGCTCGCTTCTGCCGGTTTATTATCTACATCATCATATTCAGCCCCGTCAAATCTAGAAAAGAGACAGAGTTCGACAGCCACACCTTCAGCGATCAGCATTCCGCCAAGTCAATACTGGGAAGGCAACGGTAAATTCTCGCGAGACAGGCCGGATGTTGCGCGCTGTGCGAATGCTGACGTGCGCGTGTCATAGATGGACCATGGAGTGATTTCTTTGTGCAAATTGGAGAGAGGCAATATATCCAGAGCGTACGCATGATGGTAGGCACCTCGGTGACCAGCGTGCTTGCTGTCGCTGCGGGTACTGGATGCCCTGATATTTGTGAGTCCAACTTGCGCGCGAATGCATTTCAGTGAGCACCGATGGACTGACCGAGGTTTTCCTCTTTCCAGATGGTTCGGGTTGTCAAAATTCCCGAGGTGGTGTCTTTAACACCACAGCATCATTCACATGGCAACCCAACAGCATTTACGGCACCCGTATCGAAGAGCCTCTCGGATACAGTTTTTCGGCCAACGCGGGCTACGACACGGTCAAGCTCGGGTTGAACGGACAGGATGGGCCGTCGGTTCAACATACAGTCGTCTTCGCTTACAACCCTTCTGACTTTTGGGTCGGCATCTTCGGCTTGAGCCCGTATCCTACCAACTTCACAAATTACATCACCCCGCAGACCTCATTCTTGAGCGTGTTATCTGCCAACAATACCATTCCTTCAACATCATACGGATACACGGCCGGCAATCAATACCGACTAAACGCAGTGTATGGATCTTTGACCTTGGGTGGTTACGACTTGAACCGCTTCACGCCTACAGGTGTTTCTTTTCCAATGTTCGGCGACATCGGCAAGGACCTGTCCATTGTCGTGCAGAGTATCACGACCGATTCAGGATCACCCTCGAATCTTCTGCCAGGCGGTGCGATTACCATGTTCATCGACTCGACTGTTGCCCAACTTTGGTTGCCGACGAGTGCATGCACGGCATTCGAGCAAGCATTTGGTATCACATACGATTCAACATCTGGACTGTATCTCGTCAACAGCACACTTCACACTTCGCTCCTCCAACGCAACGCCAATGTGACTTTCACTATCGCTGGAACTCAAGGCGGCAAATCCGTCAACATTGTCCTTCCATATGGTGCCTTCGATCTGACTGCGCAATTTCCGCTTGTCGCCAATTCAACACCGTACTTCCCGCTTCGCCGTGCAGTGAACAGCACCCAATATGTCCTTGGTCGGACTTTCCTCCAGGAAGCTTATCTCATCGCTGACTACGACCGCGGCAATTTCACCGTTGCGCCCTGTTCCTGGGATATCAATAAAGTCAACACCCCTCTGATCGGCACCATCCGCCGCGTCAACGCCACGTCCGAAGGCTCTTTCATCGGATCCTCCATCTCCAGTGGCAGCTCAGGAATCTCCGCCGGCGCCATTGCGGGCATCATCATCGGAATCGTCGCCGCTGTCGCCTTGATTGGCCTGTTGATCTGGTTCCTCCGAAGACGACGCAACGCGGAGAAGAAACGCACCGCCGAGCTCGACGCCGCCAACCACGGTTTCGGCGACGCCAAAGCCGAACTCAGCGCCGACTCCGTCAAGCCAGACGGGACCTACTACGCCGCGAGCAAGAATGGCGGAGACGAACTGGCCGGCGAACCCATCCACGAGATGACGGCCGCCGAGCGCGTCAAGGCGCAGGAACTCGAGGCCCTCAACGCAGGCAAGACGGGTTATTCGGAGATGGATGCCGGTGGCGAGTATTACGCCCCCGGCGGCAAATTGGTCTCGCCCGCGGCGGAAATGCCCGGCCACGACACGATTTATGAAATGCCGGGGTCGGATGTCCACGAGATGCCTGCGCCGCAGCCCGGGAGGGATATCAAGTATTGAGGTTGAACGACCCTTTTCGATCCGGTGTGTGTGTGCCGTTTGTGGACTTCCGAATTGTTTTTTTAATACCCCCCCTGCTTTTGGCTTTCGATCGTCACGGGACCCGACACTACTGGACTTTCCCTCTTTCTTCCGACTTGTTCCTTTTACCTTTTTCCTGAGCTTGAATGATGGATAGCGCCGGCGTTGGTGGTTTGGAAAGGAAAGACATATGTGTTCTCTTGTCGTCATCCTGTTTGAACGTTTATCTTAGGAGGAGGAAAAATTTAGCTGGGATTTATTGAAATTTGTAGATATCTATCTGATGAATCCGCCTTTGCTACTGAGCGAATCGCAGATGTAGAATTGATCAATTGGATAACATCTGTTGCAAAGATCTCTTCGTACGATCTCATCTCTTTTTTCACATTGGCGAGAGTAGAATGAATTGTGAACGGAATCCTCTCCGTGAATGACGATTCTCTGGAGGACTTTCGTGCACAACCTTGATGACTAAAGAGAGCCCTCTTCGCCCCACCTTCTATGCTCACTCACTACCAGGCATGCCAACAACAAGAATATCACCTGCTCAGTCCATTATAAATCACACGACCACCAAGCAACACACGCTTACTGCCGACCAAGTCAAACCTGAATTCCATATCAATTATTTAGGCAATCAGCTCGATTCGAACAGACGGAAAATGCCGGCCATTGTCGCAGAGGGACAACAACAGACCTCGCCACATCCGCCAGATCTCTCCAAGCGACTCCCCAAACTCACACCTCGCCGACGACGAGATCCCGCCGACCAAACCAACGACACATCTAACTCCAAGGAGCAGTCACAACCGCCTCCGCCGCCGACTCCTGCGCTCCCTCCACCGCCATCCCTCAAAGATCACAAGTTTATCGTTCCCCGAAGACGGATCCTCTCTCAAAACGACCATGAAGTCTTCCTCGCGTCTCCCGCGTACGATCTCATCGTGGGCTTCGTTTTCACACTATCAGACTCCGTGCGGGGAATGACCGTCAGTCAAGCGAAGAAGTCGTCCGCCGCAGAAGACCCTACGATTCAACTCCTCTTGACGATCCTCGACGAGGCCGACGGCTGCCTCCAGCGCTGCCCCCCTCTCGAGACCGGCTCGCGCTTTGGCAACCCGGCATTCAGGGACTTCCTCGCCGCCATCGACAATGCTCTACCGGCTTGGCAGCAACGACTCGGCGTACAGGATGCCTCGGCGCGAGAGGAGATTGCCGTGTACCTCTCCAACGCCTTTGGCAGCGGATCACGGATCGATTATGGCAGCGGTCACGAACTGAATTTCGTCCTCTGGCTACTCTGTCTCCGACAACTCTCCATCCTCTCGGACGCGAGCTTCCCGGCCATAGCCCTCCTCGTCTTCCCTCGCTACCTCCAACTCATGCGCTCGGTGCAGAGCACATACTACCTCGAACCGGCGGGCTCCCACGGCGTCTGGGGCCTGGACGACTACCAATTCCTGCCCTTCCTCTTCGGCGCCAGCCAGCTCGTCGACCACGCGCACCTCCGGCCCCTGAGCATCCACAGCGCCCTCGTCCTGGAAGAGTGCGCGCCGGACTTCCTCTACCTCGACCAGGTCGGCTGGGTGAACGCGAGCAAGACCGTGCAGGGGCTCCGCTGGCACTCGCCCATGCTGGACGACATCTCGGCCGCGAAGTCCTGGTCCAAGGTCGAGGCCGGCATGCGCCGCATGTTCCTCGCCGAGGTCCTCAGGAAGCTGCCCGTCGCCCAACATTTCCTCTTCGGGTCGCTCCTGCCGGCGGCCGAGGGCATGAGCGTCGAGGGCGCGGCCGAGCGGGTCTCCGAGGAGGATGTCGGCGAGGTCGAGGTCACGGTCGACGGCATGAGGCATAAGCATGTGGCGAACAGCTGGGGCGACTGCTGCGGGATCAAGGTGCCGAGTGCGGTGGGGGCCAGGATCGAGGCGAGGAAGGCGGGTGCGGGGAGTGAATTACGGCGAGTCCCCTTTGACTGATCAGTAGGAGGCGGGAGAGTTGTGTACCCTGAAAGAGAATTCGAAATGCCTCTTGGCTCCAAGCTTTCTTTCTTTCTTTCTTTCTTCGTCTCCTTCTTGAATCGTGACCATGACCTTTGGGTTCAAACGCTCCCCTCAAATTTCTCCCATAATGACACCGTCCTCTCTCTCTCTCCACATTTCCTCTCAACGTCTCCTTTCAAAACCTCAACTTTGGCCCCAAAAACACCAACAGGAAACACGCCAACCACAACCCTCCAATAAACCCATACAGCTTCAACCTCCCGAACCAGCCCTTCCCCTCAGCCATCCTCCTCAACGTCGACATCTTGGTTCCGGCGCTCTCCATATCCCGCGAATTCTTATCCAACCCGCGCTCCGCCCTCGCCAGGACTTCCTTCTCCGTCTCGAGCGACGCGCCAAAGGCCTGCGACGACGCCTTCAGCGCGCGCGCCAGGCCCAGCAGGCCGTCCGTGAGCGCCTCCTGTTCGTGCCGGTTGTGCGACATGAGCGTCTCGGTGCGCTGCACGTTGCTGGTGTCCTCTGCGGTTGTGGTCGAGGCTTTGAGGCTGGCGCTGCCGGCGAAGAGCTTGTCGCGCGCGGAGCTCGTCGCTGATGAGGAGGAGGCGTTTGTCTGATTCGGGGAGGCGTCGGTCCGTCGGGAGCGGAGTTCCGAGGGCGGCGCCGGTGGTGGTGGTGGTGCTTGGGAGCTTTTCAGCGACGATTGGACTTCGAGGCCGGAATTCGCGTGCGCGGCTCGCGCGGGCGCGTAGTTTGCTAGGATGTCCTCCCGTCCGTCAGTATCGCCATCTTCTCCTCCTGTGGGATTTTCATCATCGCTGTCATCGTCGTCGTCGTCGGCTGCGTGTGAGATCTCCCGGAGTTTGCCGGCGAGCGTCTTGATGTGCTCGCGCTGCCGTTGGAGTTCGGCCTGCTGCTGTTGTCGCTGCGACTGCACGCGGATGGCTGCTGCTTCGCGCTCGAGGGTGAGGTGGAGACTGCGGGCGTGTTCGATCAGGGCGCCGACGCGGTTGCGCTCGTATTGCGATTGGTGGAGGACGGTGTTGGTGGGTTCGGGCTCGAGGAGAGTGTGGTCGAGGCGGGTGAGGAGCCGATTGAGGACGGATGGGTTCGACATGATGATCTCGTGGCTGTGGTTGCAATGTTCGTCGAGGAGATGCTCGGCGAGCGATTTTGTAGTTGTTGTGGTAATGAAGGTTCTCAATGAGGAAATGTTGGTGACGATGTTGTTGTTCGTGGTGGATTTCTTGCCAGCCAAGCTTGGGCCGCCCACCCACGTCATTGCCTGTGTGATTGCTTCATGATGGTTTTACTGGGCATGAATGAAGATGAAAACAATATATTCCCAACGCTCTGAGAGGTATACGAGCAACTCGATGCGACCGTCTCATTTGAAACAGGATGAATATGGAAGAGAAGATGGATAACATTCACGTTGTCCCAGGTGGAAGATCTCCTCCCCGTGAGAATGAATGGTTGAATAGTACAGTACTCCACTGCCTATCGATAAGAAAGTCTATCAACTTCACATGGTAACCCCTCCCTCTTTTACTACTGTAACAACGACATCGCATTGATCGAATAAGGAATTCCACCTCTGAGTTTGCACGTCCCGATCAAAAGAAACCCGAATTGCAAAACAAGACATTTTAAACTTGGAAGAGGAAGAATCATCCGATTGGACAAGTACATGATCAAACATACTCAATAGAGTACAAACAAGATCTGAGATTGTGCCTCTTCATCGACGAGAATTTCCACGTCAGGAACCATACCGTCACTGGAAACAACAAAACGAACACGAGAAAGAAAGAAACACAAAGAACTCAGCCAAGAGACGAAGTCGTCAGAAATCTTTACTTTCCTACCCGCAAAAATGGTGGAACAACCCTCCGCTCCTCCAACAACAACATCACCACCACCATCAACCACCACCATTCCCTCGACCAAGAAGGCTCCCTCATCCCTCCCATCCCCCTTCAACCTCACTTCTTCGAGTCCCACTCCCATGACGCTAATATCGCAAGGCGCCGAAGCGCACCTCTACAAAACGACCTTCCTGCATACTTCCCTCCCGACCGCCCTCAAGATCCGTCCCAGCAAACCCTGGCGCCACAGCACCCTCGACAAGCGACTCACACGGGCCCGCCTACTGGCCGAAGCACGCGTGCTCGTCAAATGCCGGCGGGAAGGGGTCCCGGTCCCGGCGGTGTATGCGATGGACTGGGAGGGCGGGTGGATGGCGAGTGAGTGGATCGAGGGGGTGGGGAGCGTCAAGGAGGGGATCCTACGGTGGGAGAAAGATTCCAGAGACGACAGTCGCGATGGGGATGGGGACGGCGACGAGCAATTGAAGGGTCTGTTGGGCAGGATCGGGAGCATCGTGGGGAGACTCCACACGGCCGGGATCGTGCATGGGGATCTGACGACGAGCAATATGATGTTGCAATCCTCCCCCTCCCCCTCCTCATCATCATCGCCGCTGAGCGGCAAAGTCATCCTCATCGATTTCGGCCTCGCGACCCAGACCGTCAGCGAAGAAGACCGAGCCGTCGACCTCTACGTCTTGGAACGGGCTTTCGGGTCCACGCATCCCCGACGAGAGCATCTCTTCGGGCAAGTCCTCGCTGCCTATGAGGGGAGCTATAAAGGGGCGAAGGCGACGTTGAGGAAGCTGGAGGAGGTCCGGATGAGAGGGAGGAAGAAGAGTATGTTGGGATGAAGAGTAGGCGGGGGAATAGGAGAGAGGGGAGAGAGGGGAGAGAGGGGAGAGAGGGAGACAGAGATAAAGTTTTCGCAAATCCAGGATGATCATAGAAAAGGAACAAAACTCCGAAACCAAAAAAGATCCTCCTCCCGCACACATATCGAGACTTGTCCCCAAGGTTTCTTTCCCCCGTCCGGATTTCTCCTGCTCACATCGCTTTGGATCCCTCACATCACATTTACGCCTCACATACTGAAGAAGGAAAAGGAAATACCAACTTCGTTCATTTCTCGCGCCTCTGGATTTCTCTCCCGAGTGTGCTGGCAGGTATGAGGTATAGGGTATAGGGTATGTGGTACAATGTATATGGTATAAGGTATAAGGTATAGGGTATAAGGAATAGGCATAAGTAAGTGAAGCATGCAACACAAGCCATAAACAAGCCACGACGTTTCTTTTTTCTCCCCCCCCCCCCAAAGGGGAGTTAAGCGATAGAGCGATAGAGCAATCAACCGCCGACGACTAACAACTCCCATAGGATCCAGCGAGCACAAAGGTAAATTAATCCGCCCGATCCCATCCATCCATCCATTTTATTGGGGGGAAACAAATCGACCCCGGAAGAAAACAACAACAACAACAACAACAATAACGACTGCCCCTTCCCGTAGGAGCTTTTCCCCACCGAAAACGCCAATTTTGTGAAAGAAAACACCAAACCCAAAACACAACAAACACGAACCCGGAAAATCCAAAGCCGCCCACGAGAAGAACCTCCACGGAAACCACCGGCCCCGCCCCACCCCTGACTTCCCATCGTCCCGTGGGAGAAACAAGAAAGGAAAGAAAATCAAAGCAGTCTCCGAGAGAATCCACACTCGCGCCCTCGAACGATATTGGTGTTTTTTCGTTTTCGGATTTGTTTTTCCTTCCGCAACTCCTCCTTCTCTCTTTTCTTTCTTCTCTTCTTTTTTCTCTCTCTCCCCCGCCGCAAACCGACGACGACCGATAACGATGAGGGGGAAAAGATTCCGCAGAGAGAAGGGCCGTCCGTTCAAGGCTTTCCCTCTCCTCTCCTCTCAGCACCGGGATGGGGGAAAGGGTGAAACACACCTCCTCGGTACTTTTCCTCTCTTTCCTTGCCTTTCCTTTCCTTGTCTTTTCTTTTCTTCCTGATGATGAGGAGGAGGAGGATGGAGGAGAGACTCCCTTTTTTCTCCCCCGAGGGGACGGGAGCTGGATGGATGGGACGAACGAAGAGCTGCTGCGCCGACATATTCTTTTGGGGGCGGGGCGGAGAGGTTGTCGGAGGGGAGGGGAGGGGTTTCAGTGTGGTCTTCCGAGGAGAGGTTGTTGATCCTCACCCTCCTCCCGTTCTGCTTCCTGTTTCCGGGTCCGGGGTTCCGGCGTCTGTCGAGGCCGACGGGGTTCGACGTCCATAGGGTGGAAGAGAGAAAGGAAGAAAACAAAAACCTCATGTCATCCTCACTCGTGGTCCTCCCTCCTCCTCTATTAACCCATAATTGCTTTTTTCTTCCCATCTTCTCGCTCATAAAATCGTCGTCGTGAAACCCCGCTCCCTCCTCAGATGCGATCCCAAGGCCGAGTTCAATCCTCGTAGATCGTCTCGAGGTCCAGATCCGCCCTCCGCTCGCCTCCGCACACCGACCATCTCTTGCGCTCGCGGCTCAGCGCCGAGGCGGCGCCGCGCCCGCCGCCGAACCCGAACCCCCGGGGCCCGCCGCTGTCCAACGACCGCCGCGTCGTCGGCGGCGGCGCCCCGGAACCCTCTTCGCCGTCCTCGCCGGCGGCGGCCTCCGCGCGCTCCGCCGCGAGCCGCAGTTCGGCCTCGACGGCTGCGCATTCCAGGTCCGGCGCGTCCTCGATCGTCTCGAGGGAGGAGATGGAGGGCGAGCGGGAGCGTTGCGAGGTCGGCGTGGCCGAGCTCGGGATGCTGCTGCCGAAGGAGGAGGTGCTCGCGCTGTGGTGGAGGACCAGGCCGGAGGGGTAGGTCTCGGTATAGCGCTGCCAGGAGGGGGATGTCGCCGCCGCCGCCGACGAGGCCGAGGAGGAGAACGACGAGGAGAAGCCGTTGGGCGGGGTCGTGATGGGTTGGGATTCCGGGATGGTCGACGCGAGGGTCGGCGAGTGGGCGATCAGGCCGGCGCTGTGGAGCGGGGAGTGGGGACGTCGTCGGGGAGGCGCGGCGGACGAGGAGGAGGAGCGGATGGCGAGGGTGTTGAGGGGTGGCATGGCCGTCGAACCGGCGGCGGCGGCGGCGTGGCTGCTGGATGATGAGAGGGGGACTTTGGGCGTCAATTGTAATTCACTGTCCTCTTGTATGGCGGGGATCCCGCTCGAGCTGCCACTCATGCCCCCTTCAAACCACCGTTGCGGAGACAAGCTGTCGTCTGGGCGAAAGGGTGATCGCTGACGCGCTGGTGCTCGTGAGGGACCGGATAGCGACGATGAGGGCGCGGTAGAGACGTTGGAGAAGTCCGGGACTCGTGATGCCATGCGGAACGCAGGGCCGGAAGAGGAGGAGAAGGAGGATGTCTGCGACGGAGCGGAGTATGACGCAGCGGTCCCGGTCGAGCGCGATCGAGAGTGTCCCGAGGAGAAGGGAGATCGACTGCGGTGGCTGCTGGAAGGTCGGACGGAGTGGTGGACGGTCGCGGACATGGTGGCAGCCATTTCGGAGGTGGAAGGGTCCGTACAGCGCCGGACGGTGGGAGGTCGGGTCTTTTTCAGCGGCGGCAGGGGTGGAGAGAGGAAGCGATTTGATGTGGAAGAATCACCGGCCAAGACCGGAGAAAGGTCGGCAGGTTGTCGGTCGAGAGAAGAGCGTGGCGAAGAAGAGGAAGAAAAAGAAGAATTGATTTCGGTAGTGCTGGCCATGATCGGCGGCGGCGGCGGCGGAGATAAGTAAGAGGAAATGGTGGTGGTGGTGACAGCGGCAGAACTGATAGACAGAGACGAGATCTGCCAAGAGGAGCGGGAACCACACTACGTCGTCGGGTGATGCGGATGCGGACGCGCGGTCGTGTGGTTGTTTGTCGCGCGTCGACGGTGATTAGTGGTGGAGTCGAGAGAAGAGTGGGCAAGCATGCGCGTCCGGCGGGTGATGATGTTGTAGTATGTAACGGTGGCGGCGGCGGCGGCGGCGGTGGTATAGGTCGACAAAGAAGAGGAAGGAGAAGAAACGATCACACGTCAGAGCAGGCGGAGACGATATGCACAGCTGTTGGTGGTGAACAGTCGGACGGATGTATGGAATGTATGTACGATGGGCCAGTGTCGGTTTGGGGGTTGGTTTTGGTTGGCGGTGGTGGTGATGGTGTTGGTCGACGGTGGTGGTTATGATGAGAAATCTGACCGGTCGCTCTTGCTCAAACCATGCGCCTTTTGGGCAGAGGAAGAGGGATGATGATGGAAGAGTTGGGAGTCATAGGTGATATGGATATGGAGTATGGAGGGTCATGTTTTATTATTCCAAGGTCGTATTGAATTGAATTCGACCTGTTTGATAGGTGTAGAGAGAAGGGGAGAGAGAGCGGCTGACGATGATTGATTGATGGATACGCCGGGCCAAAACTGAGCCAAAGCTGTTCCAACGACGGGAATCGTTGGAATTACATTGTATGTACAGTCCCGCATACAGTGACAACAGGAGTCGAATGACTTGAAGAAAATGACCCTCCGACCGCGCCTGGATCGGGGAAGGAGAAAAAGAGGAAAAGGGAAAAAGAGGGGTCGCGCTGGCCTGTTTCCCCCCTGGTTCCTCGACTGCGCCCTGTTTCTGTTTCACCTTTCATCTCTCGGCCTACTGTGGAGATATATCCAGATCTCTGCTGTGTCTGACCCTTGGACGTTCGAGACCTGGGCCTAATCGCGGGCGAATCCCAAAGATCTGAGACTTGCTCGGTCGGGAAAGACACGACGTGAGATTCACCCTCTTCTATGCACGACCAAGAAGAAAAAAAAGAAAGAAAAAAAAAGAGAAGAGACGCCGTGAATCTTGGATTGAGTGCCTCCTTCTCGGCGGGCGGGCAGGGACGGGCAAAGGCGGGCAAGACATATATGGTGGGAACGTGATGGGCGGGCGGGGCGGGCGGACGGCGAACGGCGATGGGCGGACGGGGCACGGCTGACGGGTGACGGATGACAGGTCATGCAGTAGTATCCGTCTGTGATAATACGTATGTCTGTCTGGATGTATGTCTGGATGTCTGTCTGGATGTATGCAGGTGGTGGTGGTTATGAAATGATCGATGACAGACAGACAGACCGATGCAGATGCAGATGCAGGCAGGTGATGATCTGACGTGACGCGCCACCACCGCTAATAACCATCACCACCACTGTTACCACCACAGCAGATGACACAGTGCAGGAAATGATCAACCACCACCACCACCACTATTACCACCACTATCATCACCACCACCATCTGCAGTCACGTCACTAATATACTGTCTCTACGCAGAATGTCGCCTCGAGTGGTGAGGAGATGCGGGAATCACATCACATCACATCATATCACTCTCTCACCCTCACTCTCACCCTCACTCTCACCCGACAACAACTACCCCAAGGCGCCGACACGCTAAGAGATCTGCAGGGTCGAGAGATCAGACACGCGCGTCTCTGTCTGTCTCCAGCTGTGCGTCCGAGTGGAGGATCATCCCTGCTCATCATCATACAGTAACCCGGGGATCCCGCCCACGTCAAATCCCTCCTCCCTCACCAGGCTTCCCTTCACCCCATCATCATATCTCAGCATCATTCGTGGGAACCGATGGACATGATTGATGATCATTCCTCTTCTTCTTCTTCCTCCTCCTCCTCCTCCTCCAGCAGCTGTCCGCTTATTGTTATTAGATGGGACAGACGGGAACAAGAAGAGAGCCAATTACATCCCATTCCGAGGTGTGTACATACATGTCCCGTACCGTACCATCCACAGTCACAGGTACTCGAGTCGACTACTGCACAGGTGATCGCCCGGCCGACTACTCCTCCTGCATTTACCCTGTCTGTCCATCTGTCTGTCTCTGTCATCGTGCACGTAGGTTTTGCCTCTCAAGGTTCGCATGTACAGCAGTAGTAAAGGTAGCATCAAGCAAGAGAAAAAAAAGTCCCGGCTGCCAACTGACCTTGTGACGCCACACCACACAGAGGGAGGATCGCCGCCGTTCCCCGAGAGAGACAGATAGAGAGAGAGAGGGAAAATGCCCAGTCCAGTCCCGAACCCTCTCTCTCTCTCACACACACACTCTCCGTCTCTCAGCCTTTCTATCCGCCGCGCCCTATCTTTCTTTCGATTTCAGCCCAGTCCGGCGGCCCCGTCCCTGATACATACACCAACGCCAACGCGCGCTCCGGAAGAGAAGGGAAAAGATATAGAGAGGGCCATTCAGATCCAATGAAAAGATCCGTCCTTTCGATTCCCATTGATTGTTATTATTCGTCATCATGCACCAGGTATGTCCAGTACCCATCGAGATGATCCGCCCCAATCGATCTCCCGTGACCGTAATGCGCGCGGGAAGGAAAAAAAGAGGAAACACCAGCAGTCGCCGACCAGTCGACTCGACGACTGCATCACAGGGCACATGAATTTACCCACATTTCGTCATACGCCCGGTTCCTCCTCCATCACCTGCCTGGGCGTGCGCGCGCGCGCAAATCCTCCCCGCCTGCGCCTGCGCCTGCTGGGACGGACTGGGACTGAACTGTACTGCACTGTACCGTGTCGTCGTTGCGCGCGCGTCGTCACGCAAAAAAGGGGGGGGGGTCTCTCGCTGCCGCCCGCCCACCGGTCCAGCATACATACATGGGAATTATTCAAAAATTTCAAGGCGACGGCGCGCAGGGCCAGAGCGTCGATTCGCGTCCGTCCCTGTCGCGACGAAAGGACAAGAAGTTTCTCCTAGGCGATGGGTGTATACAGTGACCATACCGCGCCGAACTGGACTGGGCTGGACGAGTGTGCAGTTTGCTCTTTTGCGCGCCCCGTCTCTGTCCCGGTCAGAAGTAGATGGGTCCGCCCCCCGCAGAATGTCACCACGCGCGTGATAATAACCCCACCACCACCACCGCCGCCGCCGCCGAATCTTCCTTGCGCGGGGCGTCGCGTCGCGTCACGGCACGGCCGCGCGGGGAGGCCATTCGTTTCGGTTCACACACGTTTCCTGCACAGTGGACGAGAGATCGATGGGTTTCCTTCCCCACGAACGTACCGCGATTCCGGATCTTCCCATACGCGTAGGCACATGCACTTGCAATGTATTTCTCTCTCTCTCTCTCTCTCTTGACGGCCGCCCCATTGGAGCCTCACGGCGCGTCCGCCGGGCGATTCCCAGCCCGGAGCAGCCTATTCTGCCGTCTCATGTACAACACGAACGATCCCAGACATGCCGCCCACGCGAGGATCAGCATCATGTGGAGGTGTTTGTCGATGGGGATGATGTAGGGTAGACCGGTCCATATGGCCGTGAACACCGCATTGGCGAAGATGGGTGTTTGGCAGTAAAGTTCGTGGCGCCAATCTATAGGGGTGGTGGTGGTGCTGGTGGTGGTAATACCGGATGGAGATCGAGGCTGGTAAATTGAGGGAGATGTGTTATTTTTTCTTTCTTTTTCCTCGTTTGTTCATGCATGACTCGACGAGAGAGGGAGAGAGGGAGCGTGTGATGTTGACTTGCCGTGGTACAGGCCTGCACTTCGGACGGTGATTTCTCATCCGTGCCCGTGGAAACTCCGGCTCTGATGAGCAGTGGAGTGGTCGGGTCGTCGTCCCTTGAAAGTCCATCTGTCGTGGTGGTGGTGGCTTTCTCCATCTCGTAGGCAAAGTGAAACAAAAAAAAAAGAGAGAGGAATTCTGATGAGTGTTGAAACCACCGGTGATGCCGATCTCGGTGAGGTGTGTTTTATTATGTCAAACCAGAAGAGAGAATACGCGAGGCGTTTCTCGTCATGTACATACAGTGAAGGAGCGAGAACTGCGCTTTGATCCCGGTTGAACTGTGCCGCAGTGTCACAACCTTCGTCATACGGAACGCTGACGAAAGACCGACGATCTCTCTCTCTCCCCCACCCCCTCCGCCCTTGAATTGACGATTGATCGATGCGGTAGATACAAGACCAAGTCTCCACGCGAAATGCGATGACCGTCAGAGCTCGATAGCAGTGCCCCCCCCCCCCATTGCAATCCACACACAGCATGGACGGGATCTCTGTGCGGACTCGAGGTGATGTTCACGACGAGCGCGCTACACTCCCTGTGTCGAGGGCGTCCGGTCCCTCATGCCGTACTGTATGTACAGGTTTGCGGACGATGTGACGAGTATTTGCAGAGCCGTAAAGGTCCATTCACTCATCGGGATTGCGTAGCGTCGAAGTATCCCCAATGCCATGTAAAGCAGTGTGTTGGTCACGAAGACGGTCATCAACAGCGACCAAGAAGGTCGACTTCGGCGGCGAACAGGCTACATTCCGTTTGTTATCCTTGAACTGCGTGGGAATTTTCCATTCCTAGAAAAGGCCGATCCGGAGTGTATCTTACAATAATATCCGCTAGATTTTCCGAGTCAAGTGCTCCTTTCTCTGGCGAATAGGTCTCCATCCTGGCTTTTTGGGTTTCAAATCGCACACCTTTGGTGATTATTCTCTTTCTCCAGTAATCCCTTGAGATTGACGACACGGCGTGGACCAGGTCTCGGACGTCTCGGATTTTCTGCTCGGGCGTGGCGGAAAGGGATCTTTTTCAACTTACATACATCCATCGATACGGCGAGCAAGGGGTTTTCCCTGCCGCACAGATGGGTGCGACTGTGCCGCAGAATTGCGTCATGCGATGGTGGAATGATCGACGGAAACACGTGCCCTTTGAAACTCTTCCTTCGACCATTTGATGATTGGGAAACTTTCGATTTTGTTACATCTACAGTCCAAGTTTCGCGGGGGTGGTTAGCGACACCCATGTTTGTCAGTCCCGGAGATACAGCGATAAGACCGCACTGGCCAACAGAGGCATCGACTTCCAAAACCGCTGCTCCTTAGGAACCCATCCCGAGTCCGGAAAAGCGAAATAGTCGAACATGGAGATGCTGATCGCCAACGCCTTCACGACCGTCCGCCATCGATGATGGGCGGAAAGATCGGGATGATGGGACGAAGATCCCAGAGACAACAACTCCCGCCGACGACGGAGACAGTGTCCTCTGATCTCGCCGCTGAGAATCAACATCGCGCTCGTGGCGAACGCTGTTCTCAGGAACTCGAGGAATTTGTCATGCACCAAGCGAGCCCCGGATAACTCGACTAGGAGGACGCTGATCGTCGCTGAGAGGAGCACCGTCTCGGCGAGTTTCGGCCACATGATGATTTGTTTGGACGGGATCTGGATTCTGTGCTTAGTTTCCTCTCGATCGGGAGTGTCGTGGTGGATGCACTCGGGATTCACCTCGTAGATGCGATCTCGAAGGTCGAGGTTCAGTACTGCCTTGGAAGTGTTCAAGTGAAGCTTTGGTAGATTTCGCTTGGTTCTTCTATGTGTGGCTGGTCGTTCTTCAACGATGTGTATGCCGTCTGCTTGACTGCTCGGTTCAGTGGGATGATATGACTCGAAGAAGACGGGATTTCTGATTGCGCCCATGAGGATGGCTGCGGTTGATTTTGGTTGATTTTCTCTTCAAAAATCCGGTGATGGTCCGCATATAACGTCCTCTTGGAGATCTGATCCCAGAATTCGAATGCTACGTGCATGGAAAACGATCTTCGAAGCCTTGGGACCGCTTACCGATGTTTGAGATGAGGCACAGTCGACGCGGAATCCCTCGATGGAAGGGGCGCGCAACCGTGCCGCATCTCCCAATGTATCACTTCGGTGGGAACTTTGAACGGAAGAGTACATGTAAATCTGATTCGATACTTGACGGAGAAACGGCAAACCGAAAATCATAGTTTCAATCTACCGAGATCCAGGGCACTTGTGATCGCCATGGTATTAGCTAATGCTCGCCATGAACATGATGCTCGAGTGTTCGGACCTACCCCAAACGAGAAGGTTGAATGATCGCAAGACAATTGATCGCCAGGTGTAGAGCCTATTGGCAAATCTCGTCGTCCCAAACACCATGCAAATATATCGGGCCCGAGGAGCTGACTGGTAGGCAAAACTTGAGAACACGATAACCGGAGGGCAAGTATGTGTTGCAATTTTTTCGTTCGAGGCCCGGACATGTCAGATTTACGGAACAGCTATTTCAACATCGATCGAGCATCCGATTCTCTCGGCTCTGCACGACCAGCATGTCATCTTCATGACGAAGATTGTTGGTTGCCGTCTGGCCAAATTCGAACCACTCCGCTTGTTGAGACGGGTAAGACTCGGCTGTGCACGGTCGTCGACATGTTCATTCGCATCACACAGACCTCGTTGACTTGTACGTCGACATTGCAGAGCAAATTCAGATGGAAATAACGATTGAGGAAGGAGCTGACGTCGCAGTAAAGAATTGCCCGCTTGCTGCAGCGAAGGACAAGTGCAAAACGTGTTGGCGCATTTCCGCCGAAGTAAAGTTATCAAGCCTGCTAGGCGTCGGTCAACCACACGCCAGGTTGGGTGTATGCTATACGTGAGACATGTCTAGATAGGTCACCTCCGCGACCCTATGCTCCTTTCGTCACGATAACTCCGACTAGATGTTTTAGCAGTTACTGTATTCGGGCAGGAAAAACCAGTCGAGGAGGGAATCGTGCTCTGCAGGCGTTGGTAAATGGTTGCCTGGATGGCTTCGGCCAGACCTCCGCTACTAGTTCGAACCCAAAGAGAAGCATTGAACGAACTTCATTTCTGCCGAGGTACCAGCGCAACGACTTTGAGAGCGCGATTCATTCCGGGACGGATGCGCGATGTATTTGCTTCCGATGTTTGAACAGCACCGTCGTTCGAAACCATTCTCACTGTTATGGGATGCGTATTTTTTAGCGTAATTTAAGGACGATTTTGAAAAGATTGACCCACGTACATTGATTGGAAAGCAGCCATCGAGTCGGAGACGCGACAACAGGGTGTCATTTGGAAACCTTCGTGACGATCTCGCCAGGTCCCACTATTCAAGCAGCAGACGAGGATCCTCTCGCATCTTCAAAGCGGAAATCTGCAGAGATGGCGACTCCGGCGAAGACCAAGGCGCTGAGCAATCCCTCGGACAACAAGGTCATCCCGATCATGCGTGGACAATTCTTACGCGTAGCAGCCACAGCCGTGGTGAACCTGCCTTTTGTTGCACAGTACTTCTACAAGCAAGCCGGCTTCACGAACGTGCATCGCATCGGCTCAACACTGGAGCATTACGAAGCGCGTTACAATCCTGCCGTCATCCCGGACCGCAAGCTCGCTGGTACCGAGGAAAGCGAGGCCGATTTCATTCAACGGTGGTCATCGAAAGAAGGCCCGGTCGGCGATGCTGCGCGATATGTCACGGTCAAGGACTACCACGATGCCTACATCAGCGGCACAACAACACCGACAGATGTAGCCCAGGCTCTCATCGCATTGATCAGCACAACCGACGTGAAGAAGTCGGGCCATGCAGTCGCATTCACTCAGGTGAATAAGGATCACGTCTTGGCTGCGGCAGAGGCTTCAACGCTACGATATAAAAGCGGAAAAGCGTTCGGCCCGCTCGACGGCGTCCCTATCGCCATCAAAGATCAAGTTGAAGTCCAGGGCTACAAGATGACCGTCGGCACCAAGAAGAACTGGATCGCCAACGACGGCACCGCCGGGGCGACGGCTTGGTGTGTCCAACAGTGCATCGATGCCGGCGCCGTGATCATCGGTCTCACCAACATGCATGAACTCGGCATGGACACGACCAACAACAACCCCAACCACGGTACACCGCTCAACCCCCACAACTCCAAGTACTACACCGGCGGCTCTTCGGGCGGGTCGGGCTATGCCGTGAGCAGCGGTCTCGTGCCCTTCGCGCTGGGTGCCGACGGCGGTGGCAGTATTCGCCTGCCCAGCAGCTTCTGTGGCATCTACGGCCTCAAGCCCAGCCATGACCGGATATCCGGCCTGCCGACACGCAACATCTGCGCCAGCACCGGCGTCTACGGCCCCATGGCCTCGAATGTTTCCGACTTGCACCTGGCCTATCGTATCCTCGGCCGCCCGGACCCCAAGGACGGCAACTCATCCCTCTTCCCACCGTTTGCGACTCCGACCTCCGCGGCGTCGCCCAAGACCATCGGCATCTACAGAGCGTGGTTCGAACGTGCCGACGAGGACGTCAAGAAAGCCTGCCAGGCCGCAATCGACCATCTGGTGGGAGAGCACGGCTACACCGTCAAGGAGATCGAAATCCCCCATCTCGCCGAGGGGCAATCCTGCCACGCCCTCACCATCCTCTCCGAAGCCGCGACCGCCGTCCTCGACATCAAAGACCTGACCGCGCCCAACCAGATCCTCCTCTCGATCTGCAGGCAAGGGAGTTCCCTCGACCTGATGCTCGGCCAGAAGCTCCGCACCCTGCTCATGGAGCACCTCAGCCACCTCTGGGCGGAGAACCCGGGCATGCTCATCGCGACGCCCACCTGCCCCACCGCGGGCTGGCCGATCAAGGACCCGGGCGACCTGGTCAGCGGCTGCAGCGACCCGACCATGTCGCTGCGGTCCATGGAGTATGTGTGGTTGGCGAACTTCACGGGCGTCCCGGCGCTCAGCTCGCCGGTGGGATATGCCCCGCCTCTGCAGGGAGAGGGTCACGTCCCGATCGGATTGCTCCTCCACGGCGCGTGGGGTGCGGAGGAGAGTCTGATCGAGTCGGCCTACCTGCTGGAGAAATACCTCGATTCCACCACGCGGAAATTGCCGGGCGTGTTCGTGGACCCGTTGAAGGCGGCGGTGGCGGGTACCGCCAAGGCTTGATGGGCCGTCCAACAGACTTGTTACTATGCCATCGAGGTTTTGTGAATTGTGAACGGTCCGGATGGTGAAAGGTGCGAGGTGTGTACAAGACACGATGCAGTAATGATAAAAAACACAAGCGTAATGAAAGTCATTTAACTTCCTCTCCCCCCCCCCCCCCCCCCCCCCCCCCCCCCCCTCCCACTCACCCATCCATGTCAGGGAGACTCCTCACAGCTCATCGTCCTCCGCCTCGTCGATCCCATCGATGAGTTCCTCCACCGCCCTCTCGAACCCCGCGTCGTCCAAGACCCGAACCTTCCACAAACCCCGGAGCGCCAACTCCGTCCAAGTCTGGCAATTAAACTCCGGGTCCGCGTTCTCAACCGGAGTTCCCTCGAGAGTGGACAGGATGAGCGACCTCACCTCCTGCCCGACGCCGCTGTCCCGAAGACGATCCGGGACGAGAAGCGGGATGGGAATCCCCTTGGCGGGCACCGGCCGGTGTGAAACCCCGGATGAATTGATGATTGAAGAAACCCCCGCAGTCCGATGATCATCCCCACCACGATCGGGAGGAGAGGCAGAGCTGGTCGGCTCGGCCATGCGCAAATCGCTCCGTGAGCAATCATAGGCGAAGAACCCCCGTGAACCCGTGACTTGGACCAGGAGACAGTATTCTTCCCCGTCTCCGTCTCCGTCGTCGACTGCGACGACGCCATGGCCAAGCTCGGCGGTGCGCAGCCGGTCCTTCTTCGGCCGGTCGTTTTCATCCCGAGGGAAATGGACCCAGAGGGCCGGATGTCGGAATTCGCGGAGATCGGGGAAGCTTTTGAAGATGAGCATTTTCATGGTCGGGGGGACGAGTGGTGGTGGTGAGGAGGGGCCCGTGGCGTGCTCATCACTGGCGGCGGCTTTGATTGGAGATGCCATTTTTGGGAAAGAACATTGGTCTCGTTTGGTCGTCGTCGGGATACGATTTGACGGGATGCGGAATACCACTACACAGTCGTCATTGGGTGATCTCGCTCACCAGCTGCAGATGCTGTTCACCAGTCACCCCGGACGTCATGCATTAGGGTTTTCGCTTCTGATGTTGGAGGAGGTTGGACTTCACGATTTCAGAGAACGAGTTCCGAAACGAGTTGAAGTGGCCTGTGGTGCTCAATAGAGCTCAGAACGTTATTTCCTTGCTATTCGTAGTGTACATTCCTCCGATATCACAAGGTTCTGGGGTTACCATCGCTGCCCTCTCAATTCTCCTGCTCATCGTCGCCATCCCTCTTCCTCTTCCCGCCCGCGGCCGTCGCTCCGAGCAGGTCAGGATCCCTCCCGTCATCCACCACCATATTCGTCGGTTTCCGCGGCGGCGGGACGATTTCCCCATCGACCAATTTCCACCCCGTAGCCCTCATCTGCTTCCACTTCTCTCCGACTTTCACGCGGACGAGATCGGCCGTCGCGACGGCGTCTTCGCGGGAGTCGTGGCCCTGCGCGCCGCCGGTTTGGATCGCACGGTTGAGCATGCGGTGGCTCAGGGCGCGGAGGCCCAGACGCATGGGTAGGCCGCGGGGGTGGGGGTAGAGGATCACGGTGTCGATGATGGTGGGGTGGCAGAGGCGGACGGCGTTGAGGTCGTTGTTGATGGCGTGGCCGATGAGAGGGGTTTTTGGGGTGAGGAAGCTACAAAGGAGGCTTCGGGCGCGTTGGGGGCAGTCGACGATGGGGAGTTGGGATGGAGTGGTGGTGGTAGTGGTGGCGGAATCCTTGGGTGGTGGTTTGTTGGGTTTACGACTTCCTGCTGACGATGCGCTCCATTCGTCAAAGGGAATCGCATCGCGGAAGTGTTCCGAGAAGACACCTGAGAAGCGGCTGTTGAGATCGATGACGGCGCCGAGAGGCCGCACGAGAACATCCAACAGGTCTTTGTTTTCAGGCCAGCTCACAGCCGTCAGGCGTATCAGCTCCATGCCGTAGACGGTATAGCCCATTTCACAATCGAATGTGACCGCTTTGACGGTCTTGCCGTCTCGATCTCGGGCGGGACGATCGTTCTCAGGCGTAGTGATAAATGGCAGGACAGCTGCAAGTCGGCCTGGGCTCGTTGTCTTAAAAACATGATCGTCATTCGAAGTACACCCAGCAGCGCCCACATTTTGCATGCAGCATGGATAATATGCCTGTTGCGGTCCCGTCTCCCGATCCGTCTTTTGTCGTGGAGGGAAAGTCTTTCGATTTGGATGATACCGGCATGGACCATTAGAAGCGAGCAGACCCTCGTCATTGCGATCAGGGAATACTTGAAAGCGTGCAGCACATCGATCGCACTCTTCATAGTTGTGGCTGTGCTCTACTCCAGTCACGGCCGAAGCGATACTTTCTGCTGAAGGTGGTTCCGTGATGTATTCGAAACCAACCAGTTTTGACTGGTCGGTGATGAGATGCGGCAGGATCAACACTTCTTCATCCAAGTTCATGCGCGTGTCGATGGGTTTCTCATCTTTTGATCTTGCCTGCGACTTCGAAGCCGGCAAGACGCTTCTCACCTGCGTAATCCAATCTTCCACGGAGATCTTCTTGAGTTGGAACAGACGTTGCTTGATGACATTCCCGTATACCGAAGGCTGGTCGCGGGCTACCTTTTCTTCCTCGTCAAGAACAAGTTTAATTACCGCTTGTGCACTCAAAGGGAGCTGGCCTTCCAAGTCATGGGGGACTTTCCCGACCACTTCTCTGTTAAGACGAGCAACCTCGCCATGGAGATGCTTGAGATAGAGTGATCGCTTCGCGTGGCCAGCGGGATCATGAGGAATGAGTCTGGGGTTAAGATTCTCTACTTTGGTTTCGGGTTTGACCACAATGGAAGACGCTGGCTTATGCGCCCCTGTTTGGCCTGGAGTTGGAGTTGTTCGAGGCTTTGACACTATCGGGGGAGAAATAGGCCTACTCGACGTCGCAGGTGCAGTCGTTTGGCCGGCATTGTTCGCGGGTTCCTTTTCGGTCGCGGAATTATGTGTAGCAGCATTGGAGCCGCCTGACCGAACAGCCGCCAGTTGGTTGCGAATTTGATCGGCGCGGCTTAATGGTTTCTCCGCCAGACTGCCATATGTGATTTTACGACGTTTGGTCGCCGGTTCTGAAGTCTCTAGTCGAGGTGAAGGGACGCTTTCCTTCACGGGCAGCGACGAGATGACGCTTGTAGGTTTGTCTTGGACTTGCTTCGGTTGTGGGTCATGAGAAAAGATGCAATGTGTCAAAGAGCATTTAACGCCTTCTGGACATGGAATGGTCTTGAAGAGGTTTGTCGTTGTGAACACCATGGCGCCGGATGGAGAATCGTGCCAGGCGTAGAGAGTGTCATCAAGCACGCCGCTGCATGCATCCAATTTGGGCACGCCTGGGCATGCTAGATATATGGAGTGACCGCGGCGATGAACTATCTAGTATCTTCGAACCGGCGATGTGTGTGGATATCTATACTTCCCGTGGTGTCGTTGGAAAGTCGTCGAGGTATACTACTACACAGCCAAAACCATCGCGGGTTGGGATGCTGCCCAGGTGTTAACTAGCCCGATGACATGCGAGCCAGTCCGGTGAGCGATTGATGATATATGTATGGTCGTTGCTCGCCTTGGAATATATGCAGGTACGATGATTGCGGTGACTGTGTCGTCTGTCTGGTACGGACAGTTCGCCAGCCCTGGTGGTGATGGTCACTATGCATGCACAACCTCCGTTGATCCCAGTTATGCAGGGAGTTGCATTACACGTTGCGCGGGCTGGGGAGTCTCTTGTGCCTTGGACCTGTGACGGACCATCCATTTGACGATACCACGGACGATATTCCAGTACATTGATGTATTCCATGGCACATGATCGCTCCACACAGAAACAAGCTTTCCCATGAGTTCGGTCCAGTTCCCTATGATTATTATTATTATAATTACGGCCGGGGCTCCGGGCAGAGAAAGCCTCCGCCGGGGCTCGGCTTTATTACTAGTATGTCGTAGCATTTGATTGTGACTGACGATTACCTGACGATGACGTTGATCATACGCATCTTGAATCCTCCGTTCGTTTCCTGTACACTGCCCAAGCGATATGGAGAACTCTCTACACCTGCACCCTTCAACATACATATTTAGGGAAGTCGTCAACTCCACATAGACTTGTCGTCTCAGTAGAGTCCACCGGAGCAATTCGCGCCAACTGTCGTTCATATCAATGTGCCAAAATTGGTAGGATCCCTCACCTCGGCCATAGCACGTTTTCGATATCATCACATATATCATACCGCCGCCGCCGCTCCTCTTCCGCTTTGTTTTCGCGCGCATACACTTCCGAAATCCCACGTTATCGTCGTCGTCTCCCTCATCCACGCGCGCACTTTGGTCTCAAACTCTGGCCCGACAGGCGATCAGACATAGATCGACGGCACGGCATTTGAGAAGCGCAACCGCCCGTCGCTCTCCACAGGACGCATCATGGCTCCCAAACCGCAAGACGTTGAACACATCGCGGTCTTGGTTCACGGGTCAGTGCGCGCGCCAGCAGTGTTTGATCGCGACCGGCATGAGAGTCTGACCATATTCTGCATCTGAATAGCTTCTGGGGAACGCCCGATCACCTTCGCTACGTCCGAGACACACTAGAAGCACAACATCCAGAAGTTCACATCCTGGTGGTGAAGAGCAACGAGAGCAACAACACATACGATGGCGTCGATATTGGCGGCGAGCGCGTCACGCACGAGATCGAGAACGAAGTGGCGTCGCTAGAGAAGCAGGGCGCAAAGTTGAAGAAGATCAGCATCACCGGATATTCTCTAGGAGGACTCGTCTCGCGATATGCCGTCGGACTTCTCTACAAAAACGGATTCTTCGACAAGTACGAGCCCGTAAATTTCACCACATTCGCGTCGCCTCATGTTGGGATTCGCGCGCCCATGGCCAGCTGGCGGACGTCGATATGGAATTATCTGGGGGGGAGGACATTGGGAAATTCGGGTCAACAAATCTTCATCACCGACAATTTCCGAGGCACCGGTCGTCCGCTGCTTACGATCATGGCGGATCCGACCAGCATTTTCGTCAAGGGGTTGAAAATGTTCAAGAACAAATCCATCTACGCCAACACCATGAATGACCGAAGTGTCCCGTATTGGTCAGCATACTTCAGCCGCGTCAACCCCTACGTCGATTTCAACCGAGTACAAGTCTACTACCTGCCGAACCAACCCGAAGGCGAGCTGGAAGTAATCTTGGATCCCGCGCGGCCCTCGGTGCCCAAAAAGTCCGTCCGGGACGAACTAACGACCTACCAAAAATGGACGTACATCGACACCCGGACGATCAAAAGCGTGCAGATGTACATGGTCGTCGGCGTCATGCTCCCGCTCGTCATCCCCCTCTTCCTCCTCAACGCCGGCTGGCAGACCGTGCAATCCGGCCAACGCCTGAAACAACACGAGTCCGGCAAAGTCTTCGACCTGAGCCGCTACCGCCAGAAGCTCCTCGAAGAAGCCAACGCCGTGCGCGACCACATCAGCGAGCGCTCCATGAACTCGAAGAACCCCGGCTACCTGCCGACGCCGCCCCCCGAATCGGTCCCCGCCAGCGAAATCCCCGAGGGCGCCAAACCCGCCATCGAACTCAGCAAGCGCGAACGGGCCCGTGAACACGGCGGCCCCTGGCCGATTCTGGCCCTCACCAAGGATCAATTCGACATCATCGACGGGTTGAACTCGCTCGACATCGCGAAATACGAGTGCCACATCCGCCGGGTGCGGCATACCCACGCGGCCATCATCGTCCGGACGCCACGCGGGAGTTTCACAGAAGGCAAAGTGGTGGTGGCACATTGGGCGCGAGGGTTCGAGGTATAAGACGATTGCTTTGGGTAAATTCGTCTTTCATTTGTCTTGACGGATTGGCGTGATGCGGTTGTCGAATTCTTTGGGCGACGGATGGGATGAAGGAAATAAGGATGATGTGTTTTCCAGACTATTTAGATTTGGTCACAGATGAATGAAATTGATACAGCGCTGGTACATCTCTTCGGCGGACAAGATGACAGAAATGTCAATTGGCTTGCTCCCATCTGTATATTTGAAACGAGTTCGGCGTCGGTATACCATCCAATGTCAGCTGACGACAATGCGCACTGTGCTCAAGCGTAGCGATCTCTCTGTGTGGAGCTGCTTCCTCGCAGGCAACAGCATTTCTATCTGTGACGAAACTTCAAGCCACCACCAAATTCCCCATTCTCCGATTAATAATAATGAATGGAGTTCAAACATCCTATCATCCTGCCCTCTTTCTTCCCTCCTCCTCCCCAAAGCAATCCACCCATCTCCAACCTCACTCCTCCTCCCCTCACCAAACTCCCCAAGTTGAAAAAAACGAACAACCGCCCAAACCCAAACCCAAACCCAACAAGACCAAAAAGATGGCCCTCCCCACCCCTCCGTATCCAATCAACACTCTCCTCCTCCGCCCCGTCCTGAGCCTCGCAGCCTGGACCTTCGCCATGGAGATCTGGCTCTACGCGACGCGGATCCCGGCCTTCAGCAAATACAAGATCAACCTGAGGAACCCTTCGAGGGCCAAGGCCGAGATGGAAGCGAAGTTCCCGCCGCACGTCACGAACGTCGCGGCGAACTTCGCCCATCTGCACGAGCAGCCGACGGTTTTCTATGCCGTCGTGCTGGCGTTGGCGGTGGCGGGCGATGCGAGTTTGGGCACGGTAAGTTTTATGGCTTTGATTTCTTTTCTTTCTTTTTTGAATTGAGAGGGATCGGGGAAGGGGAGAGGGGTGAGAGGGCTTGGGGGCCGGACGATGCTCAGAGACGTGTCATGGTACATTGTCGTTTTTCTTCTTTTGATTCTACAGAACGATCCGGTTGAAATGATGATGGGCAACGTCAATGTGCACCGGCCTTTGTGCGTGCCTGTTGTCTTCCTGTGATGAGCGCCCGAGACTAACGCGTTTGTGGGTTTTCCTTCCCCCGTCCAGCAATACGCCGCCTGGGGTTACGTGGGTCTCCGCGTCGCGCATTCCTTCTATCAGTCCCTGGTCAACGATCCGGTCATTCGCCGGTTCTATCTGTTCGCGACGAGTTCGTTGGTCTTGGCTGGGTTGACTGCCAGGGCGGCGCTGTTGGTCTTTTAGATGTTCGGATGGATATTTCGATTTCGGTGAGGATGAGAGGGGCTGGAGAGTAGCGAGGAGGTTATTTTCAGGAGATGAGGGAATTATTCCAGTGTTGTACTTTTCGACAGGACTACCTGGGTCGTGTGGTATCATCAAAGGCGTTGTGACGGGAACGTAGAGCGGCTTTGATTGAGCATCTGATGATCGCAGCGGTACCAACCCATTTCATGTCCTCCTGATACTGAGAACTTTTTTCTTCCTTTTCATCTCTATCTTCGAGTGAGACGATGAAGTCTGGCGGAGACATGCCCAGACATTCAACATCCTGAGGCTCTTTGGTTTTCTTCCATCTGCATGTTCGCATCGTAAGAGCAGTCATCATCATAGTCTTTTGTAAGTCGACAGGGGAAGGGAAAAAGGGACTCATTTCATTTTTTCATCATTCCCATCTATGAAACAAACTTGGGCGAGTATTTCGCCAACGCCGCCTGGAACGCCTCCCTCTTCGCCGCCAGGTCGACCAACAACTCATGCTCTTGATCCGCCTTCTGCAGCGTCTGCACCAACTCCTGTGTATCCCTCCCCACAATCGTCTCGAGGACGATCTTGTTCGCCAACGCCGCCGTGTTCTCCGGCTCCAGCGCCAACGCCTGGTCCAGCGCCGTCTGCGCCTCCTCCGTCCGGCCCAAGTGCAGTTCGCTCACGGCCTGTGCGACCAACGAGGCCGCCGACGACGAGCTCGGCGCGCCGGCCAGCTCCTCGAACACGTAGTATGCCTTCTGGTAGTTGTCGCCGCCTTGCCGCACGCCGATCCAGCTCTCGGCGAGGTTGACTAATAGCGCATCCTGGGCGAAGCTGCGCGCGCTTCGGGCCTCCTTCAGCGCGAGGTCGGTGCGGTTCTGGGAGAGGTGGATCTGGACGAGGAGCGCGACGGCGTCGAGCGAGCCTTGGTGTTTGGAGAGGAGGGCGAGTGCTTGTTCGGAGTTCCCGGCGCGCGCGAGCACGGTGCCGGCGAGGAGTTGCACGGTGAGGTTGTCGCCGGACGAAGCTGCGAGGCTCTCGGCTTCGGCGGCGAGTTTCTCGCTGGGTTTCTGGGAGTAGGCGGCGAGGAGTCTGGCGGCGGCGAGGTCCGGGGTGCGTTTGGCGTCGCTGTCGCTGATGGCGCTCAGGACTTCATCGTATCGGCCGAGGGCGCATTGGGCGCGGTATCGGAGGATCTGGATGGGGAGTTTGTTGCTGTCGGAGAAGTCGGAAGCGTCGAAGTCGTCGAGGACATTTTGGTATTGGCCCTGGATGAAGGCGGTATGGATGTTGACGAGCTCGCCTTCGGAGCTGAAAGGATCCATGATGAAAGGCTGTGATCACGGATGGTACACGTCCGTTATGTCTGCTTTTTTTGACTATATTTGGAGACGGACGTGATAGCAATTCGAGAGACTTCTGTACAGGATTGCAATATACATCAAAGTCCAATCGCATCAGTCTTGAATTGGACAGCTGGAGTTGATGCTTGGCACCAACAATTCCTGGGGTCGTTTCGGAGGGGCATGATCAACACAGGGTCTCCTCGGCCATGATTCTGTTACAGCATTTGACCGCGATACATAATTACCGCATTTGCACAGATGTACCCATGGATCAAGCCCAGGAAATACAAATATATTGACTCCTGCACTCGTCTCTGGCGAATGTGAACAGTGCACCAAAGCACAACATTGTCGGTACTGCCCGATTGTCGCCGTATGGTGCTGATAGGTATTTCTCCTGAATTGTAGAATGCATTCTATTGCCGCGCCGTGATCCGTCCATCGCAAGCCATCCATCAACCCAAATCTCATGCTCGGCCAACCTTGAAAGATAATATCTAGGGATTTGAGGATCAGTAAATATTTTCTAGGATAGGCGGGGAGAAGGCTCACATCGTTCTTGCCCACTGCAACTTCATCATCTTCGCTGACCCGCACTCCGCCCACCGTCTCCACAAATGCCAAAGGTGCGTCGCCCATGACTTTTCGATACACATCCCCTACGGTACTACCTTTCTTGACCAATACACAGTCTCGGAACACTGCCGCCTTCTCTCCAACTGCGCCCGCCTCGCCACTGCCGAAGGATCCGATGTTTCGCACAGGAAACACAGGTGTCAATCCTAGGACTTCGGACGCACGCGTGAGGACTTGATTGACGCCCGTGCTTCCGAAGCGATATAACACCATATCTTTGAGGTTCTCGATGCGCGTCTTGAGCTTCTCGTCCAGTTCCTTGAGGCCTCCGCCATCTTCCTCGCCCTGTTCTATGAGATCCTCGCGCGTGTCGACAAATTCCGAGCCCGGGATATATCGGACAAACCCTTGCTTCACCAGACGACGAAGGAAGACTTCCGAGATGGCACTGCATAAGACGATCCGTTCTGGAGGCTCCGCTTTGGCGATCTTGGAGACGTTCTTGTCCGCGTCTGCGTGGTCGATTTTGTTCAGGGCGAGCACAGTAGGGAACTTCTCGTCCACAAACGCGTTGACCACACTCTCGACCGTCGCATCGGACCAATCCTGCAGCGGCGTTTTGAGACCCATCTTGTCCAACGTGCGCGCCACGACCGCGGCGTTAGATCCGTAGCCTGAGAATTGGCCTTGCAATGTCTCCACCGCGGTGGCTTTGATCGCGATATGTCTCCGCTTGATGCCGCCCCATTTCTGCATCAGATTCCCAAGCACCCAATTGACGATTTCCGACCGCAACCATACAATGTCGTGGGATGGATCGTAGCCCCGTGTGGCTTTGCCCTCGGCATCAGTCGTGCCGCTCACATCGACGACGTGGATCAACGCGTCCGCATGCCGAAGGTCGTCAAGGAAACGATTGCCCAAGCCTTTACCTTGGTGCGCACCAGGGACTAGGCCTGCTACGTCGAGGAGCTCGATGGGTACGCTGCGGACGCCCTGTTGACATGCGCCGTAATTGGGTTTGCATCGTTTCGACAAAGGGAGTGGGTCCCCGGGAGCGGTGGGCTCGTTGCCTGGCAGAGTCGCCCTTGAGCAGGCGCACGGGATGTGAAGATATCCGACCGCGCGGTTGGGATCTATAGTGGTGAACGGGAAATTGCCTATGTCACGGCTTGGTCAGCAGCTGTCTGTGGAAAAGGTGAGGGCGGGCGGGCGTACCTACTTTGGCAGTCGTGTCGGTGAGTGAGTTCAATGTGGTACTTTTGCCAGAGGAAGGCTTGCCCACCAGGGCTATCAACGGATCTCGAGGCATGTGTCGGGAAAAAAGGTGAGAATGTCGTTCCGGATCTGGATGCTTATATTCTTTCTGTTGTCCTATTCGACAGTACTAAATTCTTGATTGCAACTTGTTGCATCTGCACGCTGGCCTTCGTGATTTTACCCGACTTTGTGCTCCGTCTTTGATCTGATGCTCTTTATACCTTCCACCCATCGACCGAATGGGCGCGATGAAGAAGTCTTCAGAAATATTGGAACGCAAGTGACGACATAAATTTGACTGCACGAGCGGGCACTCGCAAACATCGATAATTCTTCGCAGTGATGATGATGGTGGGGGGCAAGCCCTCGGCCCGATCCAGCCAGGTTATCATGTACTCCGGGCCGTGAATGATCGTCCTGCCCGCCCGGGTTGTCATTGTTTCCGTTTCAAGACATCGATGTTCATTGAAATCACTAATTCCTACAGAATCCAAGTACTAGCTCAAGCGGTGCGAGAGTTCACAAAATCACCCGTCGCCTGAGGATAAGAAGACTTCGACGGCACTGATGCCAGTTTGGTAACATCGGCAAGGGAGTGATTCGTTCTGCGCCATCAGCAGCACCTGCGCAGTAATCTGAACTAGGGTTTCGTAAGGGTTTGGGCACCACCATGGGGGGGGTTGCAGAGTGCGTTTTCCTGGAACAAATCTTGGGAATATTTCGGAAACTCAACGCACTGCGATTTCATTGCCGATCAGATACAGATGGTTCGCACAGTTGGCATATCTGGTCATAGCTGTGAGGATATTCCCACAGCGAGGTCTATGTTAAGAGCATCTCAGGCGTGAGCGCGAACCGTGCGAATAGGTGTGTCGATAAGAGCTCCCCCCCAGGCCTTGAAACGATGCCAACCTCAAACAAAATTATAGTGATACCCAGATACCTAGGTAGGTAACAAGTATTACAAAGATGAGTACAACGCTGTACGATTCGATCTGCGCCACGATGTCAGAGCCAAGAGCATCTCGAGGTATTGTCCGTGATGCGATTCATCCCCCATTCATATTCAATGCGGATTATGGCAACCTGTACTGAACACGTGCCGCGACGCGGACCGGATGAGACGACAGCGGTCGCGGACCGGACGATTGGTGTAAACGTGTGTCTGAGATACGAGGGGCGACGGAAAGGAGTCGAATGATATCCAACGCTACCACATGGCTCGCGGATGTCTTGACCCTAGAATGTATTCCCGGTGTCTGACTCGGGCAGCGAAAGCCCAACATCTTGTGGACGTTGCTTTGCATGATGTTTCCCTTGTTCCTTGGGGTGTTAAAAAGCCCTGGTCATTGACGATGATAATAATGCCAGCTGGAGGGGATCTCGGCGAGAATGTGCGTGCGTGTGGCAGACGCAAGCATCAAGCGCCGCTTTGGTTAGACTGAACTCTGTTGAGGCGTCCGCGAGCCACTGGCGTCCAGTGTCCCTGAACGATTTTTCTGGTTGGTGGACCGCCCGTTTGTGCGAAAATAAACAAGGGTGTCGTGGTTGTACGGTATGTGAAGTCGAATCCCGTCTTCCATACGCCCCGATACTACTAGGTATTTAGGTAGAATGCAATGTATTGTCGTTAGACGTACCTTGTCGATTCGTCATCAAGGAGCCTGGTCAGTATCGGAGTGTGGAAAAGGGGCAAGGAGTATACAGCCATTGATTACCACGGTCCATCGGAGTGAAGAGTTGAGCTACACCTGCTACCGATGCACGAGAAGACTCCACACCTGCATTTTTGTGTTTCTTCACCCTGGACTATTGCTAGATTGTTGGAATCTATGCTTGTTCCACGCCGGTGTCAGGGATCTTGCATGGCGGGAGGACGAACAGGGAATAATCACAGCACATACGTGCAGTAGTCTAAATTTCATCATCTGCCGCCCGGTTTCAGTGCCCCGATTGTACTTGCCTTTCAAGGTTCCCTCGTGCTTTGCCAGCCCCTCGGACAGGTATCCCACCAGAGCCGGTTGGCGAACAACGTAGGATCCGGCCGCTGCTATGTACAGGTGTGTATATGCATATGTAAGTAAGGTGGAGAGAGATACCCGTCGTCTCACCGAGTGTTGGTTGGTTTTCCCAGCAGTGGCACACCTGGACACATCTGATAAATTATCGGCCATCAGTTGAGTCGAGACGCTGAGGTATTTGCACCTGTGTGTGTACTGTGTCCGTGGGCGTGATCTACCCATAATAATTGTATCGGCAGCTGTGCGCGTGCGGTCGTGGTGATTATTACTGAAACATCTTCTGTACGTATCGCTCTCGCCCATTGATCATCACTGCTGCATTGGCGGTCTAAACTTTGGCTCTGTAGCCTCCTCATCCTCCTCGTAATTGTAGCAGCTTCACCGGCAGCAGCGATCGGGAATCATCTTGTCGACGCACCTTTGAATTTTGAATTATTGTCAGTAGTGCTACTCCCTTTTAGACATGCAGATGTGAATTCAGGGTTCCTCGCGAGGTGACTACCGGCCTCCAGTTGGAAGTGTTTTGTTGTGTTGTGCTACTATCCTCTACCGCCTCGACCGCCTCACCTCCGAGCCGCTGCTCCTCCTTCCCCCATACTACTGGGCTTTTGTCTCACACCTGCAACCTTTGGAACCCTGGCCCTGAACATCTTTCACACTTTACACGCGCGTCTCCTTGCATGACCGCTCTTGCTTTGCAGCAGTTCCTCCTGCAACAACAAACACCGTACGACAACAATGTGGAAGTGAGCATTACGCTCTTCCCAACTTCCGTCTTCCTTGATGGGAATCACGCTGTGCCACAATTGCCATACCGCCCGCCATCGTTGTCATAACGCCTGACCCTGGCTCAACAGCTCGAGCGATTCTCGATACCTGTCTCGACTCTTTTCAGGATATCACCGCCATCGCACCACATTTGGATCCTGCTCGGTAGAATTTCATTATTCTGTCGCTCAGGGAAGGCATGTCGACTCGTTCGTGAACGCCGGTCTGCTGCCCTCGAAAGGCAAAAATCGCCATCCTAGCAATAGAAGGAGAAGGGTCAAGTGCACGGAACCCAAGGAGCCTCTCTGGTCACCGCTCAGGCGTTTTCCATCCTCGTCTGCGGGAGGATACCTCTACCGAAGCGCGGTTGAGAGGAGGCACAACCTTGGATCCCATAAATCGTTCTTGCAGCATATAGGAACGGCGGGACGGTCCTCTCCGGTACAACCAGACCACCACGTCCTTCGCAGCTGCGGAGACCTGTACTGTAATAATTATTTGGAGAGAACCTCCATCCGTTGAGTTGTGAGCTGGGCCGTCGTGTCCGGCCGCACACGACCGCCACACCGGTATGGATGTTGCAACTCGTCTCCAGCCGCGAACACGGGCAGAAGCATACTCGCTCGAACGTGAGCGGGCAGCTATGCCGGAGGATTCCAGCACAGAATGTAAGCATCATCTCATTCAAGACTTGATATCTCTCGCTGCCTCTCCACATCACTTCCCTCTTTGCTAACAAATTCGCTCCACAAAGCCGAATCGCGAGCCCGACGGAAGATTCCACGCACCTCCACCGAGAATGAACAGCCTGGCGAAATCACCTTTAGAAAGCCTTCCTTACCAGCCTCTGCGACCCGAGTTCCGGTAGACTCACGCCAAAGCTTTAGTCAAAGACGGAGGAGTACCGTCCGCGAGCACACCAGAGTCCCTAGTGGACCGAGGGAATTCCCGAGCCCAGGCAAGAGGTAGGTAGTCTACTGCAGGATGGAAATATGATATGAGAATATCCAATTCTGACTTGAATGAACACAGCCGTATTGCAAGTGGAAGCTTTACCTCAATCCCAAGCGCCACATCCGACTCATCCTCAATGACCAGGACTCATACGCTCAATTCGTCAATTTCACAGCCCTTCTTCGGCAACGGGGGCGATCCTTCCCGCTCGTCTATCGCCCGTACCTCATCAAATGACGCTGCTGCATCGATGACGCCGGTGAATCGGTCCATCGAACAGTTTGAGTTTATCCCGGCCGTAAACTTTGACGATTTCCAGAATTCAATCGCTAGTTACGATGGTCCTGGACCTCTCCTCACAGACTTTCCCGCCATCGGTGGCCGGCGAAGTCTCCTCGGAGATGCAGACAATAACATAATGGCCGAGAGAGATCGACCCATAGCCAAGCAAACGTTACCACAGCCGACATCTGGTCAAGAGCAGAGCGTAAGGAGGAGTCACAGCTTGAGGAGAAGGCTGAGCGCGGTGCCTGGCGTCAAGCAAATTGCGAACTTGGTCCCGGAGGACAATGCAATGGGAAGCCATACCGGTAGCGGGTTATCACTACGGACAAGGAGGCAAAGTGCCGCACCTCGAGCGCCCTCGCCTACAGGTCCCGCACCACCACCAGTAGGGGCAGGTTCAAGGCAGCCGAGGAAATCGTTAGGGCCTGGCATCCTCTCTTCGATGATGGAGGGCAGAAAGACGAGCCAGCCGCTCCCTTCATCCCACACCGACTCGATACTGAAACCTGCACTTGCGAGAACGGGTAGTCTGAACAAAACCTCGCGAAGGACAACTATGCAGCCATCGATAAGTTCGGGCAACGAATTGCCCCGCTTGTCTACCCTGACGGCCACCACACAATCTCGCGCAAACAAAGTCAAGAGCCTCCAGCCTCCGCCTAGAGAACCGGACGTGAACACTCCCAACAATCGCCCGTCGACCAAAGGTTCCATCGTCAATCGTGCTCATACCCCTTCCTCCTCTGGAAACAGGCGCCAATCGACCATCTCCGGACGCGCATCGGGATTGGGCGCTCGAACAATCAGTCCCACTGACGCACGACGTTTGCAGCGCCTCTCAATGATGCAAGCTCCGCCCATGCCAACAAATGGTGCAAACGCGCCATCTACACCGCAAGAGGAGCTGCCTCCCTTGAAGATCGAGCTTCCACGATACGCGCAAGCGAGCCCAGGCCTAGCACCTCGCAAATCTTACGAGGTGGCGCCTGTGCCAGGTCGAACCTCTCCAGAAATGCGACAGCCGATGACGAATGCCCCGAGCTTGAACTCAAAGACAAGCATGCAGTCCTTGCTGAATTCTTCCATTCCTACATCCCGGCTACCTACTCCGAAGCAGAGATCCACACACTCGAACTCTGCCCAATATAGCGAGGAGGAGGAAATAGTGCCACCCGTGCCGGCCATACCAAAGGCCTTCGAGAGTCCACGTGAATCGGAAACGCCACAACATTACAGAGGCAAATCCTCTCAAGGCGGAAGCCTCCTCGAACCTGTCTTGACCGACTTCGATGGCGAGAATTCGTTTCCAGCAACACCTGCCAAACCATACAAATCGATCGCCGACTTCACCCCCGACTCGCGGAGAAAAGTCTCGAGTGATTTGAGCCGGATGCACTTGCGGAAGAGCACTTCAGAAACGCTCGACAAGATCGTTGGACCCAGCGCAGCACACAAAACTGTGCGAGCACCCGCTGATGAAACTGGCCGGAAAAACAACAACCTTCAACCTCTGCGCCTGCCACCTCTGAACTTGGGTCCGATCAATACCACGGCGACCCGAGGAGCTACTTTGCCTCGGCCGAGCCAGGAACTGGAGAGAAGGAACGAATCTGCAAGCATGAACACTCCCGAGCCAAAGCGCACCGCCAAGACCCCGTCTACTCCGATGACCGCAAGCAAAGCGACATTCTTCCGCCGTCAAGATGAAGAAAATGCGAAACAGGGACCCGTGCGCAGCTCAACGTCACATTTCGCTCTCCGTGAACTTATACAGCTTGACGACAACACGATGAAATTTTTCGACGATACTGATTTGGACTTCCTCAATGGCGGAGTTCAGATCCCTGGTGCAGCGCAGCGCAATGCAATCACACCGTTCGCCTCTGGCTCTCTACCGAAGACCGCGGAAGACTTCTCCAAACTGCGCGGCAGTGCCAGTGGAGAGCTTAGCGATGGATTCAGCTCAAGCAGGTATGATAGTTCTCAACTGCCAAATGCGAGAGCTCAGCCACCGCCACTTGCACGGACGGCGACGACGAACTCATTCAAATCTGCGGACCTTCCCACTGCCACCAACAGTCCCTCGGCAGATTCGTCACATTCGGACTCGAAGAAGGAGGTCAATGGAACCACGTCTCGAAGGAAATTATCTCTCGGCTGGCGTCGTAGCAGCAGTAAGAATGCCAATCATGCCGACCACAAAGCGAGCGCTTCGCACGACGCCTTTGTTCTGGACGATAAGGCCAAGGCGCAAAGGAGGATTAGCGAGATGCCTCCACCGAAACTGCCAGCGAGTGCAACTTGGGTTGGAGATGCTCCAGCGCTCCCACGCCCGAGCCTGGACTCGATACATCGTAAATCCACCGCTGCGTCCTTGACCACGCTTTCCACCGTCACCTCTCACACGGATGCCGACTCGATAACCTCCAGTACTCCAAAGACCAACGGCCAACGCATTGCACAACCCGGAGCTGCTTCCAACCCCAACCGATCGAGCAGTTGGGGCAACATCATGCCGGGATCGAGATCGAACGCGAAGCCTGCTTCGAGCAGCTTGAAGCCACGACATGGATTGACCGCTTCGACTATTTCGGCAATCGTCAAAGATAAGGATGATCTTGCTGCTGACGATGAGATGCGCCGATTATCGCAGAAGCGACGCGATGTGGACACAGCTGCGCGAGAAACCGAGGATTTGAAACGCCGTGCCGTGGCACGCACCCCGATGACGCCCGAACAAGTTCTACAAGATCGAAATTACTCGCTGAACATTTTTGAACGTGGTGAGATCATGGACTTTCAGAAAGAGGGCATCTTCTTCACAGGAACCAAGACGGCACGGAAGGTCATCGGTTCGCTCGCGCCTACGCCACAGGTTTCGTCAGATGACAAGAATTCCAAGGCTGGCAATTATGGATATGATGATGAACGCGGTGATTACAATATCGTGCTGGGCGACCATTTGGCGTACCGCTACGAGGTTGTCGATGTCCTTGGCAAGGGAAGTTTCGGACAGGTTGTGCGTTGCGTTGATCACAAAGCGGGTGGTATCGTTGCTGTCAAGATCATCAGGAACAAGAAGCGATTCCATCAGCAGGCTCTGGTCGAAGTTGGAATTCTGAGCCGGCTACGAGATTGGGTGAGTAGTTGCTATGCAAGCGATACACGAAGACGCCGTGCACTAACATCAATCCGCAGGATCCCGAGGGAACGCACGCAACATTGTCCATCACATCGTCTTTCTATTTCCGATCACATCTCTGCATCGTTACGCCTTGTCTCAGCATCAACTTGTACGAGCTGATCCGAGCGCACAACTTCGTCGGCTTCTCACTGCCGCTCATCCGTCGTTTCGGACGACAGATGCTCGCATGTCTGGTCCTGCTGCAGAACAAGCGCATCATCCATTGTGATCTCAAACCCGAGAACATCCTTCTTTACGAAGCAAGAAAGGCAGACATCCGAGTCATCGATTTCGGAAGCAGTTGCAAGGAGGAAGAAAAGGTCTACACTTATATCCAGTCCCGTTTCTACCGAAGTCCGGAAGTCATCCTGGGAAGCACATACGGATTGGGGATCGATATGTGGTCGTTTGGTTGCATCTTGGCGGAGCTTTGGACTGGCTACCCGATTTTCCCTGGCGAGAATGAACAGGAACAGCTGGCATGCATCATGGAGATCTTTGGACCGCCGGACCGACATCTCGTGGAACGGTGCACCCGCAAGAAGCTCTTCTTTGACTCGGTTGGAAAACCTCGCGTGACCGTCAGCAGCAAGGGCCGCCGCAGACGACCTAGCTCGAAGACCTTGGCGCAGGCGCTGAAGACCGAGGATGAAGCGTTCCTCGATTTCGTCACTCGCTGCTTGCGATGGGATCCTGACCGCCGTATGAAGCCCCATGAAGCCGTCACTCATCCGTTCATCACCAACCAGCCAATGTCTCAACGTCAAGGCATCCCCGACGAAGCCCGTCGCGCAGCTCGCGCCCGCACGACGGCCACAGGCCATCCGTCCGCGCCCGGACCCAACCCAAGCCCCGTCAAGCGCAACATCACCACGAGCGGCGCGCTCCCCATGTCCTCCCACGGCGCCAACAACGCAGCCCACTCTTCATCGAGTGTGCAACAAACACCTCACAAGGGCGGCCGCGGTGTCCCTGATACCCCACAGACCTCCCTCCGCAACCCTGCCACCACCGCCAACATCCTCCCCACCGCCAACCCCAACGCCCGCACGACCCAAATCTCCCCGACAAAGCAATCCCTCGGCGGCGGGGGCAACCGCCGCCACAGCACCCTCGGCTCCGGCAACACCGCAGCGAACGGCTTCGTCGCGGGCAGCAAACGCACGAGCAACGGCGCCGTCATCGGCGTCTCCGGCGCGCCGGCCTACAACAACAACGGCGGCGGTCTGCCCACCATCGCCAGCCAGCACTCGACGGCATCCATCGCGTCCGTCTCCTCGCGTCACCCCAGCAGCAGCAACGTGAGCTCCGCCGCAACCTCTTCCACCAATCTCACAAACAACGCATCCACTCCCGCCGCGGCCGCCGCGGCCGCAGCGAGCAACCTCGCCGCCATCGCGGCCCGCGAGAGTATCAGCAACGCTGGCCGGTGGAGAGGCTAGAGGCCTGCTCATCGCGCCATGCAGTGGTGATGGCAAAAGACCATGGGGTGGTGTACTTTGGCTGTTGCCACGATACGATGCGGGGAGTCCCAAAATATAAATATTAATCAAATTCACTCCCCGGAGGATGTCAACTCCTCGGGAGTCAGCCACGAAGGCTGTCGTCCGGAGCGGAAACCCGGAGAGATCGGAGGGGATGGATCCCCTGCCTTTGTATTTTTTTCCCCATCAGGCAGCTCAGCCCCCTCTGTCTGTCATGCTCGGCATCATCTAGCTCGCTCTTCATGAACTACCATCCGTCATCCATCAATAGACATATTTTTTCTCGTATGATCCTCACTGTTTTTTTCCACATCATGCGATTTTCTTTTCGTGAGCGGCGGGTGGTTCATCGGCCGGAGAAACTACATGAATTGGAGCGATGGGATTGATTCTTATATTCCTGTGGAAAAGGAGGGAGAGGCTCTCTTCTGCGTTGGCAAATTCGCTTTGTTTTGTTCCTCATAAGACCTCCCTCTCTGTCTCTCTCTCGTCCTCTCGTCCTCTCCATCATCAGGGAGATGCGCCGCGAAGAAAACCACAGATCTGCCAGAAGGACGCGATTGCATATATCTGGCGGCTCCTTTCTCCTTCTCTCTGCGTCTTCTCAGTAGAGCAGTAAGATCGGCGATGGTTTTTTATTATTTTCTATATTTTCTTTTGTATTCACACTGTGATGAGTGGAAAGATGGACTTCCGCCTCGGGGTCTGTCTATAATAATTATGGCATGTGGTGTGTATATATATGGAATGTTGCTGATGTTGAGATTTCCATCGCATTTCCGTCGCATTCAATTCTGCAATCGAGCCTTAGCATTAGCATTATTTGTGAACGGCGATCTTGTGCCCCGGCCATGATCATCGTCAAAAGGACCTGAGGGAGCACCGCCATCGACGATATCCGTGAAATGACGTCGCCGCCGCACGCACGCACGCACGCACGCACGCACGGGGAACGTCCCACCCACCACCCGGGCTGGTCGGAAACAGTCCACACCACACCCTGCCCGGGAGACAGAGGGAGGCGCTTGTCAGGAATTACTTCGGCGGCTTGGCCGCGTCCTCTTCCTCCTCTCAACAATTCCGACAGAGCATTCGGAAAGAAATTCTTATCATCATCCATTCGGATTAGTGGGGTCTTTTTTCTGTCTCGCTATGTGCGGGCGCACACGGAAATGGGGACGGGCTGTCCTGATCGGATATTCCCCATTCCCCTGTGCATCTTTTACCCGTTCGAGAAGAGGAAAGACTCCGTGCGACGACGCGCGCGAAACGGGTGGCCATGCGTGATGCGCTGTCGAGAGCGTTGATATCAGTCCAACGCGCGGATTGGGGGTAAGTATTATAATGATAAAGGGATAAATAGGGTGATCGTTTTGGGCAGTTGCACTTCATGATCATCATCATCATCATCATCATCATTATAAGTACTATTATTACATGCTTTGCACAAGGAAAGTGTCACCGAAAACACGAGTTACTGTACTGCTCAAGTGTTAGGTATTAATAGAGGCGTTGGGGAGGAGGACGATGTCGATCCGATCGGGACATTCTTTTTTTTCTGGGTTCCGTTTCGTCTGGCCGTGACTGGTGGGCGGAGGATGGTGGTGTGCAGTGTGTGTGTGTTGTGTGTGTGTGTGCTGGCATAATAAATGTCCAGTATGATGAATGAGGAAAGGAGTGTTCTACCCGATCGTATTCCAGGACCCTGCCAAGGAGGTTGTCGTCGTGGACAGGCACAGGCACAGGGTATAGTAGTGTATGTGTGTGTGTGTGTAGACAGAGAGAGAGAGAGGAAGAGAGAGAGGAAGAGAGAGAGGAAGAGAGAGAGGAAGAGAGAGAGGAAGAGAGAGAGGCTCAACCATTGGACCGACTAGGCAATTTGATGGGAACGATGGTCTACCGGCTGGGAAGTTGATGGGGAATTGATGGGAAGTTCGATGGGATCTCTGCAGGGTTTAAGCCTTTTCACGGATGGCGGCGCTTGTCGGCTATGGCGTGGCGTCCTTGGGCGGGATCCACAATTGACGTAAGTACTGCATTCCTGTACTCACCCACAACCCACACACACATGCCATCACTGATCACTCATCGCTGTCCAATGTACAGTACTATAGCATCATAATCATCTTTTTTTATTTTCATTCTTTTGTGAACACTACCGCCATTTCCTTTCACGACACAGCAACCTTTCATCATTCATCACCATCTCTTGTCCGTCGCTACAACATCTTCATCAACCGAATCTTCATCAACCGGCTCCGTCACCGAGAACCCTCATCTCATTGACGTCGCTTCCGAAACGCCTCGACGCGCGCTCGTTCGGAAACGACTTGGAACTCACCAATTTTCGGATCTCTCGGGTATAGACTGTCGACGAGTAGATTCAATTGCCGGCCGACACTCGCTTTCGTCCTCGAAGACCAACACGATCTGCATGACAATATAGACGAGACAGTACAAGACAACCAAGTGCTGGAAGTCTTATCAACTGTGCCACCTGCTCCTTCGACCCGCGCCTGTGTCGAATCACGACTCTCCGATATCGACCCACCAAAAATAGCCACATCGACACCGTCTGCGCCGCAACAACACATTTATTTTCCATATCCACACCAGACGTGCCGCAATAAAACCATCTGCAGCTGGCCTGCGCGACAAATTCTGATCGCTGGTACCGCACGTTAAAATGACGACACCGGTCGACGAACGGCCAGAGCCGACATATGTCCATCCCCATGCCGGCTTGAACAACGCCAATGCCTCGATAGCTGGTAGACCTTCCACCAGCACCGAGCGACCACCTCTGCCTTCATATAATGTCAACAACACCTCGTCGCGGACCCCCAGCCGCGATGTCAACTCGACCGAAGAGAACACCGTTTTCGGTGATTCCGAGGAGCATGCGAAGCTCCACCATGATCATCTCGGCGATGAGCTTCCACCAACTACACGCCCACGAGGTCAAAGCTACCTGACAGTCAAGACCGCAGAAGTCAGCAACGAACATGGCGACCCGCTCAGTGCCCTTCACTCTCCTTCGTGGGTCCGGGAGCAATCTTCTCGCCTCGTGGATGATTTGGAGATGCTCAAGGTTGAGCAACAGATCTCGCGCGAGGCTTCCACCCGGACTGGTCTCCACCAAACAAAATCACGTCGCCACGAAGAGCCCATCGACGATTTCGACGAAGCCACAAACCCGGTCCACGAGAAAACCCAGGTGTACAAGCCGGTGGAGAACCCGTCGACCGGCTTCGCCAAGTTCATGAAGAATGTGCACGCCTCCAACTTTCTCATCCGTTATCTCACATATATCGCACCGCTCACGCTCATCCTGCTCATTCCCCTGCTGGTCGGCGCTCTCCAGTACAAGAATCTGACGGTCGGAGGCGTCTATCTCATGTGGTTTATGATCTGGCTCGAGATTGTCTGGTTGACCCTCTGGGCCGGACGCATCCTGGCCAAATGTCTACCAGCACCCATCGGACTCGTCGCCACTCTATTCACCAACAACGCGAAGAAATGGCGTGACATGGGAAAACAACTGGAGTTGCCGGCCACCCTCTTCTTCTGGTGGCTCGCCATTGAAATTTCCTTCCTCCCGACTCTGACCAACCATCAGAAGGACTTCCCCAATGGATTCATTCAGCCATGGATGGACACCATGAACAAAGTTTTGGTGTCATTCCTCGTCGCTGCTGTGCTCAACTTTGTCGCCAAAATCCTCATTCAATTGATCGCCATCAGCTTTCACCTGCGGACCTATGCGGATCGCATTGAGATCAACAAATTCCAGATCGGATCCTTGGCGAAGCTCTACAAATACTCCAAAGAGAAGATTGCCATGGAAGACGCCGAATTTGAGCTTCCCGGCAATGGTACCGCATCGGGTGCACGCACACCCGGTGCCCTCATCTCGGAAGCTGCGCGCACGGCGAAACACGGCTTGAATGTTTTTGGGGATGTGGCAGGCAAAGTCGCAGGCGACTTCACTGGCCGGAAAGTCACGAAGAGCACCCATCCTGATCAGGTCGTCCTGGCGCTCCTCCACACTCCCACCGGTTCGCAGGTCCTTGCTCGTCGACTCTACCGAACTTTTGCCAGAGAAGAGACGGAGACTGTTGTTGCAGACGACCTCCGCGAGGCTTTCGATAACAACGACGAGGCGGACGCTGCGTTCACCATGTTCGACAAAGACATGAACGGGGACATCTCCATGGAAGAATTGGAAGCTGTCTGCGTGGAGATCGGCCGCGAGAGGAAATCCATCACCGCTTCGCTCAAAGATCTCGACTCGGTCGTCGCACGCCTGGACGATGTTTTCATGTTCATCGTCTTCGTCATCGCGGTCCTCGTTTTGATCTCACTCATTTCGGTCTCTGCGGGTGCGGTCATCACTTCGGCTGGATCGACTGTCTTGGCTCTCTCCTGGCTCTTCAGCGCCACTGCGCAGGAGTTCCTCCAATCGGTCATCTTCGTCTTCGTCAAGCATCCCTTCGATGTGGGTGACCGTGTCACCATCTACGGCAACACCGGATCCATGATGCGAGGAGACGATTATTTCGTCAAGGAGATCAGCTTGCTCTACACCGAGTTCAAGAAAATGGAAGGCCACATCGTACAGGCGCCCAACAGCTACCTCAACACGTTGTTTATTCTCAACCAACGTCGGTCCGGGGGCTTGGCTGAGGCCGTCAGCATCACCATCAAGTTCGGCACCACTCTCGAACAGCTCGACGGCTTACGTGCGAGGCTGTTGGAGTTCGTCACCGCCGAAAAGCGTGAATACCAAAGCAACATCCTGACCGAGCTGCGAGAGATCGACGAGGTCCACAGCATGAAACTGAACGTCGTTTTCTTCTACAAGTCCAACTGGCAGAACGAAGGCCTCCGTCTGGCTCGCCGCAACAAATTCATCTGTGCCATGATGGTGACGATGCAAGAACTAGGCATCGAAGGCCCTCGTATGCGTTACCCCGGTCAACGAGAGAGCTTCCCGCTATATATGCAAAACATCCCGCACACCACGACCGACGCCGGATACGGAGGCCACCCCGACAATCCTCACGGCCTATCTCGCGTCAACGAGGCCCCCCAAGACGCACCCTTCGTGCCCCCTCTCTCCGACCAACAAGAAGAGGCCCTCGGCTCCATGCCGCCCCCGTCCTCGACCTCCCTCGCCCGCGGCGGCTCCATCCTCCGCGCCCCGAGCGCCCGCACCACCCGGCCCCGCGGCGAATCCCTCGCCGCCATGAACCGCCGCGTCGACTTCAGCCTCGGCATGCGCGACGCCGCCGCCACCATGGGCGACTCCTACGGCGACGTGTACGAGGACCGCGCCCGCATGCAGATCCCCCTCCAGGTCTCCGAGGCCTCCCGCGACCGCGCCGTCCGCCAGGCCTCCCTCGAGCGCAGCAAACTCTCCTCCCCCGCCGCCTTCGACCCTCACTCCGCCACCACCGCCCAGACCACCTCCCGCGAGCACCTCCCGCTCGGCAACCTCGCCCGCCGCTCCACCGAAAGCGCCAGTCGCTGGGCCAGCGGCGCCGCCGCCGCCCGGCGGGGCTCCAACGCCTCCAACGCGGCCGCGGCCGCCTCCGCCAGCGCCGCGACGACGCACCGCAACCGCTTCTTCGGTCGCTACAACCTGCACAGCACCAACGGCAACGGCACCTCCCTCGACGACGCCCTGGAATCGGGCATCATGGCGGAGATCCCCGAGGGCGCGACCCCGAGCGGGGGGAACTCCGCCGCGCGGACCACGCCCATCACCCCGATCGATCCCCGCTCCGGCACGGTCTCGAGCCGGGGGTGGAGGGCCGATGAGAGGACGCCTGGGAATGGGAATGGGAATGGCGATGAGGTCGAAATGAAGAAGTTGTAGGGAGGGTGATGCATTTCTTCCTTTCTTCCTTTCTTTCTTTCTTGAACGATTGAATGAATGATTGATAGCGGCTGATTTGAGGGTGGATGGATGGATGGATGGACCCATGGATGGATGGATCGTGTGTCACAGCTTCCCTCGATGAAGAGATGAGGATGAGGATGATGTTTGAACGCTTCCTTTTTTGGTTCTTTTGAGAAATGTTCTCTTCCCCGTCCACAATCGAGTTTTTCAAACTCTTTTCCCCCAATGTGTAAAAACTTCTACCATTTATTATCACTACTACTACTACTACTACTACTACTACTACTACTCTCTGATTTCAAAAGTTTTCATCCCGCCCTCCTTCCCTTCCCCCCATTTCTTTCTGACTCCTTCCTCGTCTCATACATAGGATCCAATGGAATGAAATGAAATGCGATGACTTTTCTGTCTTTCCATTCCCCTTCCCCCCCTCTCTCTGCGTCCTTCGGGTTTCGTGTGTTGCTTCTCTTTCGTTTTATTCCTTCGGCAGAGATGGAATACATATGCCATTTTTGGGGGTCGGAATCTACTTACATATGATATGCAGGAGGAGGAGTAGTGGTAGTACTAGTATTGTCATCATACCATACAAATTCCAATCCGATCCAATCAAGAAAAGAACACGGAGAAGGAGAAGGAAGCAAGCAGTCTCTCCGATGGGGAACAGATAGAACGGCCAACCCCCCCAAACCCAACGAATAGTGATAACAACGATAACAATAACGAAAACCCGATTTTGGAAATTTCCCAAACACACACGCCAGTCCAGGACCGCAAAGAGAGGACGAAAGAAAGACCGACAACCCACGCGAGCGGGAAAAACCCAACAAGAAAAAGACAAAGAACAAAGAACACAAACATCGCTTTTCCGCTTCTACGCGTAAACAAGGGATGGAGACGATCTCCTCGCTAAATCAGACAAAAGCAAAAGAAAGGCAGAACATGGATTGGAATGAACCTCGCGCCTCCCGTCCCTCCCTCTATAAAAAACACAAATTCAAAAAACACACAATTCAAAAAGAGCCAACGCCGTGAAAACGCGCAGAATCGAAGAAAAAAACAACAACAAAAACGCCCCTCCTAGAATGGAGAAAGTGAAAGAGAAAAAAAGAGGGAAGAGCCAACGACGGCCGCTCCAAAAGTGGTACAAACACAACGCCCTCCATCGGCCAGAAAAACAAAACAAAAAAACAGAAAGACGGAATAAACAGGACGAAGCGGCGGAGATGATGGATCGAAGACCCCCTTCATCGTTTATACCACCGCCACCGTCGTCGTCACCTTCGTTGAAGAAGCAGAAGAAGCAGAAGAAGCAGAAGAAGCAGAAGAAGCAGAAGCAGCAGCAGCAGCAGCAGCAGCAGCAGAAACGGCGGCGGCGTTCCCATCCGCGCTCGTCTTCCGCGCGCGGATGTCGCGGTTCAGAGCATCGACCGCGTCGAAGGTGGCGCGGCGGCAGAGGGCATAGATGGCCTCTTCTTGTTCCCCGTCGTCGTCGGCGGCGTGGTGGTAGATCCCATCGTCGTTGTCGTCGTCGTCGTAGGTGTCGTGGCCGGTGCTTTGGTTGTGGTTGGAGGAAGGGAGGGTCCTCGGTGGAGGTGGAGATGTGGAGAGCATACAGGAGTCCGAGGAGGACTGCGAGGAGAATGAGGATGAAATCTGAGAGGAGGAGCTGGGGCGGAAGAAGGAGCGGGTCGAGGAGCAGGAGGAGAGGTTTTCGAGGAGTGTTGGTGGGGTGGAGCTTGTGGGTGAGATGGGCTCGGTGGAAGAGTGGTGGTGGTTTCTTGAGGTGGTTGGTCGCAGTGATGAAGGTCTTTGTTGTTGTTGTTGTCGTTGGCGTGAGGAGGTGAATGTTGATGTCGATGCGGTGCTTGTGGTGGTGATGTTGATCGGAGGAAGGTCGGACCGGAAGTGGTGGCGGCAGCAGAGAGAAGACATTCTTCTCGTTTCGGGTCTGTGTCTTTGGGGGTTTCCTTTACTTGAATTCGGTTCTGGTGGTCTTGAGGAAGAGTTGACGACAGCAAGAAGGTAGTCTTGTAGTTCTTTGTGGAGTGAGGCTTTCCAAGATGGTTGCAATCCGGAAGTGATCTACTTCTTATATAACACACGTGCCGGATGAATGGAAGACAACGTGGTTTGCTCGGAGATCGGTCCGGGGAGATTTAGGTTTTCCGAGGACGATAATGACCACGAGGAAGGACAAATGATCGTGGACGAGAATGGACGATGATGTTCGGTAATTTGCGGAAGAAAAGAGGAGGATGAGTCAACATGTACATATATATATATATATATATGTATGTATGTATGTTGAGTATACGATTGCGTCAAGAACGGCGAGCGAAGAGGACATGTAGTGTAACTAATAGGAACTATTGCTGTACTATGTGCTGTATAAGAATGAATATATTATAGTCCATAGTACATACTGTAGTATTTCAACATCCAGTCGGCGATCACGCCATCCGTTGTAGAGGATGAGCAAGAGCAGGTCACCGGGAACGTGCGACTCTGGCGGCGGGAATGCGCCCCCAAACTTCCTGCGCCCGCCCGTGAAGCGTGGGAAACGAACGGGCGAGGAGGACCGCCCCGGAAAGAATCCATGGCACAGGCAGGCCGGTAGGTACTGTACCCGACAGGATCATCCCCGTCTGGTATGTCTTAAAGACTCATGATTGATTCTATTATGATTATTATGAGTATTACATGTAGATATACAGGCCAGTTCAGTCCAGTCCAGTCCAGTCTGTACATATCTCCAATGTCTCCCTCTCTGTACCTCTATGCATGATGAAGCCGGAATCGTCTCCTTTTCCTCCTTGGCATCGCTCATTTTTCATTTCGGCTTCGGACCTCCTCCTCCTGCCAACTCAGTCCCACGGAGGAATCATGATCGTATCGTATACCAGAATAGATCCTTGTAGATCGAACCCATCATCTTATGTATGCAGGCAGATATCCGAGCGAATGAGAGATAAAATTTCCTTTCATTCTCCCGTACTGTACGTATCCGTGAACAGGTCGAAAGCGTATCAAAGCGGTTATTGCTGCACCCTGTGCTTTTTCCTACTAATTGTAACGTCCTGTATAATCATCACCATCATGATCATCGATCAAATCAAGGGGCCTCGTCTCGTTTGTTGGGAATCGGCTGGATGGCAAATGGCCCGGAGCTTGGGACTCTGAGCGCGTTTCATCATACTGTAGTCCGGTGCGCATGGGCAGGCCTGTCATTCAGCCAGGGAGATTGATCTTATCCTGTCCGCTTATTCTTCTTCTTTGCAGGATCTGTACATTTCTACCAGACGAGCCTCTTCGCTTCTCGTGGCGTATCGCCCGCCTGAAGGACCGTGGAGGAGACCATGGCGACAGCGCAACTGATCAGTGTCGATAGACGAGCCCAATTATCCCGTCAACCGTTCTTGTAATTATCGATGATACTGTACAACGATCGATCATCATAGTCGACGAAGATCTCCTCCATGTGTGCATCGATGGGGAACAGGCGTTCGGCGGCTTCGCGAGGGAGCGCGGACCTCTGCATTTACCCAATGCGGGCGGTCCGGGGATGATATTGCATTTGCAAGACCCACACCACTCGAGCATGGAACTGCACGCCACAGCCAAAAAGGACTACCGGGCGCGTCGCGAACTTTGTCGATCACTATGCAGGTAGACATCATTCGATCGCAGCACGACCCGCCCGCGGACGATGAATCATCGTGAGGTGCCAATGACCATCTATTCCTCTCATCGTCGAACTGGACATTCAATGTAAGGGCAGCAAGATGGCCGGATCTCTGCCTGATGAAGAATCCCAAGCGAGCGCACGAAATCCGCAGCCTGATGCTACCGAAACGACGCCGCTCCTGAACCCATCAACGTCCGATCAGACTCTTCAAGATGGCAGTCCCGCGACCGACTCCCATCAAGCCCGCAACGAGGAAATCACCGTCGTCGCCGAAGAAGTCTCCAACAGCAAATTGATCTTGATCCTATGTACAGCCTGGCTAGGGATCTTCCTCGGAGCCCTCGACTCCACCGTCATCGCCACCCTCTCCGCTCCCATCTCAAGCGAATTCCACTCGCTGAGCTTACTCTCATGGCTCGCGACAGCCTACCTCATCGCCACCGCCGCCTGCCAGCCCATCGCGGGTCGCTTGACCGACATCTTCGGCCGCCGCCTCGGGCTGGCTTTGGGAAATCTCCTTTTCGCCATAGGTAATTTACTATGTGGCCTGGCGACCGATCCCTTCACCATCATCCTCGGCCGAGTGATAGCCGGGATCGGAGGCGGAGGGATGATCAGCATCGCCACCTTCCTCACCTCGGACCTCACGCCGCTCCGCAAGCGAGGCATCATGCAAGGCGTGGGGAATCTATGGTACGGCGCAGGAGCCATGCTCGGGGCCGTCGTCGGCGGCTTGTTGAACGACCACACCGAGATGGGGTGGAGGCTGGCGTTTCTGACGCAAGTGCCGCCCGCGTTGCTCCTGGTGCCCGCGGTGTGGTTCATGGTCGACGTGCCGCCGAAGATTTCCGATAAATCCTACCTCGCGCGCATCGACTTTCTCGGGGTGTTCCTGACCGTTTCGTTCTTGGTCTCGCTGCTCCTGGGCTTGAGCACCGGCGGCACGATCGTTCCGTGGACCCATCCTCTGCCGATGACGACCCTGCCGCTGTCGGCCGTCTTGTTCGCCGCATTCCTCTGGTGGGAGAGCCGAGCCGAGCAACCCATCATCCCGGTCCGCCTTCTCCGCGACCGGACCATCCTCGCGGCATGTCTCGCGAGCTTCCTCATCTCGATGGTGCTTCTGACCGCGACCTTCTACATCCCCCTCTACCTCCAAGTCCTGGGCGATTCCTCCTCCACCGTCGGGTTGAAATTCCTCCCTTCGCCACTGGGCGGATGGTTCGGTGCGCTCGCCACGGGCTTTGGGATGGCGTGGACGGGGAGATACAAGGTCTTCGGATTGCTGGGGGGCGCGACGCTGACCGCCGGGACCGCCATGTTCATCCTGCAGGGCGAGAGCAGCCCCGTCTACCTCACGTGCCTGGGGCTCTTCTTCGTCGGCGGGGGGTGGAGCTCGGTGCTCGCGACCGCGACCGTCGCCTGCCTCGCCGCGGCGAAACATTCCCAACAAGCCCTGGTGACATCGGCCATGTGTACGAACCGCCCCCTTCTCCCTCCCATACCTCCCTCCTCGCGGGGCATTCCCATGCTGACATCCATCCCAGTCCTGAGCAGAAGCGTCGGCGGCACGGTGGGCATCACCCTCGCCTCGACGATCTACCAAGCCACACTCCGCAGACGCCTCTCCGAGCGCTTCGGAGACGAACCCCACGCACCCGACGAGATCCGGCGCATCGTCAACGGCCTGGACGAACTGAAGCATCTCCCGGCCGGCTGGCGGGATGGCGTGCTGGCCTCTTTCATGGAGGCTTTTAGGAATGTCTGGATTCTCATGGCGGGCTGTGCGGGTCTGGCGTTGGTGAGTATCGCGTTGTTGAGGCAGTACACTCTGCATTCGAAATTGAG